AATACTTGCCATACTTGCCATACTTTCAGGTTTTCCCAGACATTTTGCCGATTCAGCAAAGAATCACCCAGACACCATTTTCTGAACAATTCCTGGACATCTGGCACCCCTACTTTAGTTGAGATTCTTGCATTGCAAGGGGTTGGACTAGATGACCCTTGAGGTCCCTTTCAACTGTACAATTCTATGATTCTATGAAATACTCTGGTCCCAGACCATGTACAGCTTCATAGAGGATAAACCATGGTAACTAGCCTAGGTGCTTCTGCTTTTTGCTTCTTAAACATTTTAATTTTCCTGCAGTGGCATCCAAAGCAGGCCTGTTTTTGATAAGAAGGGAGGGCCTCATTTGTGCTGACTTGTCTGCTTACCCCAGAATAGACTTCATGTTTGTTGGATTGGGTGGTGTTAATTAAAGTTAAACTTTAACTCAGAGTAATTAAACTCAGAATAGAGCTATTGAAATTAATGGACCTAATTTCATTAATTTCAGTGGGTCTGTTCTGAGTAAAACTTAGGTGACTGTCCTCCCCCCTTGGTTTTTTCTTTCTTTTCTTTTTTTCTAGAATCTCAGGATCTATCAACCAGAGTCAGATGCAAAAGATACACAAGATTTAAAGGGCATGTGTCTAAGTGCATTTTGAGCCTAGGGATTTGTTCTCAGTACAAGAACTGAACTAAGCTCACAGTCCTCCCGGTTAGCCTTCAGCTTTTTTCATTTCAGCATATTATTCATATGGAAAGAATAGTTGTTTATTAAACAAACAAAACAAAACAAAAAACACCTAGTTGATCAGCTACAAGTCACTCAGAGATCTACCAGTGGATTCCAATCCACCTTCTTACCGCCCCTAGTCTGTTCTGTAGTTACTCTACATGGCAGTAGGGTGGGAGAAAGCCTTGAGAGTACACAGTGATAATGCGAAAAGGCTTGCCTTAGCTCCACAGGAATGATTCTCTTCTCATTGTAAAATCTTGCCAGCTCTCCTCAGAGTGGGTGTTACTTGAACATAGGGTCCACAGCTAGAAAACAGTTGCAAAACCCACAAGCAACCCATACAAAGAGTCACTCACAAATGTGCATCACATGCCTATATTCATGTGCCTTAAAGTTAATCTCTTCTTGTCCTTTGTCAGTGTCATTTACCCATGCCTGTATGGAGGCTTACAAACAGAAAACTATTTTTTTCTTAATCTAGAGTAGTCTGTGGAGTTATTTGGTGGGGCATTTAGGTTTGGGTCATGTGACTTTCTAGGCTAGCAGTGCTTAATCACAGGTCATACAGAATCTTTAATTGCTAGAAATAGTGGTACATTGAGGAAGCAGGCTGACTTGGTTTTGGTTAGTTGCACCCCCTCTTTTTGCTTCTGTTGCCCTCTCCCCAAATATCTCTATTAGAATGAGCTCAAGTCTCAAACCTCCCTGGGGGTGATGGCTTGGAAGAAGAGAGACTGTGAAGCTGAAGCAGCTTTGGAGAGTTAATAATTACCCTCCAGGTATACACAGTGGGTCTGGATGCTGTATGTCAGTGCCATTGAAAGCTGCTGTGTGGAAACTTTGATCTGCTGAGGGATTGTTGGCAAGGGCGGAAAGCTGGTCTCCTGCCAGCTGTGAAATGGGGAAGCAGATGGGGAGAAAGGAAGCCCCCAACCCTTGTTGGCCTATTCAGGATTTCTTGAAAAGCATTACGTTTTTAAGAAAGCCAGGAAGCTAGATTATTGGAACGTGCAAACCTTTATTGTTCTGATGCCAAACAGGAGTTCACTCTTTCCCTGTGCTGATTGGCAGCAGGCTCTCCCAAGACCTCAGGTAGTGGTCTGTCCCAGCTACCTGACATCCCTCTTAACCTGGGAATTCCTGCATGCGAAAAATCAGCTCTTACATTGAACTATGAGTCCTCTGGGCACCACATAGCTTGGATTGCTAGTGGGAAAGGCGAGCTGCATTTCCTACTGGCCGGACCATATATGCAAATCTTTATCTTTGACCACTTCAATATCTTTCTTATGACCAAATGCACGGCATGTTGTCACAACACGGCCTAGCTACCACTATATCTTCCCTCCCCGCACAGCCCTCCTCCAATCAGCTGCTCACCTGAGAATTAGATAGAGGGTAATATTCAAAGGTGATAACATTTGAATTCAAGGAAGGCTTCTGAAGAAGGAGCAGTCTTGAGAGGCTTCTTTAGGAAGGCAGGAAAAATATACCACCAGCTTGACACCATCCATTGCAGAAACAATTTTTTCTTGCTTTGGTTACATTCCCCCCCCCCCCATCCCAGAGCTCCATACCCACAACTTTAATGTGTATTTTGGCAGATTGAATAATCTGCCAAAATACAGAGTGTGCCTGTCTGCTGTTCTCTCTAGGGGGTGAGAAGGACCTTCCTAACACAAACCGAACTGCTCATTGTTCCATTTGGCTGAGGTCCTTCCTGGTTTTGAAACCTGATGATCCCTACAATTGCTATGTGCTATACTAAAATAAAGAATGGGTTTACATACATTTGGCTGTGTTTAATGTTGAGTCTTTACAGCACAGGAAAGGGTCATAGCTGAGTGAGAAAGCATTGGTTTTGCATGCAGAAAATCCCAGGTTCAATCTCTAGCAGTACCTCCAAGTTAAGGTTAGGAGAGAGCTCTGCCTAAACCCCTAGAGATCCACTGCCAGTCAGGGTAGACAGTATTGAGTTAGATGGACCAATGGTCTGGTTCAATCCTATGTTCTTGCTGTACAAAGTGTATAAGATGTTGTGGGGGTACTTTGCCATTCAACTCTGAATGGAACTTCATGCCTCATTTCTCCCACCTTGCCCCATTTGTCCTCCTTATGTTTCTGACTTTTCTGTAAACTGTCAGAACACACTATCTTCCGTTATGTGGTCCTCCATCCAGATTTCACTGGCAATAGTGATGGTTCATAGGAGGTACCTACTATTCACTGCTCCTGGCTGTTGGCCCCCACAGATACCTGCCCCATCAAGCAATGGACTTGCGTCAAAGGCTCTAATCTGCCAGCCCTCTGGCCTTATCATGCCAAGACAAAGTTGGGTGCTGTTCTAGAGTTCAAAGTTGCACAACAGTTGCCTGTAGCCAAAGGGCTGCAGTGCTTCTTTGGAGGATGGGGGGCACGGGACCAAAACCATTGCTCCTGTTTTCTTTTGATGCTGCAGTGACTTTTGGCAGAACCCCACTGTAAGCAGGTTTACCATCTTTTTTGGGGTCAGGCACGGGCAATGGACTTGAGGGTGGAGCTTGCCAATTGGATCATTACAGCCTGTTGCAATAGCTGTAAATAATAGTGGCAGCAATTCCTTTACAATGACATTCTAATCTAAAGGCTTAGTCAGAGGAGAGGTACAGAGGTATTGTTTCCCCTAGTATGGTAAGTCTTACATTGTGCAAGGGCACAATGTCCATTCTCTTGTCACCTCATGAACAACAGTATTGAGTTTGCAAAATATCTGCGGGGTTTCAGGAAATAAAATTGCTCCTTCAGCAGGAGCCAGTTTCCCTGGTGCTTTTCTTCCTGTAACCTAGATTCTTGCCTTGATATGGTCATTAGTGTACCAGCCTGTGCCTCTTTAAGTTCTCCCAGGAAATAATAGTGATGATCTGCTGAGGGAAGAGGGGTTTGAATCTCTTACAATATTGCTCTGTGCCCTTTGGTGTGGTTCGCATGGCTTTATTGCTTACCTGGGTCCACCTTGCACATTACACAGGCTCCTCTCTGGGAGGAGACTGTCTAAGGAAGGGCTGTAGCTCAGTAGCAGGCATCTTCAGGTAGGGCTCAGAGAGACCTCAGTCCAAAAGTCTGGGGAGCTTCTGCATGTTCTGACTTTGTATAAGAAAGTATCCTATGTTTCTCTCAAATGTTAAGCACACTCTTTGGTGCTGAACATCTTGGTGTGTGGCCTGAAAAGCCTGGCCTTTTTTGGTTTCAAGAAGTCAGATATTGTTCTTTTTTGTCCTCTTTCTTCCTGCCTGGTTTGTGCTTATTCTTTCCAAATGGGAAGAGTGAATGCAGCATCCTACCCTCAATGATCCCCTGGGCTAGGAAGGAAAGATTGCTGCAGTGCTCGCTTATTGTTTGGAGAGTAGAGTATGTGGTGCTGCACTATAATGTCTGAATTCGCTACCTCTTCCAATGTGAGCAGATGAGGAGGAGGAGCTTCTGCTGTGTCTTAGATTGGTTGTGTCTTAGATCGGAAGAAAACACAACAGTATTTTTTGCTGTCTGGGGAACACTTTGCTGTAGGATGTACTAATTCTCATCCACCTGGGAGAGGAAGAGGAATTATTTGCTGACAATGAGCCAATTGCAGCTATGAAGCAAAATATACAGACCAGTTGCCTTTGAGGTTTGGAAGAAATTAGGGGTTAATATTGGGACTGTGGCCAGTTCAGTCTTTGTTGTCTTTTTAAGGTTGTGTGCCACATTGCCAGGATAGCATTATATGGAGAATAAAAAGGGGATTTTGGGATAGGTTGTTGTCTCCCGTCACTACTTGTGATCTTCTTTGGAATACCTGTTTGGATACTGTTAGATGAGGAGGTCTGAACTAGGTGGACCTTGATCTGATCTCAAGGGGAAACTCCAATTTTCCAGAGCAGAGGTGCAAGAACCTCTGGTTCTCCACATATTGCACCATAACTCCCATGATCATCCCATATTGTTGGACCACAGGTCCCTCATCTCAGTTATAGAAGGATTAAGTGAGAAAAACACCCATGTGGGAGACTATCTCCAGAATTGAATCTGAGCTGCATCACACATTAGAGAAGCTATAAGCCACCTCTGAACTCTCATGAGCTTCTGTGTTCTGACCCCTGACCTCAGGTTCACAGGAGTAGAGGCAGTGCTCTCCAAATACTTGAATCTGCGCTAAAAATAGCAAAATTGTCAAGTGTTTGATTGGAGTGTGGGAGAGACATTAAACAAAACAAACACAACTGGGCAAAATCCTTATCAACTTCATGATTATAAACATGCAGAAACATGAACCTAATAGTATTAACTTCTTTTTAAAGCTTAAAGATAACCTCATTGGCAGGATAAGTTGTAAAACCTGTACCTCCGGTGAATGTAGACCTCTAGATTGTCTCAATGCAGTTGGGTGTGACTTGCCTGTCAAGTATGTTGTTGCTGTGATAATTGGCCCATCATAAATACTTTCTGGGCTGGCAGCTGATTTCAAGCTTTTAGAATAGCCAATAGCAGGGTGGCAAGCTTCAATTTCCTGCCCATGGAACTTGGTCTCTAGCTGCATAAATGTGCATGCACACATACAAAAGGCCAAATAGAAGTAGTGTGCCGCTATAAGAAATGACTCACAAGGTCATGCCTCTGTACTGTCCTATTAGTCCACATCTAATACACAGGACTAGGGCTGAGCTGAAATGGAAAAGCATATTTCATGGGAAACAATCACCCCTTGTGAATGCTACCATATTTTTCCGTCTATAGGACATCCCCGTATATAAGACCCCCCTATTTTAGGGGACTCAATTTTAGGAAAATGAGGGGAGATGGCCCAAAGTTGTTGAGCCTCTCCCCCCACGCAGCCGGGGGCAGGAAACACTTCCTAGTTTCCCATGCGCAGCAGCATGGGGGGGGGGAATTTGCGCTCCCATCAGCCATTGCGCTCCAGTGCTGCTGCTTGTGGGAAACAATCCAGGGAGCACCCACCGCACGCAGCGGCAGCGGGGGAAGTTGCACTCCCTCCAACGAGCTGGCTGGTGGTGCGCAGCTTCTCCGGCCCCCATGTAGCTGCAGGCAGGAAACACCCCCCAGGTCGCTCCCTGCTTGCTGTGGCATCGGGGTAAGCTGTGCTCCCGCCAACAAGCTGGCTGGCGGCACGCCACTTCTCCCCCCCCCCAATCCACTATCCATGTATTGGACAACCCCAGTTTTTTGACGTGATTTTTGAGTCAAAAAACCTCGTCCAATACACGGAAAAATACGGTACTGTATATACTCACATTCACAAATGCAGCAATAAGTATTTGAGGTGGGGGCACTGGAATATAGGGCAAAAATTTCCTCCATTTGGTTTGAGGGTGGGAAGCATTGGCCTCACTTTGATTTGGTTTAATGATGCTATTGCAGAACCAAATCTGTTGCCATGATGTTGTTGTCATATTGGTTATATGATCGTTGATTGCCTGGATGACATAGCCAGTGAGATAATTTTTGCCTAGCCAAAAAGTGCCAAGGCGGCAGTGAAAAGAGGAAGTGAAATAATGTGAAAAAAGGGTTTAGAGAGGTCTCTTGGAGAATATCTTGGTGAGATGTCTCCCCTCTCCCCATATTCCATGACACTTGAGCATCCTGAAATTCTGCACCAAATATATCCCCCAAGAAAAATTTGGCTCAAGCCCAGACCTGCATCTCCCTTCCAAACCTCTCCCTATTCTGACCTTTCATGTACCCTGCCACTTATCTCCCCAGCCTAGCTTGATTATAGTTTTCAGTCAGGATAGGACGGAAGGTGAGACAAGATTCAGCTTCCCCTTAGCCGTAAACTCCTTTGAGGGAGCAAAGCAGACCCTCCCATTCTTCCATTTTACCCATGAACATTGCAGTCCTATGAATAAATAAATATGGCTGCTCTATCATCTCTCCATATGTGTTCTCCTAGTAATACAGCCTGCCACCACCCTGGGCAATGGACATGGTGTTGTACATAGTTTGTCATAAGCCACCAATACATATTTTATTATTCAGTCACAGACCCAGTAAATCATAAGCCATAAATCAGCCTGTGTGTCAAATGAGCCTGGTTTGCAACCCAAATTTGAAAAATAATGCAACTCAGGGAGGGGGCAGGGAAGAGCAGCGTAAGCACAGAGAGCAAAGGTTTACAACCAAACAGAGGCAGTGATAAGGGGAAGGAAGGAGCGAGATAATGAGGTTGTTTGTTTGTTTGTTTGTTTTTAAAAGGAGAAGAGGAGGAGACTGAACTTATGAGTTGTGTGTGTCTGGATATAAAATTCAACAGCTCTTTGCTCGCCATTTCTCTGAATATTTGTGGAAGTGTGGGCAAACACTTGGATCGAATCCTGTTGTGGCTCTTTCCATAAATATTCTTCCCCTCAACAACTCCTTTTTGCAAACTGCTGAGGTTCAGGGCTTGAAATGTGGTAGTATTTACTTTGGAGAGGAAGTGGTTAATATTTGCAAAAGGATGTCAGGAAATTGAATAAACTGGGAGCAGCATTCTGGTCTTATGATGTTGAGATTAAGAGTATCCATTGCAGTTGGCAAGAGAGTGTGTGAATAAACAGCTCTGGGGTCCCTCATCTCCCTTTAGCGGGCAAAAGGTTAGTCTGAAAAGAGCTTGGCTCAGAGGTAAGAATCCCTAACACTGTGTTTACCTGCCAGCTTCTGCCTCACTTGTATGTATTGGCTGTTATTTCTAACTCTGCATGTGTAGCAGGGAATCTTTTTCGGTTAGCAAGGAGACAGGGCTAATTAGATGCTCCCCAGCATTTGTTTGAAGTTTATATCATTTGTCCTGGGAGATAGAAGGGGAATAATTTACATATGTATGTCTGAGCTGTGGACTATCTGTTGTCTGCTTATGGGATGGATCAGAACACCAGAAATAGTGGCTGTATCTCACTACAATCTGGAGAGCGTTCCTAACAAGCATTGTCTGCTCGTGTGGAATTGCTGCAAGATGGGAACATCCCAGTGTGGCAAACGATTTGTTATCTGCCTCATTGGACGGCTGCTATTTTTCCAAACCTGGGATCTGGTGGGGAGGGAAAAGGTTATGTGTGTGTTGAACAACCTGGTCACAATGGAAACCCAAGAAGTGTGATGTTTAACTCTTGTTCTTCTGGGAAGACCTGAGGGCAGTGATTAAAGGGCAGAGGGATATGTGTGTGTTGAATTAAAAAAATATATTGTATTCTGCATTTGTAAGTGCTCTGCATCTGTAAGTGTTGGGTGAGAGGGAAAGTCGTTTTGATTTGTGCTTCCTTGAACATGTACATGTTGGAGGAGGGAAGCTTCCTGGTGCTATAATCTCCTTAGCAGTGTAGTGTTTTGATTTAAGAGATTTTGCTGTTAACCATTGGATTAACCATTGCAGTAAAGCTTGTTAGCCACTCAGTTATTATTTTTTTTATCTTAAGGGTTTTGGTTCAAATCTATTTTTACAGCTGCGCATTGTCGGCTGAAATCCAAAGCCCTACTTAGACTCGCCCAAGTGTTTCCTTAGACCCAGTAGGACTTTTCCCGTTTGAACAGCTGATGGGCTGTGTTGTAAAACAGGTTTTCTAACTCCCCTGCAGTTTTGCTATTGAAGTGTGTGTGGGAGGGGGGGTGCTTTAGGTGGTTTACATGTCCTGTATAAGATAAGCAAAATTTATTTAATTTAAAAAAAAACTTGTTCTGATTCTGCTGGTCCTGAGGAAGGAGTGAGATCTGAGCAGGACACTTTGTCCACTGGATATTTGATTGGTTTTGGCCTGGTGCCAACATTGTCAGCTTTGGGGCGCTGAGCCTGTTTGCTCAAGTTTTTGGTTTTAATTTAGATCACACTTAGATCAATTTATAATCTGGGATTTTTTTGTGTTCCTCTTCTAGTGGGGTGGGGTAGGATTTGTTGTTTTTATTTTTGTTGGATGGACACCTATAGGCATTTTTTTTACTGTATTCTTATTCTATGTATATAAGGTTGTATCCAATGTTTGGCCTATTGGAAAAAAGCAAATACATTTAATTATTCTGAGGTTCTAGGTCCTTTGTTACACGAGGGCACTGTTTGTCCAGCAATCTAGCCAGCAGAGTCGCTTCAAAGCCAATTCTTACGCCGACTTTTAAAACTACCAACATGCGTAAGTAATGCGGCTATTCGCTTAGAAATGAAGATCCCCTCAGTGGAGTTAGTTTTATGGAGGAGAGTTTTGATTTATTGGATATCCCTATGGCATAAACTACCGAACCACTATCTCATTCAATGCATGTGGCGGGATGTCTTTACAAATTTGTGGTCAGGAAAAATCCATGCCAAATTGCTGTCCTATGAGATCTCGCCCACGGAATTGCTCAAACTGGATCTAAACGCGGCAAAAAGGTGTATAAATCAAAGGCTGGATGATGTGGAGCTATACCAAAATTTCTTAGCTGGTGGTGGAGCCTGCTCCCCGTTAAATCTCGGCATAACCCCTATCTATCGTGTCCTACTTAACATCGCTTATAGCCGCATCTCACCGATATGCCTTCATTAGAGCCAGGTTCAATGTTTTTCCAACAAACGTGCTGAGACATAGATTCACTAAGGGCCAAGTCCCTTCAATGTGTGCTTGTGAAATGAAAACATCTGAATCTTTACATCATGTTATGTTTATCTGCCCTATGTACAGTTTAGCTCGCGCTAGTATACTAAACTCCATAATCCAGCCTATGGCTGACAAACCAGTAGACCTACAGCTTGCCTGGGTTCTTCAAGATGTAGATCCTTATATTACTCTACAGGTTGCTAAATTCCTAACAGCCGTTCTCTCGTACAAGAGACGGAATGGAATGTTAACTGATTATTGATACTTATAAGAATTTTTGATATTGACATCAGAAATTGATTTAGCGTAGTGCCCAAATTTTTAACTTAAATCTTAAATTTCTGTTTTGATTTGCCAATATTTGTCCTTGTGAGCTGTGAATTGTGTTATATTACTTGTGGCTTGTTCGAGACCGCTGTTTTATTTGATTTGTTTTGTGTGTTGTGCTTTATGATGGGCGTAAAGCCGAATAAACATTTTGGTTCAATCTTGCCTGTATCCTCTCTAAGTTAATTCTGCCCCCTACAAGCTGAGCCATTTTGTTTTCTCTCTCCCAACTTGTTGAGGCAAGATATTTGCTATTCTCTCTCTCTCTCTCTCTCTCTCTCTCTGCCTCCTCTACTGGTCCTGTAAACTGTTCCTGCCAAGATAAACCTGCTTTTGCATTAATAAAATCTTTGAACTCCAGACACTGTGACTATTTCAGTCCAATTCACTCGAGCTACAAGCTCTCCAAGATCTGCCAGGAGTTGTTGTTGGTATCTGTCTATCTCAAGAGACAACTGAGTTCATCTCTGGGGGTAAAGTCAAACCACTGTGTTAGCAGCACCAAAGTGACCTCTCCATGGTGTAAGCCCGGGCAGTGTATATGGAGATCCTGGGCTGCCCAGACAATAAGAATCACCTCTCAGCCTTGCTGATGTTGTCCAAAGGAACGCAAAGTAATACGTTTGGCACCAGCTTGGCTGCAGGAGTTACCAGAAGGAGGCGTGCAGGGCACCATCCAGAGTAGACCAATTGAAATTAATGGAGATGCCTAACTTAGGTTTATTAATCTCAGCGGGTCTACCCAACTTAATCGAGTGCAACCCATTGTTTTAAATGATTTATGACCTGTTGGATATTTTTATATTTTTGTAAGTTGCTTCTGAGACATTTTTTGTAGAAAGTAATGAATAAATGCAATTAATAATAATATTTACCCCACACTTCCCCCCCCCCTTTGTTTGTGTGCACATGCAAAAATCATGCTACAAAATGAAGAAAAAAAAAGATATTAAGGCTGCAATCTTGTGCCTCCTAGGGCTTACGTGCCTGGGATTTGTGTTGTAAAAGCATAAATAATCTTCATAAAATAGGAATATTTTTAAGACTCAGGCAGGTAAAACTGAATCTAAAAAAGAAGTTAAAAGACATGTAGCGACAGCCAAAGCACCATTGAAACAAAGTTTTCAATAAATGAAAGAAAAGGCTCTGTCATGGGTACCTTTGTAGCTGATTTTCCCAAATGGGACAAGGAGCAGAACCTCCAATTTGGTTCTTTCTTTTTTTTTACAAAAAAAGTTCACTGGGACATGTTAAACTTAATTACATTGGCTGCAAAATACCACTTATATGTTGACAAAATTCAGAGAGAATAAACCTGAACCAGTGGGTTCAAATTGGAAGAAAAATTATTTAGACTGGGGATGGGAAACCTCTGGCACTCTGGGTAGTGTTGGTCTCCAGTTCCCACAAGCCCCTGCCAGCCCAGACAGTAACCAGGGATGATGAGCATTATAGTCCAATAACAGCTGTAGACTAGTTTCCCGTCTCTGACATAAACACTAGGAAAAACCCTGATGTTACAATCTGTTGGGCAGTGAGACAGACTGTAAGCGGAGGTTTGATGGACATCTATCAGACTCCCTGTATGTAGTACTACATTTACGAAGTGTTAGACTAGAGATTCCCTCAAGCTCAATGGCTCTATGAGATCCTTTGCATGTAAAGTGTGTGCTCTGCACCAGGCTACAGCCTTTCAAGGACCAGTTTCTATATTTAAAGTTGCAAACTTGGAGCTATACACAGCCCTTTAATATGCATGTGAGTACATGGTGTGCGCTTGTAGCGGAGAAGGTTGCCTAGCACTGGAACACATTCAGCTCTTGATCTTCATGCTTTTTCATCATTTATGCTAATGTGCAGAGCAGACACAGTGCCGAGAGGTGGAGCCCCTCCCTGCCCTAGGATTCAGCTGCCAGGATTCACTTGGGTTGCCCAGGCTGCTCGGGAGTCCTGCCTGCGGCAGACAATAAGGTGCTTTCAGGCTGAGCCACTGGCTTCCTGTCAAAGAACCGCACACTTTGCTTTGGGGGCTGCAGCTCTGCTATTGCACTTGACTGGCTATGTTGTGCAGGGATCTCCTTTTGCAGTGGCTGGAAAATCACTGAGCATCTGGTATTGCTGTGTAAGGTGTGGGCCTTGGCATGTTTGTGGGGCAGGAAAGAGGCTCTCGCTACACATCAGCTTAAGTTACTTACTATTATTATTGTATATTCTTATTTGATACCCACCTTTTTGCCTGACGTTACGCAAGGCAACTTACAGATAAATAACAAGAAGGGTTAAAAACATAGAAAAGACCGTAATTAAAAACAACTAAACAATAAAATAAAAAATGTATACATATATAAAATCTATTAAAACCATATCAATATTTGCAAAAAAAACAGCACAACACCAGACCTTTCATTAAAAGCAGTCAATTCCCCCAAGCCTGTTGGAACAAGAAGGTCATCACCTGCTGGCAGAATGACAGCAAGGAGAGAGCCAGTCCAGCTTCTCTAGGGAGGGAGTTCCAAAGTCTGGGAGCAGACACTGAGGATGCCGTTTCCCACGTTTGTACCAAGCATGCCTGTGAGGGTGGTGGGACCGAGGGCCTCACTACTACTACTACTACTACTGCTGCTGCCATCACCATATCGAAAGTCATTCAGAGCTGAGTTGGATCCTGTAACATTCCAACCTTTTACCATAGCTTCCGCCCTTGTTTTTGCCCTACTTGGGAGACTGCTTGGTTTGCCCCATGCATAGGGATTCTGTGGCCCTCCTGATGTTATTGGACTCCCCATCAACTTAATAGACAGGGATGGTAAGAGCTGTAGTCCAACAGCATCTAGAGGGCCACAGGTAAGTATTTATTTATTAATCTGTGGATTAACGTTGCAAGGTGATTTGTGGACACATTCTTAAAACCGGTTTAAATAATTTTTTTTTTTAATGATATTTATTAAGATTTCAAAGAATACAAGAATTACACAAAAACAAAAAGTAAAAATACAAGAAAATACAAAATACAGAAAAAAGAATTAAAAAAACCCTTAAAGAGAAAAGAGAAAAAGAAAAATAGATCAATCTTTCCATAACTTACATTCATATCCTTGTTTCCCTGACCTCCTCATACCTCCCTTTTTGTATTCCAGTTCAATTAGTTAAATCAGCAATTTCCCTCTTTGTTTTCTCATGATTCTTAAACTTAATATACTATAACTTTAAATTTTCATCTGTTATCAATCCTTTTTTACCTACACCTTTATAGAATTGCTGCTTAAACCACCTAGCTTCATTCCAACATCATTCTAACATTCATTAATTTTACAATATTTCTGTAAATAGTCTTTAAATTTCTTCCAATCTTCTTCCACTGACTCTTCTCCCTGGTCACGGATTCTGCCAGTCATTTCCGCCAATTCCATGTGTCCATCACCTTCATCTGCCATTCTTCCAGGGTGGGTAGATCTTGTGTCTTCCAGTACTTTGCGATAAGAATTCTTGCTGCTGTTGTGGCATACATAAAGAAAGTTCTATCCTTCTTGGCACCATTTGGCCGACCATGCCCAGGAGAAAGGCCTCTGGTTTCTTCAGAAAGGTATATTTAAATACCCTTTTCATTTCATTATAAATCATCTCCCAGAAGGCCTTAATCCTTGGGCATGTCCACCAAAGGTGAAAGAATGTACCTTCGGTTTCTTTACATTTCCAACATTTATTATCGGGCAGGTGATAGATTTTTGCAAGCTTGACTGGTGTCATGTACCACCTGTATATCATTTTCATAATATTCTCTCTTAAGGCATTACATGCCGTAAACTTCATACCTGTGGTCCATAACTGTTCCCAGTCAGCCATCATTATGTTATGTCCAACATCTTGTGCCCATTTAATCATAGCAGATTTCACCGTTTCATCCTGAGTATTCCACCTGAAGGAGCGTCTCCACCCCCATCGTTCTGCCCGGACGCTGAGGTCCAGCGCCGAGGGCCTTCTGGCGGTTCCCTCATTGCGAGAAGCAAAGCTACAGGGAACCAGGCAGAGGGCCTTCTCGGTAGTGGCGCCCGCCCTGTGGAACGCCCTCCCATCAGATGTCAAAGCGATAAATAACTACCTGACATTTAGAAGACATCTTAAGGCAGCCCTGTTCAGGGAAGTTTTTAATCTGTGATATTTTATTGTATTTTTGGTTTTTATGGAAGCCGCCCAGAGTGGCTGGGGAAACCCAGCCAGATGGGTGGGGTACAAATAAATTATTATTATTATTATTATTATTATTATTATTATTATTATTATTTCAACAGCAAGTTATACATTCTTGACAAATTCTTAGTTTTGGGTTCTAACAGTTCAGTTTCCAGTTTTGATTTTTCCACCTGGAAGCCAATTTTCTTGTCCAAATTATATGCCTCCATTATCTGATAATAATGAAGCCAGTCTCGCACTTTGTTTTTTAATTTTTCAAAACTCTGTAATTTCAGTCTATCTCCATCTTGTTCCAAAATTTCCCAATATTTCGGCCAATTGGCCTCCATATTGAGCCTTTTCAGAGCTTTCGCTTCCATCGGTAACAGCCACCTTGGGGTTTTGTTTTCCAATAAATCCTTGTATCTTATCCAAACATTAAACAATGCTTTCCTGACAATATGATTTTTAAATGCTTTATGTGCTTTGACCTTATCATACCACAGATATGCATGCCATCCAAATACATTGTTAAAACCTTCTAGATCCAAGATGTCAGTGTTTTCAAGAAGCAGCCATTCTTTCAACCAGTAAAAAGCTGCTGATTCATAGTAAAGTTTAAAGTCTGGCAGGGCAAATCCACCTCTTTCCTTTGCATCTGTTAATATTTTAAATTTTATTCTAGGCTTCTTGCCCTGCCAGACAAATCTGGAAATATCTCTCTGCCACCTCTTGAAACAGTCCATTTTGTCCACAATTTGCAATGTTTGAAACAAAAACAACATTCTAGGCAATACATTCATTTTTACCGCAGCAATACGACCCATCAGTGAAAGCTTCAAATTTGACCAGATTTCTAAATCTCTTTTCACTTCAGCCCAACATTTTTCATAGTTGTCTTTAAATAAATTCCCATTTTTTGCTGTCATATTAATCCCCAGATATTTAACTTTCTTGACCACTGTTCAACCTGTCTCATTCTGAAACCTCTCTCTCTCCATTGGTGTTAAATTTTTCTCTAAAACCTTGGTTTTTAACTTATTCAATTTAAATCCTGCAACTTGACCAAATTCTTGAATCAGTTCTAAAACCCTTTTGGTACTAGATTCTGGCTCCTGTAACGTCAATACTAAGTCATCTGCAAATGCTCTCAATTTGTACTGTTTGGCTCTGACCCGGTTTAAATAATTTTAAAAGCAGTAGAACAACTATGTATAGGTTTAAAATCAACACAGGATGAACACCTAGGCAGAGACCTTTTCTTCTTGTTGAAACAAAGATGAAAACAAACAGTCTTCAATTGTTTCTGGAATGTTCAGGTGGCAGGTGCCTGACATATTATTTTTATTATTTATTCAACTTATACACCGTCCTATACCTGGGGGTCTCAGAGGAGTTCACAACATATCTCAAGAGGAAAACTCAGGAAGATAGTAGAATGCCCACTATCTGGTTCCCCATTCCTGGTTTACACATATAAAATCGCTGGCACCACCGATCCATTTCTTGCTTCATAACTTTCCTTGGAGTCAATCTTCTGCTTTATTCCCTGAAAGTCCTCATCCCCAATTGAAACAAAGCCTACATGTGGTAGAGTTTGATAATATTCATTCCTTGTTATTCTTGACTCTTCCTTCTTCCCTCTCTGTTGAAATTTAGGCTGTGAGCTCCTTTGAGAAAGCACATGGCTCTCTTTCTGCCCCACTCCCCAAATATGTTACTCCTTGGAAGTGCCATGGTATTATAAACCATAAATCCCCCTTATCTAGCTGAGTTTTCCTGACTCTGAGAAAAGGGGGGGGGGGCAGGAGTTTGTGTCCAGTGTTCATCATTACTAGCTTCCTTACAGTACATGTAAAGTACCTTCTTTACAGTTCCAAACTACTATATGGTGTGAATCATTATATGGTAAACGTTTAAACATCTCCTTGCTTGGATTTCTTACCACTTTTCCTCCTGTGGAAACAGCTACACCTTGAATGTTGGGCAGCCACATTTTCTCTCTCTTTCCCCGGAGACTATTTGATTATCCGTGGCAATGAGATTAAAAAGATTTCAATCCAGCCTTCTGTGCACTTAACCATCTCCCGCTTCATTCAATTATGAAGACATGGGGGAGGCTGTTGCTCTGGCAACGGGGACTAGATGGCTGGGGGCAGCCGATGTCCTTTTCTGCTGCTGGACAACACCTTCACCTAATGTGACTGTAGAGATCTGTTCCCCATAAAAATGTCCAGTTGCCAATTAGAGGGGAAAGTTTCCATGCATTTGACTTTTGAGTTGATGTAATTTAAAATAGGGCTGTAGCACAATTAAACCTGTGACAACAAAGTTATCTTTGTAGATGTTTGTGGATAGCTCCTGCAGTTCCCAAGCAGATATTTGATAAAAAGCATGTCCATTTTTGCTTATTCCCGCTCCCTGTTGCGTCATAGAATTGTGGGTCTGGCTACAAGGTGACCAGGTTCCCTTTGGTCCTCTGTGTGTCTGTGCAGTGTAGGATGGTGCTCATTGGGCCTGGTGGGCCAATGTTATGAAGAACATCAGTAGGTGGAGCCTGAATCACTGACAGGCAGAGTGAATTTTAGTCCAGCATTCTCCCACCTGCTGAGTTCTACAAGGGCAACACTGAGACTAAGAGGAGGAGTCTGGGCTGGATGTAAGTAACGAGGCAGGCTGGGGCTGGCAGAGGGTAGACTGAGTTTGGTGGGGCAGTCCCATGTTTGCTCTACTATGTCTATGGCAGCCTTGGAAATTATTATAGAATAGTTCCTGGCCTGCTACATGCTTTTATGTACCCTCCGGCACCCCTTCCTTCTCCAGTTCTTAAATGCCAGTTCCTTCTGCCAAGCTGCTAAGGGACTCTTCCATGGGCTCGTTGCCCTTCACAGCTGGGAGAGCTGAATGGGATAGCCTTGTACTGCTCTGTCCATTATAGTATTGGTCAGGGGTCGGCAACCTAAGGCCCATGGGGGTCGTTTAACCGACCCACGAGCCACCCCTGAACCGAGCCACTACTGGTTCATGGCCTGATCTAAAGTAGGCTGTAGCAGCATCACCATATGGGGGGGGGGAGAAAAAGAACTGGGTCCCCAAATGTATGCTTGAGTTAAAGTTGGGTCCCAGGTCTGTAAAGGTTGAAGACTACTGCTGCAGGTGACTTTGGGCCACTCACCAGCTTTCAGCCTAACCTCAGAGTGGTTGTGAGATACAGTGGAGCAGAGGGGGAAAATGATGGAATATAAATAAAAAGCACTTTTAATGAATGCACTTCTGTATATAGATGTTAGCTGTTCTTGCATTGCGCAATCTTCCAGAACTGATTTCCATATCCTTATGAGGTCTGGAAACCTGATTTTCCGAAAAAAACTAAAAGAGTAATGACCATTCCAGTGTTTATGTAGAATATCCACAGGCTTGGTCTAAGGGCCAAGTTTCTTAAGATTATCTACAGGCATGCCTCTTCCTCTAGAGGTACTTTCTTCTTAATTTCTTCTATTTTGTGTGTGTCTTCCAGGCTTCTACAGCATCCCCTGCCCTCTATTTCCTTGGGGGTCAAAATGTCCAACCATCACATGGCGCACATGGGCCATGATATGAATAGCTCAACAACGCCCACCCCAGATCCTCATGCACACCATCATGCCATGACAACATCGGGGCATATACATGATGGAGGGATGATGATGATGATGGTGAGTAGAGCTCAAGCGATACCTCTGGTGCAGAAGCTGTGTGACAAATTTGGTCTGCCAGGCCTCCACATTGGATGTCAGGTGTCGGGCAGGCAGAGGTGTCCTGCTTGTGCACCTGAACCTTGCAGAAATAGGATTTGACTCCTGCTTTCTGAATGTTAGGGTATATCAGCAACGTCACCAGATCTACTAAAAATCTGTCCAGATCCAGAAAGACAGAGAGAAGCAACAGCACGCACATCCCACTTGGACTCTTCAACTCTGTGGGTGCCAACTCCCAGTCACATGGCCTGTTTATGGCCCCACCAAACTTTAAGCAAGGTGCTGATCAACACCAACAGCAAGCCCTGTGGCATCCTGATCAGTGACTTTTTGGTGAAGGTGATCCCTGCCTGAAGCAGGGCTTGCTGATTGGCGCTTGCAGCAAGCCACACAAAAGTCAGCTTTGAAGTTGGGTCACCTGACAACAGGGTGATGTTGAATGATTGACAGGTACCGGTAATTTCAGAGGGTCTTCAAACCTTAGTGGAACTGCAAGTGTTTCTGAGATGAGCCTCCTTCCATCTCATGAATTGGGAATTCAGCTGCTGATTGCAAATGGTGACTGGAGAGAGCAAATGTTGACCACTCTCTTTTCTCACATGCACACATTCACTACCCTTGGATCATGCTGGTAAAGGGAGAGGCAGTGGGGTGGGGCTGGGTGAGTAGGGTGAGTAGGGTGCCACTCCAATGAATTTGCAGTCTCTGTGGTTCTAGTCCCATGCAACCTGTTTGAAACTGTGATGCCCAAAGACCCTGCCACTCACAAAGCTCCATTGTGGCATTAAATGGACTCCTTGTTTCTTGTGCAGGATATGACCTTCCACTTTAGTTATAACAATGTGCCTTTGCTGTTTTCCGGGCTTGTCATCAACACTGCTGGAGGTGAGTGAGTGATTTACTAGGTGCCACTAAGATGGGTCAAAGTATCTGTTGCCCAAACCACAGTCTGGTGGAGGAGTGGGGGATGTTGGACTGAATACAGTACAGCAACAGGCAGGAAAAAAATCAAATAATCTGCTAAGACCCTCAGCAATTTTCAAGTGGTTCTTAGGCAGGGGAGATGGGGGAGAGAGTTTGGGAACTGTTAGATTTACTGATTTATGTGTGGTAGATCAACTTCAAGACTTGTTCCATTATCCAGACCTCCTTGGAAATGTTAACAATGGGGGTGGGCCATAGCTCAGTGGTTTATCACATGTGGTCCTTCTGAATAACTTAATGCTGGAATCAATGTTGCTGAGTAACAACCTCAGCCAATCAGATTGTAGTGTCACTTGAGTGCTTTACCTGCCTTAACTGGAGTGCTGATATCCCAGCATGGAATAGATCCAGGAACTTTCCTCCTTCTCACTCTGCTAGAGATGGCTGGTGCATTTGTGGCCATTTTCCTCCTGGCCATGTTCTACGAAGGCCTGAAGATTGCCCGAGAGAGCCTCCTCCGGAAGTCGCAAGTCAGCATCCGCTACAACTCCATGCCAGTTCCTGGACCAAATGGCACAGTCTTGATGGAAACACACAAAACAGTTGGGTGCGCACACTCTTTCTATCTACAGGGGACTTTAACATGGGAAACCCAACTGGGGCATAGCCAGTTCATGGTCCTTTCTGACCTAACTCACAGTACTTGTGGTATCTCACAAAGCAACTTTTCTCAGCCTGGTGCCCTCCATATGCTTTGGACTACATCTCCCATCAGCCCTGACCACTGAGGTTGTGCTGCCTCGGTCTGACGGGAGTCAGGAGTCCAAAATTATCTGTAGAGGATACCAGGTTGGGGAAGGCTGCTGTAGAATCAGAGATGAAAGAAAGCAGGATCCACGGTGCAGGTTGCAGCTTCAGCATCCATGGCAGATGGTTTTAAATACCTTCCACAAAGAAAAGTCCACCACCTCTTGAGGCAGACTATTCCACCAGGTTATATCCAATGTTAGCCGTCCGACTCAGAGCACCCGTTGAAACTGATGGACGCATCTAACTTAGGCTCATTAATTTCAGTGGGTCTCCTTTGGGTATAACCTAATTGGATACAATCCCTCTCAAACGTTTACCCCAAAACCTGCTTCCTGCCCACTAATTCTTGTTTGCTACATTTATTTCTTGCCTTTTCTTCCAAAGAGCTCAAGGTTTGGCATACATGGTCTTCTCCCTCCCCACAACAACCCTGAGAGACAGGGACTGACCCAAGGTCACCTAGTTAGCTTTGTGACTAAGTGAGGATTTGAACCCCTGGTCTCCCAAACTCAAGTCTTACACTCTGTTTCCCAATCCACTCTTGTTCTCATCCTGTCCTCTGGCGCAATAGGAATCAAGCCCACTCTATCTTTTGTGTGACAGCACTTCAGATATTTGAAGTTGGCTATGATGCCTCTCCTTAATCTTCTCACATTTAGGCTGAACATTCCCAGTTCTTTCAACCATTCCTCATAGGGCTTGGTTTCTAGACACTTTACCATCCTGGCTGCCCTCCTCTGGGCATGCTCCAGTTTGTTAATGTGTGTCTTAAAATGTGGAACCCAGAACAAGGCTTGACCAATGCAGAATAGAATGAGCTGCTATTTTTCATGTTCTGGATGCTTTGCAGCCTAAGATTGTGTTACTCTAGTGTTGTTGTTGTTGTTTCTATACCACCCTTCAAGTTTAGCTTGTGATCCACCAAGTTACCTAGATCCTTTTCACGTATGCTGCAGCCACACCAGTCTCCCACATGCTATGCTTGCAACCATATTTTGTGTGTTTCCCTAAATGCAGGACTTCACATTTATTCCTGCTGAACTTCCACCCTGCTGGTTTCAGCCTTCTTGTGTCAGGAACTAAAGTGGGCTGCTCCTTCTCTAGTAGGGGGGCGGGGAGCCATTCTATGCTAGATGTGTGAGAGAAGTGTCAATTTAATTCTTTCTTATTACACCTTGTTGCTTCAGTTCGTAGGTCATTTATAGATCTTAACCCTTTCTGGCTCCAAAGTCTGCCATTCGTAGTCAGTCCTTGCCCATCCACCCAGCATGTACTGAATGTTTCCTTTCTCTCTCTCTTTTTCTTTCTCATTGGTCAGGCAACAGATGCTGAGCTTCCCTCACCTTTTCCAGACTGCGCTGCACATCGTCCAGGTGGTGGTCAGCTACTTCCTTATGCTTATCTTCATGACCTACAATGGCTACCTCTGCATTGCCGTGGCAGCAGGCGCTGGGACAGGCTACTTCCTTTTCAGCTGGAAGAAGGCTGTGGTGGTGGATATCACGGAGCATTGCCATTAACACCAGGCAACAGGTCCAGGCCTTTCCTTACAGCCTCTGGCAGGGACCAGGTGCAGCCCCAGTCTTACTGGAAACCAGGCCAAGAACATCCCATGTGATGCTCCCCCCAAAAAACTCTCTGGGGATGAAACCTGTGCCTCTCACTCCCCCCTCCCCCCATTCCCCCCTCCTTCCCAATAAACATGGGCTCCTGACCATAGCTGTCAACCTTCCCCTTTATTGCGGGAAATTCCCTTATTCCAGCGCCGCTTCCCGCTGCTATTCCGGATTGATAGATATCCCGTAGACTGTCCCCGGGACAGGTGAGGCTGCTGATCCCGTATTTTCAAATCTGAAAGTTGACAGCTATGCTCCTGACTGGTGGAAAGAGTGCTGATCGCCAGCTAAGATAGCCTGCTTAGGATGGTTGGCTTTATATGCTAGATACAATTAGTTTGCTTGATTGTACTTTTTTGTTTTTAGACTGTACAGTGGTGCCCCGCAAGACGAATGCCTCGCAAGACGGAAAACCCGCTAGACGAAAGGGTTTTCCGTTTTGGAGGTGCTTCGCAAAACGAATTTCCTATGGGCTTGCTTCGCAAGACGAAAATGTCTTGCGAGTTCCTGCGGGTTTTTTTTCCTTCCCCCCCCCTTTTCCCAAGCCGCTAAGCCGCTTATCAGCTGATCCGCTAAGCCGCTAAGCCGCTTAACAGCTGATCGCTAAGCCGCTTATCAGCTGATCCGCTAAGCCGCTTAACAGCTGATCCGTTAAGCACTAAGCCTCTTACCAGCTGATCCGCTAAGCCGCTAAACAGCTGATTGCTAAGCCGCTTATCAGCTGATCCGCTAAGCCGCTTAACAGCTGATCTGCTAAGCCGCTTAACAGCTGATCCGTTAAGCCACTAAGCCTCTTATCAGCTGATCCGCTAAGCCGCTAAACAGCTGATCGCTAAGCCGCTTATCAGCTGATCGCTAAGCCGCTTAACAGCTGATCCGTTAAGCCACTAAGCCGCTTATCAGCTGATCCGCTAAGCCGCTTAACAGCTGATCGCTAAGCCGCTGATCCGCTAAGCCGCTTAACAGCTGATCCGTTAAGCCACTAAACCGCTTATCAGCTAATCCGCTAAGCCGCTTAACAGCTGATCGCTAAGCCGCTTATCAGCTGATCCGCTAAACCGCTAAGCCACTTATCAGCTGATCCGCTAAGACCGCTAAGCCGCTAATAGCGCTAATACGCTAAACCGCTAATGGGCTTGCTTCGCAAGACGAAAAAACCGTAAGACGAAGAGACTCGCGGAACGGATTCTTTTCGTCTTGCGAGGCACCACTGTACCATGATTGAAAATAGCTGGCAAGCTGACAGGAAAATTATTCCACGTTCTTTTAATAATACTTTTAAGTAGCATATGCTCTATTGTTATTTTTTACTCAAATCAGTGGTAGCAGAAATGTACAGAGAGCTTCAGTCATTGTGGCAGTACTTCTTTCTGGTAATATAATAGAGGCCTGTGCCTATTGCTTGGAGGCTCTTGATCACTTGTTTCCTCAATGTTTGAGTCTAGTATTGTGCTCTTCTCCCAAACCCCCAAGCCAAGCAGTTTATGCCTCCCTGGTTTTGGGCAGCCTGTTGCCTCTGGTCCAGGAACTGCTGCAGCACCTGCTTTTCAGAACAGCAGTGGGCCTCTACACATCAGCCAAGGGTAATAGGCCAACTACTAAGAACAACACATAGCTCATGTGCAACTGGGACCTGCTGATTTAACGATGGGATGTGCAAAAATGAATGCAAATGAAACCAGTTTTCAAAGTAGCAAGTTCTATTTTAAATAAACTGATGGAACAAAACACTGGCTTCATTTCGACTTTTGGGTAGGAAGAGTGTCTGTCTTATACAAACGGTTTGCATATTGATCCACAAGATTGGAACTCCCTCAGACCAGGCTGGAGTTGGGAAATCTTTAGGCAGTTTCTGCTCCAGCGATCTATCTGTTGTTCTTTTTTGAGGAAGGAGTGGTGGCTGGGTTTCTCTCCTGGTACATTTCTGCAATGGCTTTTGTCTATTTCCCAGCCCCTTTAAGATAAAGACCAGCACAGGAGTTGCCAGGGAGCACACACAAACCTATTACCCACTCCAGAAGATACTGAACTACAACTTCCATCATCCTCCCTAGCCATTGGCTGATGGGTGTTAGAGTTTAGCAGCAACTGAAGGGCCAAAGGTTCCCTACACCTGTGTTAATTCATTTACAGGTAGGCATCTCAGTTTGCAGTTTCAAGCAGCAAGCTAGCTAGGGATCAATGTCCTTGACTGTCTAAATCATCACAAGAAACTTAGTTTCCCTCCTAAGAACACTACTGGTTTTCCCTGAAGTAACACTATCCCAGAAGAAAGTGCAGGTTGTGCCGGTGATTCCTGGTATGTTCTAGATCTAGCCCCAAAATAATAGTGCATGTCTCAGGATGCTGAAAAAATATATTTTTTATTTTCAAAGCAACCCTGTGACTTTTGCCTTTCTTGCACTTCTTTTCTAATGTAGGTTTAGGGCATAACCTACTGTATTTTTTGCACCATAACACTCACTTTTTTCCTCCTAGAAAGTAAGGGGAAATGTCTGTGCGTGTTATGGAGGGAATGCCTACGGGTGGCATGCCTACGGATTTTCCTCCTCTAAAAACTACGTGCGTGTTATGGTCCGGTGCGTGTTATAGAGCAAAAAATACGGTAATTTATTTAAGAAAGATGGTGAAGACCACCTGAGTGTTGTTTTCTGGAAAAGTGGTACCTTACACTATTAGCACAGGGCTATCCAAAATGAAATTTTATAATTGTGAACTGCTTTATATACCCAAAAATCCCAGTAGAAATACCATAACCCCATCCCAAAAAGTCCACTATGTCATAGAATTGTAGAGTTGTCCCCCTTGTGTTTTGATCAGTCCTGGAGCAAACAAAGAATTCAGCAACCAATAGAGCTGTGTGTCTGCCCCAAAGTCAGGTGTGGAGAAACTTTGGCCTGCCAGATGTTGCTGAACTACATCTCTCATCTCTGGCTGTTAGCTGTTAGCAATGCTCGTTGCCTGGACTGATGGGAGTTGTATTTCAAGACATCTGGAGGGCCAAAGGTTCCCCCACACCTGCCCTACGCCCATCAGCAGTACAATGTAAGAAATCTTTCCTGGAAGGGTTACAGGGCTCTGTTGATGTCATTCAGGGCATACCTACCTTCCCCAAAAGGAACAAATGTGAAGAACCAATTATCTGTTTTAATGTCATGCAAGAGGCTACTTTCTTAGGTAGGAAGGACGACCTGGAGGCTGCAGTTGGGGAATCAGTGGCCTATGTTGCATGCCACTGCTCACTTGATGACCCTTAATATACAGATTCATAAGCTGCCTTGTAGCAGACCACACAAATACAACTAGAGCTAATGAAGGATGTAACTCTTTTTTCTGTGCTGATTAATACACAGCCAGTAGGGCCTCGGTGGGTTTATTCACAAGGAACAAGGAAGTCTGCAAGAAAAACATCTCATGAGGGACTGGGCCAGTTTTCCCTTCAATACAACAAACAATAGTTTAAGTTTGATGTAGAGTACCTTTGGCCCTCCAGATGTTGCTGAACTACAACTCCCATCATTCCCGGCTGTTGACCATGCTTGCTGACAGTGGCGTAGCGTGGGGGGTGCAGGGGGGGCCGGCCGCACGGGGCGCAACATCGGGGGGGGCGCGTTCGCACTCGCAGCTCTCTGCCCCCTGCTAAAATCCACGGGTTAGGGGGCGCAAATTACTTGCCTTGCCCCGGGTGCTGACAACCCACGCTACGCCACTGCTTGCTGAGGCTGATGGGCGTTGTAGTTCAGGAACTTCTGGAAGGCCATAGGTGTAGCTGGAAGTGCCAAACAGCATCAAACTGAAATAACTGACACAGAAGCAGAATAGGACTTTAACCAGCATTAATTTTTCCTCCATTAAAAGGTATGTAGCAAACAGGCTCCTCTCACTACCTCATTCCCCTGCAGCAGGTATTCACATAGGCATTTCTACCTCTGTAGGTTAGGGATGTGGGTGGCGCTGTGGTCTAAACCACAGAGCCTAGGGCTTGCTGATCAGAAGGTCGGTAGTTCGAATCCCCACAACAGCGTAAACTCCCATTGCTTGGTCCCTGCTCCTACCAACTTAGCAGTTTGAAAGCACATCAAAGTGCAAGTAGATAAATAGGTACTGCTCCGGTTGGAAGGTAAACGGCGTTTCCATGTGCTGCCCTGGTTCCTCATGCTGGCCACAGGACCCAGAAGCTGTCTGCGGACAAACGCTGGCTCCCTTGGCCAGTAAAATGAGATGAGTGCTGCAACTCCAGAGTCGTGCGCAACTGGACTTAATGGTCAGGGGTCCCTTTACCTTTATCTAGAGGTTATCTAGCTAACAGCCACCAATTACTTTATTGGCTATGAATTTGACCAATCTCCCTTTAAAGGCATCAAACCAGTGGTCGTTGCCAAATCCTGTGTCAGTGAATTCCATAAACTAATTTAGATGTTCGTTGTTTTGGGTATGTCTTGAATCTGTTGCCATTGATGTAGTAAAGCAATACGTAGCAGATGAGGGTTCCTGTACATACTTCTTGTTGGAACCACAGCTGCCAGCATCCCTGGTTATTGGCCATGCTGGCTAGGGCTGTTGGGATTTCACAACATCCACAGAGGGTCACCATTTGGCTACCCCCGTCTACAGGAGCCCTTTGGGCAAGTTTATTGGAAGCTAAAAATGAAAGCAGTGTATCATTTAACTCTTGGTCATTCAATATGTTGTTATGTTGCTTAGCATATAATAAGAGAGGCTTTATTTAAATAATTTGCCTAAACTCTTCCCTGCAACCACATTCATGGTCCTAATTGAAATGAAACAGTTCCTCTGTAGGGGAACACTTAAGACTGAAGGTCTATACCTCCATTACCAGTAAGGGAAATATTTTGGACTGATTTCTTTGGCATAATTTCTTTAGAAGGCATGTGCAACCCTTCTTGAGCAGGCTTGGCTTTCAGTCCCTGCATATAAAAATGATACCCACTTTTCTGCTTTAGACTTCTGCAAAAATTGACTTTGGAGGCAACAAAAGAGTAGAATTTAGATAGCCATTTGCTTCAAGTGGTCTTTTTTTTTTTTTGTAAATTGCTTTGAGTGTGGGTGGTTCTTTTCATCCAAGATCACTACATGCCCCAAATGAATAATACAGTGTAAGTAAAGTTAGTAACTTTATAAAGTGAGATGTAAGGTTATTACAGAATTTCTGCATGCAGTCTGTCTTTAGCATGAAGCAAACAAACTGTGTCCTAGTTTAAATGTCACAGTCAAATGGCTTCCCCAGGTCTATGTTGTGTTTTATGTGTTTTTAACATTTCACTATACACAAGTCATTTGAAAAGGTGAAAGTCTATAGTAGATGGTAGGTAACTGAGCTATGTGTAAGCAGCATCCAACCTCTGAATCATCCCTTTACAGGCAAGATGCTCATACTAGAGTACAGGGATGGGAAACCTTTGGGCCCACCAGGTACTGCTGCACAAAAGTTCCCATCATTTCTGACCAGGGGCTGTGCTGGTTAGGGCTGATGGGAGTTGGAGTCCCAACATCTGCAAGGCCACAGATTTCCCCACCTCTGCCCTAATGATAGTATCAGTGTGCTCCCAGCTTTAGGAGACCTAAACTTTCATTTTATATAGATGGGAGGAAACCAGTCTCTTCTAGTGTGCCTAATCTTGGCTTATATCTTATGTTTAACTGGAAGTAAAACAAAACAGGCAATTTGAATCTTATGTGCATTTCACATGTGATTTCAGCAATATGTGCTTGGCGGCAGCTACATTCCAGCCTTTTTCTTCTGCCTGCTTCTGTTTCTCTACTTGCTTCCCGCCATCGGTCCACAAACCCATTTCTGCCCAGGCAAGTACTGCTTGGCATGTTCTGTGAGTGGGGTGCCTTTGGTGGAAGTGTGGTAGCTCTGAGAGTGAAGATCCGCAATGTTCTCATGAGAAGTTGCAAGAAAGGCTTTTCATGGGTGTACTTGAGGCCTCCAGCTTCCTCCCACCTCCGAGCCTTCAACTTGCCAGTTGCCCCCTTTGAACAGTCATGGCTTCTCAAAAAATCCTGTGAACCTCAGTTAAGGGTACTGAGAGTTGCTAGGAGACCCCCTTTTCACCTCACAGAGTTACAACTCCCAAAGTTCCCATGCTAAAAGGATTGACTGTTAAACCACTCAGGGAATTGTAGCTATCAGAGGACTAGGGGTTTCCTAACAACTGCAGCACCCATAACAAATTGAAGTTCCCAAGATTCTTTGGGGAAATCATGACTGCTTAAAGCCATGTGATATTGCTTTAAACATATGGTGCAGTTGGGGCCTCATTTTACTTGCTAAAGAATTGTGTCGCTGGTGCTGTATACCCCACTGTGCCCAATAAACAATGGTGCCTTTCAATGTATTTTCAGACTTGTCTCTCTGTTCTTGCAAAATATTCTATGGCAGATGTACATTAAATCCAGTTTGAGATTGCCCATCTGATAACATTATATAAGTACAGATGAACAGTCTGTGTATGTAACTAATAAAGCAGAATGTATCGTATAGAAATTATGGATGTGTGTGGAATGTTTCAAAGCACCTGGCAGTACCACGAAGCTAGTGTCTTTATTTTTTTTTAGGCCAGCATCTTTCATGCATTTTGGTGTCAAAACATTTTTTGAACCATGTGCAGGAGATAGATTTTGATGATGCCTCCTTATATATACATTCACAAAACACATTTAAAACACTATTGTTTTAAATAGTCATGGCTTCCCTCAAAGAATCCTGAGAACTGATTTGCTAAGAGGGCTGAGAACCCCTTTTCTGCTTCCAGAGCGGTTTATCAATCCCAGGGAACTCTGGGAATTGTAGCTCTGTGAGACTAGTGGGTCTTCTAACAACTCTCAGCACCCTTTGGTGGGAGCAGTGGTTGAGGCAAGAGAGCAGGCAGAGCTCCAGGCAACATGACCACCAGTCAGAAGCATCAGGACTTCGTGGCAGAGCCCATAGGGGACAAGTCTCTTGGTACTTTAGTTGGCATTGGAGATGTACTTGGCAGGAAGCTGGAAGACAAAAACTTTGACAAGGCGTATGTGGTTCTGGGACAGTTCTTAGTGCTGAAGGACAAGGACCTCTTCCGCGAGTGGCTGAAGAACATGTGCATTGCCAACGCCAAGCAATCCAGAGACTGTTATGGCTGCCTGAAGGAATGGTGTGATGCTTTCTTGTGACTGTTGGCCAAAGCCTGGTGGATGCTGTGAGGGCTTTTGTAGTTGAATAGAGATTGTTTCTCCCCATCTCTCTCAGCACCTACTTCTTATAAACCTTCCAGCATCTACGCAGGTTGCTGAGGGCTATTGCTCCCAACACTGGGGTGGGGTGGAGGGGAGGGGAGCCATGGCTGCCTTTTAATGTGACTGAATCTTTTTTCCTCCAGGGAGAGGACTGAGAAACATCAAATGTTCTAAACATCAAGTAGGTCGTTGTTTTCTACGTGGCTTTAATAGAAACCCCCCTCACTGTTAGGCCACCCAACTCCAGAACCAGACCTGCCTGCTAACAATAATGGAAGTTTCCCTGCTCCCTTTGTTTGAGCTCCAATTAGACTGAGATTTACCCGTCAATTCTGAAGACAAAAGATGTTATTAGGATGATTATTTTTGTGATTTCTCTCCAGTGTTTGATCCCTGCTATAATTTTTATGCTACTCAGTTTATTGGCAAGAACCAAAAATCAGCTGTGTTTACTGAAACAACTCTCAGCACCCTTAACAAACTGCAGCTCCCAGAATTCTTTGCAGAAAACCATTAGCAGCTATCACTTGTTCTAATCAGTAAACCCAATTAAACTAATGGACCCAAGTTAGTCTCGTTCATTAGTTTCAGTGGATCTACTCTGAGTAGGACTAGCATTGGCTATAGCCTACTGCTTATGAATGGATCACACAGAATTCAAGCACAAAAGGCAGGAGCAGATTTTATTGCAACCCGTGGACTTATAAGGCAGTCTCTTGTGGCATACTGTTTTGCAGGAAGATTAATTTGTCAGTATGCAGCAGCTTTAGAGAGAATGCCTTCTTCCCAAGACAAAAGGGGGAGGGAGAGATTCTCAAATACTAACACCTCCTGCACCTTTGGAGCATCTCTGTAACAAGTAGATTTTGGTACCTTGTTTCACCCCGCAAATAAAAGCATATTGATCATAACCGTGGTCAACTCCATCTTTGTGTGAGAAAGATGAGGAATATAGTGTGATTGCCCCCAAATCAATTTTGCTTCAAAGTCAGACTTTTCATCCACCTAACTCAGTTCAGTCCACTCTAAAGCAGGCAAAATTCTGCCACTGTCCACCAGACAATGGTGAACTCCTAATTCCTATCAATGTCAGCCAGCCTATTTCAATGGTCAGGGAGGATGAGAGCTATGATTCAGCACCGTCTGGAGGACCACAGCTTCCGCACTCCTTGTCTACTCCAGGGATACAGGCAGGAAATGGTCATTTCCCAGGCTGGCAACTCAGAAGCATTTTTAACTGGCAATGTCAGCAGTTCAGCCTGGGACCTTCTGCATATCCAGTCTGTGCTCTTCTGCTAATAATCTAGGGCCTCTCAGTTGTAAATAAACCCACTCTAAAACCACCTCAAAGTAAAAAAATAAAAATTGCTCAATTTCACTTCTGTTACGGCACCCGTCAGCAAGGCTCAAGGTCTCTTTCACAAGTAAAAATGCCCATCTATGTTTATACAATGAAGCATGCAAAGTTAAAAACAAACATTTTATTAAGCACGGCAGCCTAGCAAGGTTGCACAAAAGAAACCATCAAGTAAGAGATCCCATCTTTGTAGGGAAAGCAAGACTTGCTCTGCTTGGAGGAGGAACTCCCATTTAAAACCTAGAGGAGAGAAGCTCAGTTTCTTCTGCTATTTCTAAACAGAGTTTGTTCGGCTTCTGAAACAAATTCCTGCTTTCTTCCGAAGCTCACAGGTACCAGGCACTGCCACTGTCCACCCTTTGGGCTTTAGAACTCAAAGTTCCCAAACTGAGATGAACGGTTGTTTGGTTTGGGCTGGGGTTTGTAGCCAATCCGGTCATGTATCATCTGCTCCCGGCTCTTATGATCAGTGCTGAGTCCCAGCGCACCCTCACCATCGCTGCCTCCCACCACATCCACCTCCTCACGCTTCCTACGACTCTGTGGAAACAAATGGGAAGCATGATTAAAGAAAACTACTCCAGGACAATCACATATGTGCCTCCTCCACCCATGACATGTTTTCTTTTTCAAATATAGCTGCAATGTATCAGATTCTTTGCTTTCAGATTTAAGACACTGCAAGCTGTCAAAAGGTTCTGCCACAGAAAGGGACCAAATACCTTTACTTGTGAGTGCAGGGGGCTAACATGAAGGCAACCTCAAGAATCATTTGGCATTTAGATCTGCTACTGTGCATGCACAAACACACCACCTTGCACAGGAATACAGGTAGCAGTTTTATACCAAATTGGACCATTGTTTCATCTTGCTCAGTATTGTCTACTCTAACAACAATATTGCAGGATTTCAGGCAGGGAGTCTCCCAGCCCTACCTGGGAGACTGAACTTGGGAGCTTCTGCATGCAAAGGAAATGCTTTACAGCTGAGCTTATGATCATCTAACATAGAACACAGGAAGCTGCCTTTTACCGAGTCAGACCATTGGATCCACTTAGCTCAGTATTATCCATCCTGTTTGGCAGCACTTCTCCACAGTTTCAGGCAGGAAGGCTCTTCCAGACTTACTTGGGGATACAGTACTCACAATTGAACCTGGGACCCGCTCAATGCAAAGAAAATCCTTTGCCACTGAGCTGTGACCTTTCCCCAGCCAACAACCTTATATTAAAACAAGCAAATAGCAGCTCTGAGGAGCCAGTGTTCTTTCTCCATACTGTGAATAATTTTATAAGCTTGGTTCTGCAAGTTCCACCCAAGTAAGAACAGTAGGAGGGGGGAATTGCATCCAACCCCAGCGGGTGGCTCTACCTCACCGCCTGTTTACTATACTCAGTACCCCCCTGAGTGGGACAGAGCAGCCTGGGCCGGGCAGCTCAATAACAAACAGGATGGCTACTCCCCTTGTGAGGAGAAACAGCTTTTTAAAAAAGAAAAATGAGAGCAAGGACAAGAGAATCTCTAAGACATCACCTTGCCAACAAAGGTCCGTATAGTTAAAGCTATGGTTTTCCCAGTAGTGATGTATGGAAGTGAGAGCTGGACCATAAGGAAGGCTGATCGCTGAAGAATTGATGCTTTTGAATTATGGTGCTGGAGGAGACTCTTGAGAGTCCCCATGGACTGCAAGATCAAACCTATCCATTCTTCATGAAATCAGCCCTGAGTGCTCACTGGAAGGACAGATCCTGAAGCTGAGGCTCCAATACTTTGGCCACCTCATGAGAAGAGAAGACTCTCTGGAAAAGACCCTGATGTTGGGAAAGATGGAGGGCACAAAGAGAAGGGGACGACAGAGGACAAGATGGTTGGACAGTGTTCTCGGAGCTACCAGCATGAGTTTGACCAAACTGCGGGAGGCAGTGGAAGACAGGAGTGCCTGGCGTGCTCTGGTCCATGGGGTCAAGAAGAGGCGGACACGACTAAATGACTAAACAACAACAAAGCATGTGCAGAGTGCGCAAACAACACCACCACCACCGAAGAAAGGTGGGCAAGGAGCGCCTCGCCGTCCCGCAACCAACCAACCACTCACCCACCCACCTCGAGTTCCTTGCGGGCGCCGTCGAACTCCTCGATGTCGTCCAGCTTCAGTTCAAGCCGCGTCGGTTTCCGCCGCAGCATCTTGCAAGTACACCTTTCCCCCCGCGGCTCTCCCGCGCGTGCGCAGCAGCAACCCGCTCTTTTCTTCACCTGCACCTCTAGTTCAGACGCCAACGCCAGAGGCTCGATCCCACCATGCCCCACGTCGCCTGCCAGCAACCCGGAAGGTCTCGCTCCGCATAACCATAGAGCTCCCAGGCAGGCTAGAGCGACCCGCTCTCCGGGATTGAATGGAAAGGCATCATTGGCTGTGGCGCTCCGCGAGGGCGGGGGAAGCCGCTGTGCCGGAAGTGTTCGTGGGGAGCCCGATGTGTGCGATTCCCCCACTACAGAGCCCCGGTCTGAGAGGAGGGGTTGGGAAAGCGCCATGGCTGCGTCGCGGATCGCCGTGGTGAATAAGGCAGGGAGCTTGAAACTAATGTGGTTTCTTAGTTTAAAAAACGTGTATCTTTTCATAGAAATGATAAAATGAAAAATCTGTTTGAAATAGACGCCAGTGTCTACTTATTTACTGCAGTGACTAACATAACCTCACGTCGGTAGTAAAAGTTTTTAAAGCGTAACGGATTGTATCCAACTAAAGCTCAATTCAAGGTTGGACTCATTTGAATTAATGAATATGACTCGCTTGCGGCTGTTAATTTCAGTGGTTCTACTCTTTCAGTGGAGCTGAGTTGGGTGCAACTCAACGCTTCGGCTTCTGCCACAAAAGGCAGAATGTTATGCTTAAAGATATTTCTGCTGCATTAAAATAACAAGGCATTCTTTGCCACCTTAAAGACTAACAAACGTTGTTGTTGCAAAACCACCTATTAGAGTGGACTTGTAGTCCATGAAGATTATGGCAGAATATATATGTGTGTGTGTGTGTGTGTGTGTGTGTGTGTGTGTGTGTGTTAGGATTTTATCCAGTGCTATCTCTACACAGAGCAGACCCACTGAAATGAATAGACATAACCAATTCAAGCCCCTTAGTTTTACTGGGCCCACTCAGAACAAGATATGGATACAGTCCTTTGCTTTTAAAGTAGCATGATACTCATGGACTAATATGACTGTTCCTGTGGAATATTTTATGTTAGTCACTGTAATAAATATATTACCAAACAGTATAATCCTTAACCATGTCAGCTCAGAAGAAAGTCCTATTCAGTTCAGTAGGGCTAACTCCCACAGAGGTGGGCTTAGGGTTTTAGCCTTAATGATTAACAGTATGCTGGGATTCAAAACAAAATTGTCTCATGTACTGCTTGATGGGGTGGGGGCTGTCAGATGTGGGCAGATGTCATGAGTCAGGAGTATAGGGGGAGCTGGTTGCTGCCTTTTGGCCCTATTCCTTTTCAGCCTCCTTTTCTGCCTCAGTCTGGACTGCTCTCTGCCCCAAGTCTCTTCCTGCTCACTAAAGCCTGTTGCCTCTTCTCCCTCTGACCATGCATCACTGTCCCCCTGGCTCTGAACCTTCTTCCCCAGTTCTCTGCATCAAACCAGCCTATGACAGCATGTGGGGGGAAACCCACATTTGCTCTCTTACTTCTCCATGTAGGCTACTGCTGAGTTTCCTTCTTGCAGGGTTCAAAAACAAAGGCTTCAGATGAAGGGGATGCTCCTCCAGCCAAGAAAGCCCCGATTTTCTATGGGAGCTTGGAGGAGAAAGAGCGAGAGCGTCTTCTCAAAGGGGAATCTGGGATGATGGGCAAAGATGCGGTCAAAGCAGCTATTGAGGCTGGCAACATCAATATCACCAGTGGTAAGAGATGGTAATGAGCTGACTGGGAGATGGAAGGAAAAGGATGGAGGGAAGAACTGCTAAGTGGGGCTGATAATTTGTTTAGAATGCTTGTAAGCAGGTCGTTTTCAGCAAATGCTCTCAGAGCTCACAGTTCAATACTAAAATTACAATTAAATCAGGAAGTCCTTTAAAACAAATCACACTAAAACATTACACAGCATAATGGAGATTAAACGAGATGCTGACATAAAACCACGTGCTGCAGTAGAACATCTTAAAAGTCTGTGCAAGCAAAGAAGGCATTCACCTGGTGCTGACAGAATGCCACAACTAAGAAGCCTGTGTCATTGTCCACCATACTTCCAAGGGTGGTAGGACCTAGAATAGATATTAATGTTTGGGTGGGTTCATGACAGGTAATCTGTCAACTAGCCTGGCCCCGACCCATCTGGGGCTTTGTAGGTCAAAATCTGCACTTTGGCTTGAGCTTGGCAATGAACTTTAATCCAGTGTATCTCTTTAGGACAGGCAAAATAGGTTCCACATGACCAGTCCCATTTATTTGCTTTAACTGTAGTTTCCAAGCAATCTTCAAAGACAGCCCCAAGTACAGTGCATTATAGTAATGAGTCCATGGATAAATGTGACCAGGCTATCTTTATCCCAGGGATGCTATCTATTATACATACAGTGGTACCTCTGATTACAAACTTAACCTGTTCCGGAGGTCCGTTAGTAACCGGAAACCGCTCGTAACATGAGGCGCGCTTCCGCTAATGGCGCCTCCCGCTGCTGCCGCACCACCAGAGCGTGATTTCTGCTCGCATCCTGGGGCAAAGTTCGCAGCGAGGGGCATCTACTTACGGGTTAGTGGAGTGCGTAACCCAAAGAATTTGTAAGGGGGACGGTTCGCAACACAAGGTACCACTGTAGTTCTTTACAGGAGAAAGCAAGCAAGAGACAAATCCCTGCCCTGAGGTCTTTATAATCTAAGTCTAGATAGGTGTGGCAAGGAGCAAAACACTAGATGAGAAGGAGTGTCACAGGTGGCAGCAGATCAATGTGGGTACACTCTGCTTAGGTTTCATTTCAGGGGAGGAAATGGTTGTTGGCTAGCTGCTGCCCATCTACGGGTCCTTTTTGTTCCCTCTGGATATAAAAATGTGTACTGCCAGTGGCCATAAGAGATTGTGCTCTCTTAACCCCCCCCCCCAAGCAATACCTTAATTACATTGTGCCTTTGTATGAATTTTGATTTTAAGCCATTTGGGGAGCCACTTTTGGCTGAAAAGAGGGGTGTAGATCAAAGTCTTAAGCCACAGGCCTCACTGATAACATAAGCTTTGACCTGGACACTCAAGGAGCACAGAGAGGTGACACAACATATACCACATATTGTTGCTCCTTGCTTGTGGCTTCATTGGAATGAAGCAAACTTACGAAATGAGGGTCAAGTGTTGAGGCTTTGTAGGGTCCTGTTGGGGTTGTATTTCCTATAACTTTTGGCTTTCTACTATGATCAGGAGAAGTTTTTGACTTGGAAGAGCACATCAGCGAGCGCCAGGCAGAGGTCCTGGCAGAGTTTGAGCGCCGGAAGCGGGCCAGGCAAATCAATGTTTCCACAGATGACTCTGAGGTCAAGGCCTGCTTACGAGCCCTCGGGGAGCCCATCACACTTTTTGGAGAGGGCCCTGCAGAAAGGAGGGAGAGGTGAGAGAGGATGAAATTGACTTGCTCTCACTTCCTTTTCCAGTTCATTGATGTGACTCATATAAACAAAGGCAATTTAATCTTTACTTTATTTCTCAACAGGCTACGTAATATTCTGTCTGTGGTTGGCACGGATGCATTGAAGAAGACCAAAAAAGATGATGAGAAGTCCAAGAAATCAAAAGAGGAGGTAATAAATTTTAAAGTGTGTTATGAGTGACAGCAGCTCTGGGGTTTCAAATGGGAGTCTTCACAAACCCGAGGACCTTTTGTATGCACAGCTCACACTTTCCCACTGGGCTCTGACTTTTCCCCTTTCCCCTTAGCTATAAATGTGTGCCCACTATACTAGCCAAGTCTCACAAGAGATTCCCACCCCTTTAATGTTTCCTTTGTCTTAGTATCAGCAAACCTGGTACCACGAAGGACCAAATACTTTGAAGACAGCCAGACTGTGGATCGCCAACTACTCTCTCCCTCGGTAAGGGGCTGGGATTGAGAAATGCTAATGCATACATTGATGAGGCCTTGTATATCTGTTGTCCCTAACTAGAGTGGTGGTGATGGTTGAGAAATGGGGGATTTCTAACCCACCCACCTTCTGCACATGACAGAAGAATTGTCACCATCACAACTTGCAGGCTTCTGCAAGGGTTGAATATGGGCAAGACCTGATTACATTGATTTTTGTCCCCTTCACAGGGCAATGAAGCGATTGGAGGAAGCCCGGCTGCTCAAGGAGGTCCCTGAGGCCACACGGACATCCCAGAAACAGGAGCTGCACAAATCTCTAAGGGTAAGTGGGACCCATCTCTGCTATGACTTAAAAGTTCTGGGCACTGGGCTGCTGCAGCTCAGAAGGCCCCCGAGATGCAGAGGTTCAAATGAACTTGCAGAAGGCTTCTGTGCCTCTGCTCCTCCTCAGCATAGTTCAATGGTAAATGCTTTTAATGTGGATGATCCCAGGTTGATTCCCTGGCATCTCCATCTCCAAGGACACCTGGACAAGGAAAGATTTCTGCTGGTTGCTTGGAATTCAGCTGCCAGTTCAGAGCACGTAACATTGCACTAAATGGGCCCAACAATTCAGCTCAGTAGAAAACACCACTGGGGGTGAGGTGGGGGAGCAGCCTGGGCAGGAAACGTCTCTTTTCTTTACCATCTCAGGGCCGTCTCATTTTAGTGAGCCCGTCAGTTCCTCTGGTGGCAAAATATTACCTTTTGTTTTTTGTTTTTCTTTCAGTCTTTGAATAATTTCTGCAGCCAAATTGGGGACGACCGCCCTATCTCCTATTGCAACTTCAGCCCCAACTCCAAGCTCCTGGCTACAGCTTGCTGGTAAACTTTATTCTGCTTTTCATTATTTCCCTCCCAATCCTGCTAAGTTCTCCTGTAGTGCACAGGAGAGGCTGCCTGAGCCGTTGAGGGCAGTCATAGACTCATAAAATTGTAGCGCTGGAAGGGATCCCGAAAGTAATATTGTTCAAGGCCGGCAATTAGCAAGCTCTGGAAGGCTATTGTGGGAGTATTTAGAAAGTGATAGTGCTGTGGGTGCATTTAATCATTTTGTTGAAGGTTGTTTTTAGACTTGCTATCTTCTGTTTTGTTTTTAGACTTGTTATCTTGCAACTGGCGCGTGTGTTGCTATTGAATTTTGCTTGGTGTTTATATGTTTTTGATTTTTTTTTTTTACTCTTAGTTTCCTTGATTGGTTTTGTTTGGTTGGTTTTGTTTGTAAAACAGAAAGACAAGGGATTGAAAACATTTTAAGATAAAATAAAATGCCAATCAGTTTTCCTTCTGCCTTTCCTCTCCCAGGAGCGGCCTCTGTAAGCTGTGGTCAGTGCCGGATTGTAATCTCATTCACACTTTGCGAGGTATCGTATCTGTTTCCCACCGCACCCATTGCCAAAGCAACCTTCTTTTCTCTTATCTTCCCTCAAATGACTGGAGCAATTATATGGCTGATTAGGAGCATAAGGCTACATGGGTGGGAGGCTATGAATTTTGAGAGTGGTGCTGTGCAAACCTCTTCTTCTTCTCTTTTTCCACCTTGGGCTTGGGTGAGATGGCATTCCTTTCTCGAAGACAGCCTGGACTCTAAGAATCAGTGTTGGGAGTCATATCCTGTAGGCCCACTGCTTAGCTGCTGACTAATTCAGGGCTTGGGAACGTCAGGCCCGTGAGCCACATGTGGCCCTCACAGCCTCTCTGGCCCTTGGGACTCTCTTCAACTGCACCAACCCTGCTTGGCACCCTCCTTTAGTGTTTTTACTTGGGTGGAATGTGTCTTTGAATTCTGATCAGGCCTGGAAGGAGACTAGAAACGGGAGTGTGAAGGCAGGTAGCCTACTGTACAAAGGGAAAAGCTGCATTTGTTGCTCCATCTTCTTTTGCTTTTGGCCCCTCCCACTATTGGCATGCAGCCATCCTCCATTTAGGCCAGCCAGAGTCATTTTCAGAATTCAAGGATGCAGTCCAGGCTAGCAGAAGACACTCAAGAAGGGCGTGAAGCAGAGACAGTGAAGTGTGTGGCCTGAGGGGAAGGAGTGAATTAGTGTGGGGAGAGTGCCAAGGGACCAAAGTGGAAGGTCTTGAGAGCCACGTTTGGCTTACAGGGCCAAGCTTCCCCACCCCTGCTTTAGCACAAAAACTAAATTTGGAGTGATTCCCAAAGAGTCTCTTCGGAGCAATAGGAAGAGGCCCAGACAGAGGAAGCAAGCTTTAAATTGGCTGGCTCTCAAACTGTCTGTCTGTCTTGTCTGTTCCCAAGGGCACAACACCAACGTTGGAGCCATTGTCTTTCACCCCAAGGCAACCATCTCCCTGGACAAGAAGGATGTTAACCTGGCTTCATGCGCAGCGGATGGCTCTGTCAAACTCTGGAGTCTTGAAAGGTACGCCTTCCCTTCCTTAATTTATTGGCTGCTGCGGGTGGTAGAGAAAAATATTAAAGCAGCCCAGAGAATGGCTTCCTGTTTAACTTCCTTCTGCAACAAACAAAAAGCTAACACAAGTGACTGAGGCAGGGGCATGACCACACCATACCACACCATAAAGCACGTGGCTCCCCCCCAAAGAATCCTGGGAGCTGTAGTTTGTTACAAGTGCTGGGAATTATAGTCCTGTGTGGGTGAACTATAGTTCCCAGAGTTATTTTGCCATGGGTGCTTTTTGGGGCCTGATCCAGCAGTGCTCCTCTCTCCTTATAATGAGGCTTCTTTTCTGTGTTACTGTTTCTAAAGCTTTATAGAGACACGAGTTTGCTTGGCTTATTGGTTGTGCCCCCGGCCCAAACTGTGTGGTGGTGGTGGTGGGGTTTCCCACTTCTCCCCCATGTCATACTTGTCTTACATTTTACACCTCTTGTCTTGCTATGTCCCCTGTTAGTAGCACCACAAGCTGGGTTTGTTCCAACAGTCAAGGCACTGTGACTCTTGGGGAAGGCCGTTGATTTTGTCAGTGCCTTATCCAAGGAAACAGAGAGAGACAGCAGATTCTTTAATTGGGCCTCAGGGAAGAGGTTTATTTCTGCCAGATACTGTTGCTGTGGGCAGAAGCATCAGTGGCGGTAAATTCACACTCCTTCTGTCAGTCTTGGGTGCCTGTGAGGTCATAGAATCATATAATTGTCAAGTTGGAGGGGACCACGAGGGTCATTGAATCCAACCCCCTGCAGTGCAGGAATCTTTTGCTCAAACTCACATTTAGTGATAGATTTTCTCCCACCTGTTGAACTCGAGACCCTCTTTTGCAACAGTGAGGGACCTGTGGCCCATGGGCCTGACTGGGCCTGGCAGGGAACCTGATATGGCCCATAGGGCCATTTTTGCCAAGCCGCACCTGCCCCACCCCTGACATCTTGTATAATATGGGGCAGGTAAAGACACGGCCACAAAAGGGACAAGTTTTAAAATGTGTTGTTCTGGGACCACTCTGTGGCTTGTTATATTGATGTCAAATTCAAACCCCACTGGGTTAGGCTTCCTTCTGGAGTTCCCTGAGTTCCTTCACCTTTTATTTAAGAAAGTCAGGGTTGCGTGTTTAGGACTGGATCATTCCAGCAGCAAGGGGGCTCAATCAAACTGAAGATAGCAGCTACAGTAAGTGGAGCTGGTCTAGTAACTCTGATACTTGAGGAAGTATTAAGATTCCCCCCTGCCAATGAGGTCACTGTTTCACTATCCGGTCGCTTTCTTTTGGAACACAGGATTGTAGACCCATTGAAATGCATGGACATGGTTAACCTAGGTTCAGTAATTTCACTGGGTCTGCTCTGAAATGAACTTAATTGAATACAACCCCATAGGAAGCTGCTTTATAGCAAGCCAGACTAATTGCCTCTCAAGACCACTGTTGTCTGCTCTGACAGGCAGTGGCTCTCCACAGTTTCAAGTGGGAGGATTTCCCAGGTGTACTTTGAGACCCCAGGAATTGAATCTGGGATTCTTTTGCCTGCAGAGTTTGTCTACCACTGAGCCACAACTGCTCTGCTTGAGCAGTCAGGGTTTTCCCTTCTGTTTTGACCGCCCTTTGATCCCCCTGGTTGAATTTCAGTGTATATCATTTTAACGGTTTTCCAAATCCAATATTCTTATAAAATTAACTTAATCACTTAGCATCTTTCTTTCTTCCCAGTTCGGCATTAAACATATTGATTCATCACATTACAAATTTAAATCCTAAGCCTATCTGATATTTGCAAGTTTTTCCAATTAAGTTAACTTAACATATTTAACTAAATAGTCTTTAAATTTCGTCCATTCCTCCTGGTAATCCTCCTCCTTCTGGTCACGGACTCTTCCAGTCAGGTCTGCTAGCTCTGAAAAGTCCATCATCTTCATCTGCCAATCTTCCACTGTTGGTACTTCTTGTGTTTTCCAAACTGCCTCTTTATTTTAGTCTCACTTATGGGACAGCCAGCACCATCAAGAATTTGCCATGAGATGTTGTGTTTCTTTCAGTGATGAACCAGTGGCTGACATCGAGGGACACACAGTGAGAGTAGCCCGGGTGGCATGGCATCCCTCTGGCAGGTTTCTGGGCACCACCTGGTAAGTCAGAGGCGGGGGTGCAGCCCAAAGGGCCACACGTGGCACCTGGTCTAATTTCTTGTGGGTAGCAAGGAGGAGAATAAATAGGGAAATGATGTGATGGAGAGGGAGGAAGAGCAGAGAGCGGCAGAAAGGAAGAAAAGGGAGTGCCTTCCATTGTTAGTAGTCTCGCCACCACTGGCAATGCCACCGCCATTGGTTACCTTCGAAAGAATTCTGCCTTTGATAGAAAAATAGTTGTTATCATCCCCTTGTGATATGTTACTTCTTTCCACTCAGCCCATCACTCATTACACAAGATGGAAAGTGAGAGGTCAGAATGGGAGGGAGCTGCAGTTGAAGATCCCAATACTTCCTCAGTGAGATTGGCAACTGAGCAGGGAATTGAATTATGTGTCCTAAATGCTACACATATCCCTGTATCAGTTGGCTGATCGTCTAAGTTTGTGGGGGCCAGGGGCAGATTAGATTAATTCCATGGTCTCAGCTTGGAGTGGAGATAGGATAGACAATCCAGCCACCTGCTTGAACTTCAGGGAGGGGACCTGTTGGGGCCTTGTGAGATATTCACGTGGGTCTTTGTTTCTTCTCCACCTCCCCACCCCCTGCAGCTATGACCACTCTTGGCGTCTGTGGGACCTGGAGGCTCAGGAGGAGATCTTGCACCAGGAGGGGCACAGCAAAGGAGTTTACGACATCGCCTTCCATGTTGACGGCTCCCTTTCTGCCACTGGGTAAATCTACATGCAAGTGCAAGTCCTAACCCTCCTTGGGGGTGTCACTGAGCGAGTATCAGCCAGTCAGTAATGGTGCTCATTCTTGCTAGTTCTAAAACGCCAGAAAAGAGAGAGAACTGGTTGGGATTCTACCTTCAGAAGATTCCACTCAAGTCTTCACTCCTGCAGCTAAAAAGTCACAGGGTGGAAATTCTAATGAGGGAGGGGCCATAGCTTCAATAAGAGTGTCTGCTCTGCGTAGAGAAAGTCACAGCTTCAATCCCCAATAGTTATCTCCCTGTCTACAATCCTGGAGAGCAGCTGCCAGTCAGTGTAGACACTACTGAATTAGATGGACCAATGTTTTGACTCATTTCAAGGAAACTTCCTTTGTTCCTAATAGCTTGACTGTATTCCTGAGTTTATACTACTCATTAAAATAAAAGTTTCAACTGTTTAGGGTAATATTAACATTTGCCCCATCATTGTTCCAAATCTGCAAATTCTGATCTGGGCAGCTCTTGCTGTAGCTTGTTTGTAATTGAGTCGATCCTTCATTGCCCTATAACTATGCTTTGGAACTCCCTGCCTATTGACATTAAGCAAGCTACAGTGGTACCTCTGGTTACGTACTTAATTCGTTCCGGAGGTCCGTTCTTAACCTGAAACTGTTCTTAACCTGAAGCACCACTTTAGCTAATGGGGCCTCCCGCTGCCGCCGCGCCGCTGCCGCACAATTTCTGTTCTCATCCTGAAGCAAAGTTCTTAACCTGAGGTACTATTTCTGGGTTAGCGGAGTCTGTAACCTGAAGCGTATGTAACCTGAAGCATATGTAACCTGAGGTACCACTGTTTATAGTTCTAGGCGCCTGCTGGATCCTTTTTTTTTTTTTTTTTTTTTTTGACAAGCCTACCCAGGTGCATAATTTAGTTACTTTGTTTTTAAAGTTCTACTTATTTTTATGCGTGTTTATAATGCCAATGGCTTTTATGTATATTTTTTCTTTTTAATTGTTTTGCAGATTTTAGCTATGTTTCACCTACAGTTTTCGTACTCCTCTTAGATAACTTTTTGATTTAAGTGCATTATAAATATTCTAAATCTATACAAACAAAGTGTGCTAATTAGACTTTGCTACATGTGATTTGCCAGGTAGGTCAGATCTGGGTTCTGCTTGCAGAACCTTGGATCTGCAGACAGGAGGTGGTAGTAACATGGGAGGCAATCCGAGCTGCATTGCAGAAAGGCTTTGCTCCAGTTTAACAACTGTGGTTCACAGAAGCTCCTTTGGCTCCTGTTTAGTGATGTTAAGAGGCATCTAGCCTAGGTGACAACTAAAGAGGAAAGAAGATCCGAAGATGGCTTTAAGTGAAGCCACTTATTCAAAGTGGAAGCACGGGAAGGGGTTTGTGTGAGAAAAATATTGTTTGACATTTTCCTCTTCCTTTCAGTGGCCTTGATGCATTTGGCCGCGTGTGGGATCTGCGCACGGGGCGTTGTATCATGTTTTTGGAGGGTCATCTCAAGGAGATCTATGGGATCAACTTTTCCCCTAATGGGTAAGAACCAATTTGCCATCCCCTCTTGGGGTGCAGGTCTTAATATTGACACACAGACAACTAACTTCTGCTCGGAGTAGATTAATTGAAATTAATGGAACTAATTTCGTCTGCGTGCACACTATACATTCAAAGCACATTTCCCACCCCAAATCATCCTGGGAACTTTAGTTTTCCCCTCACAGAGCTTATAATTCCCTATACCCTTAGTAAACTACAGTTTCCAGGATTCTTTGGCAAAAGCCATGTGCTTTAAATGTGTGATGGGTGCATAGCCTTCCCCCCTCCCTCAATATGTTTTATTAAAGCTTTTTCATAATCATGTAGGATTATGAATAGGGCTGAAGCTGGGAACAACCCCCTTGCACGCAAACCCAAATTCCTCCTCTCCCGTACTTCTCATAGGTACCACATTGCCACTGGCAGCGGTGACAACACCTGTAAAGTGTGGGATCTCCGCCAGAGAAAGTGCATCTACACCATCCCTGCCCATCAGAACCTGGTTACCGGAGTGAAGTTTGAACGTAAGTCTCTGCAGCTGCTATGGCCTTTCCCCAGAAACTGAGGATATATAATGGGCTGAAAAGTACCTTGTCTATGGTTTCCAAGTGCAACATAGATTCCCAAGACATGGATATATACCGCTCCCCATCCTCCCCAAATACACTGGCTCTTGAGAATAGCCTGTATGCTCTGTCACTTGCCCTCCCTCTTCCTGCATCCCCCGTTCCCTGCTTATGGTTGGCTTCTGGGTAAGGTTTTGGGGAAACTCGTAGCACTCTGGAAGTAGTTGGACTCCCAACTCCATTAGCCCCAGCCAGCATAGCTAATGGTCATGGACGATGGGAGTTGTAGTTCCTCACCCCTGCTGTAAGTGGTGAATCTCTATATTGTCTCCTTAGTCCTTCTCCTCACTTCCTGTTATTTTTCTCTTTCCCGCCACCCAGCAAATCATGGCAACTTCCTGCTTACTGGAGCTTACGACAACACAGCCAAGGTCTGGACGCACCCAGGCTCATCCCCGCTGAAAACCTTGGCAGGACACGAGGGCAAAGTCATGGGCTTGGACATCTCCCTGGACGGACAGCTGATCGCCACATGCTCTTATGACAGGACTTTCAAGCTTTGGATGGCAGAGTAGGGGGAAGGAGCATTTCTGCCGGATCCACAGCCAAGGAAGGCAGCCTGCTGTGACTCCCTGGGCCTCCGCCACAGATCAGGGCATGGCTTGATGCGCTTCTGGGATACTGCCTCCTCCTCACACCTGCACACCCTCTGGTCAGGCCAAGCTGAGTTTGAGAACGCCTTTCCTATTGCATTTTGCTGTAGTTGTGTACTCTCCCCTCCCTTCCCTGTGGAACAGGCTTGCATTGATCTAACACCACCAACCTTTAGGAATACCCATGGTGCTAACAGAGCTGGTAGGGTGGGTTGTTCTGGTTGTTATTTGGGAGTGGGGTCACAGCTTCTTCTCACTCGGACAGAGACTTTTCTTGAAAAACGACACCCTAACATTAAAGCAGAGTGGCTGCTTGAAAATGGTGAAGCCTGTGTGGGTTGTGTTTTTGACACATTGTTTCTTGAGCCAAACAGCCTCTGGTGATGGGGTGCCTCCCCTGCCCCACCCCTGAGTGCTCTGCTATTATCACTCCTGCATTCATGGACTCATCAAGTTGGTAGGGACCTTAAAGATCATTAGCCCGGGAATAGTGAAACCACAGGCCCCCTAAGCTAGATGTGGCCCTCCAGGCTTCCCTGCCTGGCCCTCAGGACTCTCCCCCAGCCACAACCCCCCGCAAACCATGTTTCACATCCTCCCTGAGAGTTTTTGCCTGGCAGGAATGTGTCCTTTCACTCTGATAATACTTCTTGCTTGCCTAGATGGAGGAGATGGAAGGGTGTGTGTGTATATGGAAACTGGCCTGCCGCACAGAGGTAACATTTACATTAGCTGCCCCACTCACTTTTGCCTCACCCCACCTACCACCGGCATGTGGCGCTCAGAAGGTTGCCCAGAATGGAATGAGGTAATTAGGTTGGGGGAAAAGATCTTCCACCCCTGAATTGTTATTTCCTTGTAGGGAAAGGCTCTGCAGCCACCCCACTAATGTTCATTTTGTGTGTCCCTTTCCCAATCCACCCTGTCCTTGCTAAACCTACCTCCTTGCAAGATCCAAAAGATTGCTTTGATCCTATTATCAACCCCCACTCTTACAAGCTGATGCAATTTGAAACAAAACACTGCAGCGTAGATACAAAAGTTTTAATGTCACTGCCATTTGGCCCTCTAACCATTAGTGCATACACCAGGAGAAAAAAAACGTTGAGCATCTGCCTTCATTTTCATACCTGCATGACTTGAGTACACAGCGGACCATCTCCAACCCTGGACAGAGAACAGTTAAGATCTGCAGCCTTGGTGGTTCCACATTCAGCAGTGCAGTCAGTGTTCTCTGGATGTTGGGAACTCTTCATTGGCTGCAGCAGAGGCATTTGGCACAGGGGAAGAGTCCGGTTTGGAGGGTTGGCATAGCTCAGTGGTAGAGTCTTCCAGGTTCAATCCCCAGAATCTCCAGGTAGCAATAAGAGATACCACTGCCTAAAACCCTGGAGAGCTGCCACTCAGTGTAGACAGTATGGAGCTAGATGGACCAATGGCCTGACTAATGTCCCTATGTCCCTTTACTCCAAGTATGCGGAAGCTTGGGCCCTCCAGACATGGTTGTGTTACAGCTCCCATCATGACCAGAGATGATGGGAATTGTAGTTCAGCAACACCTGGAATGAGAAAAAAACTCCTCTCCACACCTGCTATGTTCCCATTATCCATTTTCACCCTCTTACCCACTTTAGCCAACTTAGGAAGCAGTGATATTGTTCATTGAAATGCTCCCACTGCCCTGCCATGTCCTCATCCCCATCCCTATTTTAAAGCTCACAAGTAACCCTCAAGGTCAAATCCTGGGACCCAGTGGCAGTCCAAACCATTTTGCTGTCTGGGGCGAAGGACAATTGGCAGCCTCTCTCTTGTTTGATAGGCAGAATCTGACAGAGCTTTGAGTCTTAAATCATAACTCCGGGCAATGTCTTCCAGCACACTTGAGCTGACTTAGAGAACTCAAGGCAGGTTGTGTAGCACACACAAGCCAGTCCTCCCAACACTTTGCTGCTGCTTGCCAACCACCTCTACCCTGCTCCCAGCATCTTCCGCCTGAGGAGGCTGCTGGTCCCTGTCACCCCCACCCCCAAAAGAACTGCCTGGTCCAAAAGATAGAGAAGATGAGTAGTAAAGTCACACTTAAGATGACAGCCATCAGGTAGGTGAAAATCCGGAGCTGGGGGTTGCAGGCACACGCCCACATTGGGGAGCGGCGGTGGTTGGGCAGGGTTGTGGTGGCAGTGGTAGTGCTGGCTGGGCGGCTTTGCTCACGGTAGCTGTCAATGCTGGGATCTGTCACTGGGCCCAGGTCCAAGGTGTAGACCCTGGGCTGGCGGAGGAAGTACCTGCTCTTGCGCTGCTCCTTCAAGCACAGCTGCCGGCCCTCCAGGATGATGTGGTTGGGCTCCAGGCGCAGCAGGCGCAGGATGGCCTCGTTGGTGGGCAGCTCAGTGACGGGCTGGTCAGAGGGGAGGACAGTAGGGTGGCGGCAGAGTGGGCACTGCAAGCGGTTCTGAGCCAGGGACACCAAGCTGAGATGAGCCAGGCACTCAATGCAGAAGGAATGTTGGCACTGAAGGACCTTGGGGGTGCGGAAAGTGTTGTCGTAAGGGTTCCAGCAGATGGGGCATTCGGCCTCCAGCCCCTGGACCTCCTTCTCAGCCATGGGGAGACCCGTCAGCAACACAGCCTTCTTTGCTACCTAGGAGACTAAAAAAACAAGGGCAGGTGGAAGCTCAGTGACAGTAATCATACAGCAGCATCAGTGCAGTGGAACCTTTGGCCCACAAGATGCAACGATTGGCTTGCCATAGGGCCGTGCTTGCTGAGGCTGATGGGAGTTGTAGTTCTTCAGCATTGGTGGAGGTGGGGAGACAAAGGTCCCCAACATCTGGTTTTTACAGCATCAGCAAATGCAAAGAGAGAGGTCCTCCACCCAAGGGAGTTTGCAGTATGAAGTTTAAGAGTGGAAGCGAGCCCTTCTCTTGCAAAGCAATTGATAAGGCAAGGATGGGAAAATAAACATCCACATCAGAACAGCCTGCTGGATCAGGCCAATGGCAATCTAGCCCAACATCCTCTTCTCACAGCAGCCAACCAGAAATACATGGGAAACCTTGCGCACAGAGCATAGGTGTCATGGCTAGTAGCCATTGATAGCCTTATCAGAGGAAGCACATAGAGGCTTGTGCTGTAGTGGTAGAGCCACTGCCAGTCTAAGGATCAATGCTCTGACTCTATAGCATAAAGGCAGCTGCCTGTGTCCTACACCCACCCACCCCTGCAAAAAAACAATACCCAAAACCTACCTTGGCTTGAAAAGCAGGAGATGTGGACAGTGTGGCCTCATCCTAACTCAATTCCATCCAGGAACAATGTTGCTTTTCACACCTGCCAGAAGTCTGATGCATTCTCCTTCTGCTTCCTTATTCTTTCTTAAGATTGGCGAGCAAGTGTGGGTTTGCAGCGGGATCTGAACTGGTCCAAAATGAAGAGAGAGAGCGCCTAGGCAGGAAGATGCTTCCTTTGCTGGTGCTGCTAAACCAAAGGTGCTGGCTCTCCTCCTCCCATTCTCAGGGGACTTTGTCCCTTAGGCAGAGCTTGGCATTCTCCTCTGTCAGGTTGGTAAGCAGCTGTTGTTTACTACCAGGGCCTGGCAGCCAAGGTGAGAGAACCGGTGGAAGGCCGGCAGGGAAAGCCTCCTGGAAGCCCCAAGCTGACCTATTTTTCAGCACTGCTGCCATTGATTTTAGGTACCTTGGTTTAGGAGCATGGGAGAACAATAAGGCACGCTCCAAGAGGCACAGCAGCATTTGCCTTAAAATCCCAGCACAATTCTCAAAAGCAGTAAGACATTTTTTCTCTCCTTAACACCTTCCACTGTCTCCTTCTAGTACTGTAGCTTCGAAACCCTGGTGGGAGGGCAAAAACTTTCCCCCTTATACATTACAATGGACCATGTCCATTGATGGTGGAAACAGGTATAAATGTATTTTTTAACATCATTAATATACTGCTTGATTGTGCTAAAACCTCTAAACAATACTCCCCCCCCATTTTTTAAAAAGTTAAAAACAAAAGCATTTAAAGATAATTGAAACTAATAGTCAAGAGATTAAAACACGTTAACATCGACATGCCCATATCAGCTTTCCAACAGAAAAATGTTTTTAGCAGGCACCGAAAAGAATACCACAAAGGTTTCCCACTTGATTTCAATTGGCAAGGAGTTCCAAAGTTTATGTGCTGCCACAGTAAAAGTTTGACTTTTTGCAAGTGTGGAACAAGTATTCTGTGGAACCAGTAACAGGGCCCAAGTGGGCACATATCAGATAAGGTGATCCCACAATAATAATAAAAATCTCCTGCATTTGTAAGTGATATTATGGTTTGTTTACTTTTGTGTGTGCAGAGCCACCCCCCCCAAGCAATGAAGAGAATATTAATATGAAAGAAAACACACAATAAAATACAATGAATCAGTCAAAGCAATATAAAATGGTGAAGGGGCATGGCTTGCCAAGAAGCCTAATGGCGGCCTGATCCAGCATCTCCTATATGTAAGGGGCTAATTTATAGTTGAACGACTGCTAAGTAAAAGCATAAAAGGTAAAGGGACCCCTGACCATTAGGTCCAGTCGCGTATAGCTTCCAGGTCGTGTGGCCAACATGACTAAGCCGCTTCTGGTGAACCAGAGCAGCTCTTGAAAACGCTGTTTACCTTTCCGCTGGAGCGGTACCTATTTATCTACAGTGGTACCTCAGGTTAAGTACTTAATTCGTTCCAGAGGTCTGTTCTTAACCTGAAACTGTTCTTAACCTGAAGCACCAGTTTAGCTAATGGGGCCTCCTGCTGCTGCCGCGCCGCCGGAGCCCAATTTCTGTTCTTATCCTGAAGCAAAGTTTTTAACCTGAAGCACTATTTCTGGGTTAATGGAGTGTGTAACCTGAAGCATATGTAACCCGAGGTACCACTGTACTTGCACTTTGATGTGCTTTCAAACTGCTAGGTTTGGCAGGAGCTGGGACCGAACAACAGGAGCTCACCCCATCGCGGGGATTCGAACTGCCAACCTTCTGATCGGCAAGCCCTAGGCTCTGTGGTTTAGCCCACAGCGCCACCAGAATCCCAAGTAAAAGCATACTGCTCCTCAAATTTATCTTCAGAAAGGTCATGTTGTGGGGGGTCATAAATATTAGCTGGCTAAGCAAGATTTACAAGACGTGTTGGAAGCACATTGCCCAGCGCTGCTTGAAGAGACTGGCAAAATACTAAATATCCTCTGATTACTCTGGATATGTGTTTGTGAACTGCCTTCATGCTCTCATCACACACAAAACTCCCATCATTCTGCTTCTCATTTGGAAGCCAGGCTAACACACATCCTGCCCCCCTCCCCTTTCCCCTCCGCTCTGGTGTCTCAACATGGAGCAAGCCCGCCCCACAACCAATCACCCTCATTGGGATGGGCAAAGCCAATTGGCAAACCACTAAAATCCTTCCCTCCCTTCCCAAATTCCAGAGGTACCATCCTTTATTCATTGGCCATAATATACTGTAATGGAACTTCCAGTTTCAGAGGCAGTATACCTCAGACTATCAGTTTAGTGGTGCAGCTGGGTAACTGTAGTCCTTGGTCTTATTACCTCTGTGCATTGTTTCAGTTGCCAAAAAAAGAACCTCTTCTCCCTTCCAACCCAATGTGCTTTATAACACACTGCACTGTCAGAGGCAGTATGGCTATGAATACTAGTTGTTGAGAATTAGAAATTGAAGAGTGCTGTTGCACTCAGGTCCTGCTTCTGGGCTTTCCATAGGTGTGTGAGTGGCCAGCCAGTGATTCGGAAAAACAGGATGCATTTAATCCTCCAGGCTTGCTGGCTGCAGCTCAATGGCAGAGTATCTGTTTTGTATGCAGAAGATGCCAGGATCCGTCTCCTGCAACATCTCCACATAGGACTGGGAGAGAACCCAGCCTAAAATCTGGACTGCTGCCAGTCAGTGTAGACAATACTGGGTGTGTTTATTTCCAGGAATACAGCTGACTGGAACCAGGGTAGTGCTCCTGATGTCACAATTCAGATTGAAAGTTTCTTAACCCATATAATCTTCAAAACCCAAGGAACAGTGGCTTCTGTTTTTTAATGCATGCTATCCAGACTCTCTTGTTACTCTGCAGCCACACTAGACATTGACAGGAAGGTGTCCTCTTCTGAGAGTGTTGGCGTTCCAGACACCTGCTCCTCAGCAAACAAAACCACTTTCCAAATACTGTTCAGACCTTACCAGGAGGACAAGGAAGCTCCCATTAGAAGCCACCAATTTATCCACTGCCCTATCAGCAAAGAGAACAGTATTCAAAATGTCAGACACCAGTCTGGGAGTGAAGACTTGGAGGAGGAACTCTTCCCGTGCTCGTTTGATACCATTCAGCAGAACAGCAAGGTTGATCTTGGTGGCCAACCGTTTTCCATCCACATAGCTCCGTGTGGACACCATTATGCCGTAAGGTACAAGACTTTGCCCCACATAAATCTCTGCAGCAGAGATATCACAGGTCCCATTTTCCAGGACGCCCCTCCAGGGAAGCCAGACACTACTTTGCTCGAGATATCGAAGTTTCACGGCACTCTCCTCCGTCAGGAGGGAAAGAGTTGCTTTGGTGAGGCACAGAAGTGTGCTTCTTGCATCACCCAGCCCAGCGGTGACCAGGACCCAAGGTTTGTCAGGATTTGTCCCTCCCAGCTGGCCACATATGTATTGCTGCAGAATCTGCCACGTAGTTTCTGGCTGGTTTGGGAAGAGAAGGCGAAGGAGTCCAAGCCGGCTTTTGGGCAATTGATTCTTGGTGGGGCTCGCAGCCCTGTAGTCATCCAAGGATAAGTGGCTGTTACCATGATGGAGCAGGATCATAGAAACAAAGACAAACACGAGGGCCAAAAAGGCAGCAAGGGAAACAGAAGGGAGGAAATCAGAGTCTTGCAGGTCTGGTGCAGGGGTTTCGGTAGAGGCAGAAGGAGCTGATCTTTCTCTGGCCTCCATCTCTGCACGCTTCCAGGGTTCACAACACGGTTCTTCGGGGAAGTTTCTACAGTCAAACAAATAGGTCTCCTCATCATCAACATCTTTCCACATCCCTTGCATGTCTTGGTCTTCTAGCACAGAGAAGGAAAGGAAAGCTCATAAGCAGGGTCTTAAAAACAACACACACACACACACACACACACACACACACACACACACACACACACACACACGTAAGCATAGCACTGAACAAGGTGGTAGAGACCTGAAATAGTATGGCTGTACCATTTCACTCTGAAGGAAGAGGGTCACATTTTGGAATGTTCCCTGCAGGTCCAAATCCAACATAGCTGGAACTTCTCTGCCTGCTGTGATAACTTTTTATTCGTGGGGTCTGGATTGATGGATTGATTTTAATACAGAGAAGCATTAATAATCACCCCAGTGGCTGCCCTTGTCTCCAGTTTTGGTCCCCTTAAAACTCTACCCCTTCTTTGAGAGCCAGTGTGATGTAGTGGTTAGAATGCTAAACTAGGACATGGGAGACCAGAGTTCATTTCTTCACTCAGTCATGAAGCCCACTGGGTCACCTTGGGCCCAGTCACACACTCTTAGCCTTACCTACCACACAGGGTTGTTGTGAGAATAAAAGCAACAGGAGGAGAAGTGTGTATGCCACCTTGACCTCCCTGGATAAATAAGTAAAATAAATTATGTTGCAAGTGCCTATATCCAAGCATGCAGGTTTATCATTAGACAGAGCTATTTGCCTCTACCTAAAAGCCTTATTTGGTAGCGGACATCGCAACACCTTGTGGTTGTGAGTTCCAAAGGTTTATTGCACATCACATGCAAAAGACAATGCCAAGAAGTTGCCACACCTACACCAGCGACTTACTTTCAGCTTGGAGTGCAGACATGTCTTGAGCCATTCTCTGGATAGAGGGTCATTTCCCACAAATCTTCATCTATAGGTACATCTCTCTTACATCTGGCACCTACTGAGTATGGAGAGAAGGAAAAGAGGAGAGTGGCCCAGTTAAATTAGCCTCTTGTAGCAAAAACAGCCAAGACCCCTGAGATCCCTTAAGAGACCAACACATTCTCTGTGGCAAACATTTGCATAGACAAGAGCCCAGTTTGTCAGATACACAAAGTAGGCTGCCGAGACTGAAATTTAGGTAACTGCCTAATCCCAAATCAGACAGCTGGTGCATATAGTCCAGTCTTGTCTACTCTGACTGGCAATGGCTCTCCAGGGTTTTAGTCAAGGGTTTCTCCCAATCTTTACCTGGAGATGCTGGTAATGAGAGAGAGAGAGAGAGAGACATGGGAAATTGGGGGAGTAATTTGGCTCCACCTTTCTCCTCCTTTCTCTGGGTGGTGCTGTGGGTTAAACCACAGAGCCTAGGGCTTGCCGGTCAGAAGGTCAGCGGTTCGAATCCCCGCGATGGGGTGAGCTCCCATTGCTCGGTCCCTGCTCCTGCCAACCTAGCAGTTTGAAAGCACGTCAGAGTGCAAGTAGATAAATAGGTACCGCCCCGGCGGGAAGGTAAACGGCGTTTCCGTGCGCTGCTCTGGTTCGCCAGAAGCGGCTTAGTCATGCTGGCCACATGACCCGGAAGCTGTACACTGCCTCCCTCAGCCAGTAAAGCGAGATGAGCGCCACAAACCCAGAGTCGGTCACGACTGGACCTAATGGTCAGGGGTCCCTTTACCTTCTCCTCCCACAGGAGCAAAAATAAATTGTACTCTTTGGTGACAGAACCCCAGCAGAGATTTAAAAATCACAGCACATGCAGCAAAGTAAAGCATGAAATTATAGGCTGTTAGACCTTTATATATACACTTGTGAGTTTAAAAACTTCCCTCTTCCCCTGGCATAGACTGACAGCAAGTAAGAAGGCAGATAGGTTGGGGGCTGGCTGAGGGCATGGTGAGATTGGTGGAGGCAGTGCTCTACATGTCCAATGGACCAGCCTCTACTAACCCTCCAAGGAGGCTGATCAGTGAGTACACTCAGTCCTAACTGGGAAGTATTGGGGGGCAGGGAGCTCCCTCAATTTAGCATTTCTGCCCCCCCCCCCCCATATTTTTGTATTTCTGCAAACAATGGGGTTTCTCCGAACTTGTTTGGGGATACAACTTCTGCTTTCTTGTGTCTGGGTGTTGTCATGTGGCTATATAAGGATCGGCACTTGACTCTGAACTTTGGCAATAAAGGGAATGTTAGCACTGAAATGCTAATAAACTCTTATGATCTGTTATGAGCCATAAAAAAAAAAGGCCTGGCAGTTTTTATAGGATGATCTCAGAGAATGGTGCCATTTTGTCTACAAAGTGATCAATAAACATTGGCCACTCCAGTGAGGTGGGACAAAGTAGGCTAAAGGCAAAGTTTTAAAGAGGGAGAAAAATGAAGAGCTCTCTGCTGAGTTTCCACTAGTGTATATTCAATCACTTTAAAGGCAATAGTTCTTCAGCTGCATGCACACTACCATTCACTTTTGCTCTCGGGCAAACACAGATCCCACATCTAACACCAGTGCTACATGCCACTCCAATACCCGTGAGCTGTAAGAGATTCCTGGGGCTCCAAGTGTTTACCCAGGTTGTGTCTCCGTTGGGAATATTGAGGCACAGCAGAGGCTAGTATCTTTAAGAAATATGGCTTATTAACACATATTTACACCTGGATATCTGCCATGGAGGGGTTGCTGAACATTATACCCCAGATGTGTCTCTCATTGCCCCTCTCATATCTTCAGCAAACTTGGGTCCAAAACAGCAGCCAGTCATGGCTCGTGGTCTCCTGGTGCAGCCTCCTTCAGCCAGTGCCAAAGTGGTTCTGACCTCTACACACCCCCACACCCTCCACATAAAATTCTGGCCTTCCCATCAGCTCATGGAGAACTAGCCTTTGCTCTCCTTCCTGGCACACCTCTTGCCAAAACCCCAAGCCTCCTGTGAAATTATACTTTTCCCTGTCACCTCAGCACCCCCTCCCTGTCACTCCTGTTTTGCACAGACCTGAGAACCTTCTTTGATGTATAGTACCTGGCCACTGTTTCATAATGGTTTGCATTCAACCAGCCAGGCCAGACTCGTTTGCATAAGCTGGCCCATGGATTCCTTTTCTGACACAGTTCTGTAGCCTGCATTTCCCATTCCTATCCCAGACATTAGCTGGATTAATTAATTTCTTGGGTTTAGGTGGGGGTCTTCCCCTGACCAAACTCTTAACAATATTCATTCAGCCATCTTATTGGGAGGGGCTGTAGCTTAGCAGAAGAGCATCACCATTTTGCATGTAGGAAGTCCCAGGTTCAGTTCCTGGGACCTCACACCTCTGCCTAAAATTCTGGATTGCTGCTGCCGATTAGTACTTGGGCTAAAGCAGGTATCCTGTGCTCCTGGAAAGCACCATAGCTCAGTGGTAGAGCATCTGCTTTGTATGTGGAAGGTGCCAGGTTCAATCTCCAATGGCATCTCCAGGTAGAGCTGAGAGACCCCCCCCCCCAAGCGAGGCTCTGGAGAGCTTCTGCTGGTCAGAGTAGACAAGGCAAGCTAGATAAACCAATTGTCTGGCTCAGACTGAGGCAGTTCCTCTGACTGCAGCTCAGACAATGCCCATTGAAAGCATAGCTGCAGGCGCTTGTGCAAAACCTGATAACCTTATCTGCCCACCACCCCAAAAATGATGTCTGGTTTTATTTACTGAAAATATTTGGGATTGCTTCTTGTCTTCATTCTTGAGATGTTTAGACTCTCCTTTACTTCATGCTTTGCTGTATGCACAAAAGTTGGCAAAAGTTCTCAGATTCCTGGCACTTTCTAGATTTGCAAGAATCATAAAATGGTTCGTTCCCCACCACCTCTCCCCAAAAAAGTTATTATAGAACCAAGGAGAACAAGTCTTGAAAAGAGCAAATACTTACTGCCTTTTCCACATACAAATGGGGTACACTCCACTCCCCCACAAAAAGGTTCCCTTGTTGCATTTCAAGTTGCCCACTGCTCTTTCAACCTGGCACCACCAACTTCCCTGCAGACACCTCTCATCTGCATACAGGTAGATGTTATCACAGATATGCAACTAACAGAAGATCTCCTCCCTCCAAGGCACAGTTTCCCCCAGGTCCTAAAGCTAGTACGTCTTAGTTTTGGGTGTAACACATAATGAGTGCATACAAGCCAGGGCTTAATTCATTTGTACAGGTTCTGCTGAGAAGTCACACCTGGCTTGATCTCATCCCAGCAACATCAGAAGCTGCCTTACAGTAATTCAGGCCTATTGTTCCATCTAGATGCACACTGATTAGCAGAGATTCTCCTGGGTCTCTCTTATCCCGACCTGGAGATGCTGAGGATTTAACCTAGCACTTTTTCAAATGTGAGACATGTACTCTGTTACTAAGATACATGCAACCGAATACACTACAGCTAAGTCCCTACATGCAACCTATTATACACTGTGTGTCCGCCTACTACTGTGCTCCTGTGCAAAAAAATTAAATGTGTTACAAACAAAAAATAAGGGCATGAAACATTTCCCAGCATGACAACAAAGCCTCCTGCATATACAGTATATGATGCTGCCATTCAGAAAACAGGAGCCAGCAATCCTAATAGCAAATTCCTGCTGCTCTGTGGATTGAGAGATGCACTCTGGACATGCTCAAAAACCTCCCTCCACCAATTGTTACTAGTAGGTATGGATGGGCAAACCTATCAATTTTTGTTTCTCATTCCCTCCCCCCCCCCCCATTTTAAGTCTCCCTTTCCACATTGGTTTGCGATTTATTTATTTTTAAGTCCTCCTGGAAATTCAGCAGCCTTTGGATGTAAATTATTCCTAATATAAACAGTTTGCTATGCAATTTTGCCTGATACACACATTTTTGCAAAGGAATTTCCCCAACATCTTTGTATCTTGTTCCCATTAATATAGACATCTTTATGCACACTTCAAGCCAATATATAGAATTCTGTACACAATACATGACTGGAGATCTGGCTTGCAAAATTCCGAGAAGGGAGGCTGCATTTTGATCTGCACATGGTTTTGGAAAGTTCAAATCAGATAGATTCATCTTTAAATGTGGGCAGAAACTAACTTCTCCCCCAGCCCTAGTCAGGGGTTATGGTGGCTGAGGGAGATAGGAACTGTAGTCCATCAACCTCTCTAAGGCCACAGGTTTCCCATGCCTTTGTGTTAAAGGCCCCCCCAAAAGTGCAGTGGATAAGATTCAAAGGCAGCACAGTAGCTGAACTACTATAATTATTGATATTTATTAAATTTGCATACCACCCTTCATCCGAAGATCACAGGGCGGTTCACATAATAAAAGCAAGAACAAAAAAACAAAAAAACAAGTCAATAACCCCATTCAACCAAACACATTTAAAAGAACATGGAATGTTAATCAGCCTGGCTAAAAAGAAAGCTTTTTGCCTTGGTGCCTAAAAATATGTAGTGAAGCCGCCAGGCAAGCCACACAAATTAGTAAAGGTTTGGCAAGTCCTAACCAGTAACTGCAATAATGCTTGCACTGCTTCTCTTGGAAAGCAAAAGCAAGCTGGCTGTTTCCACTGAAAGTGGAGATTCCCAGAATGAACCTCCCTTAAGGGTGCCCTATGCCCTGTTTTAAGTCAATCGCCTGCAACACCTGCGCACCAAGCAAAAATTCAACAGGTTGAGTTATTTCCATGGAGAGGTAGGGGAAACGCAGCCTGTGGTTTCCCCCACTTCCAGCAAACAGCGGTTCAGGAAGACCCAGTGCTTTTGGCCAGTTAAAAAGATAGCACAAGAGTAAAGCTGGTAAGAAAAAGTTGGCAGTTCTAATGCCCCTGAGACTTCTTAGTCTCTCACATACACATGGCTTGCTGTTTTCATGTGGTGTGATCCCACGTGGCTGCAGTGTATCTGTGAGGAATGGAGAACCTCAGTGGCCATTAACCCCAGCCAGCATTGCTGAAGATCAGAGATGATGGGAACTGGAGACCACCAACATCTGGAGGGTCACAGGTCTCCCAATCCCCGGAAGATATAGATGCTGCAGTCAAATGGCTGGGCTGATCTGTGGACAGCTTTCACCCTCCTTCAAGGCCTTGTGGCAATTGAGTGGGGGAGACCACCAGTGGGTTAGTAAAAAAACAGATGCATCACCTACTGAATGATAGCCTGTTGTGCCACTATTAAAAAAGCATTGAGTTGTATTCAATACTAGTCCTACACAAAGTGGACCCACTTAAAATTATGGGCACAAGTTACTTGCGGAACAAACTGGGTTCAGACCTATGTCAAGCTTTGCTCATTCACAATGAAGCTTAGGAAAGACTTCCTAACAGAAGGAGTTGCTTGATAGGAGAATAGACCTACTTTGGGAAGGGTCATAGGCTCTTCTTTGGCGAACTTGTTTAGGCAGCATCTGGGTGGGAATCTTTAAGGGGTCTTTGACTTGGGAAAATTCCTGTCAGGGATCCAGCATGTGATAAGCTTTTTGCCACGAATACTGGAGTGCCCATAGGTTAGGGTGGAACAGGGTGGGTAGGTGGGTAGAACTGAGGGAAGGTGGTGGGAGGGGCTTAGCTGCAGGATGCAGCCTCCCCCAGTTGACCTTGGGGGAGAGACCTATTGGGGGAGGACAAACACTGCATACACAGCATGCATCACATCCCCCCACCATTGTTATGGCTGCTGGGAATTAGTTGCTCTGTGAGGAGTCAACTGGAATTGCCAGGATCCTTTGGAGATGTGTGTTTTAAATGTATGGCATGTACACAGCCCAAGGGAGCTAGATTCTCTTCTAACATAACAAGGATAATGACAATAATAATAATAATGGTTTTATTATTTGTATCCCACCCATCTGATTTGCCTATCTTTGTCACCCAGCTCAAGCATGATATCTCCTCTGTTATCTTATTTCTACACCCTGTTTGCTCATCCTCCCTGACTTCCTCTTTTTGGTCTGCTGCTAGACCAACCAGAACAGAGATTTCCTCCCCAATAGCACACTTCGTTTGGTGTTTCTTCTACAGTTGCTATTATTTTTGCCTTTTCTGCTTTTTCCTTGCCCATTTGGGGAAGGAAGGTTTGCTGGAAGGCAAACAGCATCTCCTGGTGCAGAGGGAGTGGGAACAACTGGGCAAACAGCTCTGTGCCCCCCAGCTGCATCTCCATCTCTCTCTGAGAGGGAAAGGCACACCTTGAGCCACCCTGGATCCCCGCATCAAAGAGCCGCTCCTCTGCAGGGAGCCTAGAGAATATTATCAAAGCTTGAAGGAGAAAGATGCTCAGCAGGCGGAGAATGAATATTACAGGTAAAATTTCTGCCTCTCTTAAGACAGCTCTGCTAATTTCATCCCCCCTTTTCCCCTTCTTATGCCTAGAGGTACACCTTTCTTGCTTATAACTCTTTCCCCTTAAATCCCACTTTCCTGGAATACTTTTGGCTTAAGCTGCTAGTCCTCATCCTGCACCAGATCCACACCATACTTTTAAAGCATATCTAACGCATGTTTAAAGCACATGGCTCACCCTCCCCCAAAGAATCCTGGGTGCTGTAGTTTGTAAGGGTGTTGGGAATTGTGCCTCTGTGGAGGGAAAACTACAGGTCCCAGGATTCTTGGTGGTGGTGGCTAGGAGGCTGACAGTTTAGCTTACGGTTCCTGTACAAAACATCATGTACTTTGATAATGTGTTGTTTGTGTTTCTGTGACCCAGGAGTGGGAGAAAACATTTTCAGCCTGAGGCAAGGCATTCAGTTCTGGCAAGGGTTACATGCCAGCAATGGCCAGATTTGCCAGAGGGGAAAGCGGGTGAAGTAACACATGTAAAGCAAGAAGCATGATAATATTGCAGATATTAATATTGTGCAGCTTGAAGCAATTGGATGCATTAAAACTAACTCCTCTTGGAATAAAACTCTGCCCAGACCCATAAGTATTGTTCAAAGCTTTACTAACCAGATCTTCTTTCAAAACAGGTACAAAAACATTAATGATACATCCAAAACAATTCCTTACAGTCATGTGCATGTCCCAACACAGGTTGGGCTTCTTATAAAATATGAAACCAAGGGTCTGTCTCTCCCACAACCTCCATTACAGCCTGGAGTTGTTTTCCCTTTAGGAGAGACCTCATTATCACATCCTTTGTTATTGGCTGCTTGAGAAACAACTCACACAAAACAGAGACCCCCGCAGATTAACATATGCATAAAAGATCAGTCTGTCTCTTTCATGTGATCTAAGTCAGTCACGAGACAAACCAGAAGACATCAACAGTTAATCATCAACCTGCTAGAGAGCAGAAAGCTCCTGTTGCTCTTCTTTAGTTTTGGAAATTTCCAGTTCAACCCTTAGTAATATACATACAGGCATTCACCATTTCAGTGTCAATTAAACAAGTATACTTAACACATAAGAGTTCAAGGACACATTTCAGCCAAGAAAAAGCACTAAAAGAGGGTGTGGATTAGGAGCGGTGCGAGGCCTGGAGAAAGTTCAGGGGGCCATACAGAGAGACTTGGAGGGTTGGATTCAGCCTGCATGGAGGGCAGGTGCATGGAGTTTAGGATGATAAGATGGAGCTGCAAAAGAGGAAGGCTCCACTCAATGATAGAACCAGTACCTGGCAACCCTGGGCAAGTTGCTAGGAGCCTGACAGCCTGGCAGGGGCATGCTGCCAATGGCTGCCTTGGCCACCCAATTTTGACCTATTCCAGCCAGGCTCTTCCTATGTTCCACCAAACTCATAAAAATACAGGAACCCTCTTGCCATCAACATCCGTGATGGACCACATTGGTCATTCCATAATTGTTCTCTTCTCTCTCCCTTTCCTTTCCAGGACTCTTAAAAACCATCGGCTCTTCCTTGCCACCTTCGCTGCTGTGCTTGGGAACTTTAGTTTTGGTTTTGCTTTAGTCTACACCTCCCCGGTCATCCCTGCTTTGGAAAAATCTCTGGTCCGCAACTTAAGACTAACAGAGGCAACGGCATCCTGGTTTGGGGTAAGAGTGGCCAGCCAGCAGGAAAGGCGGGAGAAATAGACCTGAGAGGTGCATGCCATCGGTTGGATTGCAGTGTTCCCAAGGGGTGCCAGGTCTCAAAATATGACCCAAAGCTGCAGGGTTTTAGCCTCTTTCTCTGGGTCTCCATGGGAAATATTAAAATCTAAGACTGATGGGGTGGTCTAGTTTCTGCTTGGGAACTTTTGCTGCTAGCCAGGCTGGTCCACCTATGAAGCAGGATCCACAAGGGTGGAAGGACCCAGAGGGGAAACAGATCTACCCTCCAATAAATTTATCGCTTCTACCCAGTGGCAGAAGCGACAGCTGCAGCATGCTTCTTGGAGGCCAGATCTGCCACTTCCTTGGCAGCACCCCCATGCCACTTCTACAGCGGCCTTTTGCTAAACAGGAAGTGCTGCTAGTCTCCTCCCATCCTTGTTCCCAAAGAATGTCCTTATCCCCACCACCACCATCCCCCTTGTTCCTGATGTAGATCTTCACTCACTCCTTCCCTGGTTATAGTGATGGGGTGTGTGTGCCTTTTTGTGGTTTGGCTCAAGTGCCAAAATGTATAGGACCAGCCCTGCTGCTAGCACCCATTCCATGTTGACCAAGCCCCACCCCATCCTGTTAGGCTCCACCCCCTGGTCTATATGGCATCATGTGAGCCTTAGGAGACCCAGCAGCCCTGGGCTCAACCAAAAGATTGTTGGCCCCCAGAATCTGCTTCAACCTTTGCAATGGAAGAACACAAGCTGAGTGAGGGGCTGAGGCTGAAGCAAGGATATGACTTCTATTTCTGGGCAAGTTGCTGTATCTTGGATTAGTTGACTCTACCTCGCTTGCAGGGTTGTTGAGAGGACATGATTGCATTTTTCAAATCCCTAAGGGCACAAAACAGTTCTCTGCTGCTCCAGAGGGCAGAAGTGGATCTCATAGGCTTCAGGTACAGGAGGGTAGGTTTAGATGGAACGTTAGGAAAATTATATTGTCAGTAAGAGAGGTTTAGCAACAAACCAATTACCAAGAGTAGGAGTAGACTCCTCTGCTTTGGAAGTCTTCAACTGGAACCTGATGAGCCCTGGAGATGTTCTTGCTCTTAAGTTTTCTTCTATGACCTCGTGGCTGGATTAGCATAGGGGTGGGGAACTTTTTTTCAAAAACCTACACTGGCTCCCAGTACATTTCCAAGCACAATTCAAAGTCTTGGTGCTGACCTTTAAAGCCCTAAATGGCCGCGGTCCAGTATAACTGAAAGAGCATCTCCACCCCCATCGTTCTACCCGGACACTGAGGTCCACTGAGGGCCTTCTGACGGTTCCCTCACTGCGGGAAGCCAAGTTACAGGGAACCAGGCAGAGGGCCTTCTTGGTAGTGGCACCTGCCCTGTGGAACGCCCTCCCACCAGATGTCAAAAAGAAAAACAACTACCAGACTTTTAGAAGACATCTGAAGGCAGCCCTGTTTAGGGAAGCTTTTAATGTTTAATAGACTATTGTATTTTAATATTCTGTTGGAAGCCACCCAGAGTGGCCAGTCAGATGTGCAGGGTATAAATAATAATAATAATAATAATAATAATAATAATTACAGTATTATAAAGCAAGGGCCACATTCCCCCCTGGATAAATTTCCAAGGGCTGCATAGCAGTTGTGGGAGGGGCTAGAGGCAAAAGTGGGTGGAACTACAATGCAAATGCTATTATTAATAACTACACGACTTTTAGAAGACATCTGAATAATAATAATAATAATAAATTTTATTTATATCCCGCCCTCCCCAGCCGAAGCCGGGCTCAGGGCGGCTAACAACAATAAAACAGTACAAAAGTACAGCATAAACAACATTCTAAAATCATTCATTATAAAATTAATTAATTCAAGCCACTGGCAACCATTGGGCCAGAGCTCCACGAAGATTGCCGAGGGAGGGAGTCAGGCTGTGCCCTGGCCAAAGGCCTGGTGGAACAGCTCTGTCTTGCAGGCCCTGCGGAAAGATGTCAAGTCCCGCAGGGCCCTGGTCTCTTGTGACAGAGTGTTCCACCAGATCGGAGCCACAGCCGAAAAGCCCTGGCTCTAGTTGAGGCCAGCCTAACTTCTCTGTGGCCTGGGACCTTCAAGATGTTTTTATTTGAAGACCGTAAGTTTCTCTGTGGGGCATACCAGGAGAGGCGGTCCCGTAGGTACGAGGGTCCTAGGCCGTATAGGGCTTTAATAGTTAAAACCAGCACCTTAAACCTGATCCTGTACTCCACCGGGAGCCAGTGCAGCTGGTATAGCACCGGGTGAATGTGATCTCGTAGCGAGGACCCCGTAAGGAGTCTCGCTGCAGCATTCTGCACCCGCTAGAGTTTCTGGGTCAGTCTCAAGGGCAGCCCCACGTAGAGCGAGTTACAATAATCCAGTCTGGAGGTGACCGTCGCGTGGATCACAGTGGCTAGGTCAGGGCGAGAGAGGTAAGGAGCCAACTGCTTAGCTTGGCGGAGATGGAAAAATGCCGCCTTTGTTATAGCTGCAATCTGCGCCTCCATGGAAAGGGAGGTGTCGAAGATTACACCCAAACTCTTAACGGATGGTGCTGGCACTAATTGCGCCCCCGCAAGAGATGGGAGTTGCCCCCCCAATCCCATATTGCCCCGTCCCAGCCACAGGACCTCTGTCTTCGAAGGATTTAGCTTCAACCAGCTCCCACGTAACCATCCAGCCACAGCTTCCAAACATCTGGTCAGTGTGTCTGGGGCCGAGTCAGGATGGCCATCCATCAACAGATAGAGTTGGGTGTCATCGGCATACTGATGGCAACCCAGCCCAAAACTCCGAACAAGCTGGGCGAGGGGGCGCATAAAGATGTTGAAAAGCATCAGGGAGAGTATCGCACCCTGAGGTACTCCACACACCAAGGAGTGGCGCGATGACAATTCCCCCCCAAGCGCCACCCTCTGTCCCCGACCAGAGAGAAACGAGCGCAGCCATTGAAGGACTGTGCCCTGGATCCCCACGTCGGCAAGGCGGTGGTCCAGAAGTTCGTGATCGACCATGTCAAAAGCTGCTGACAGATCTAGAAGAATCAGCAGCCCCGACCCGCCTCGAAGGCAACCTGTATAAGGAACCTTTTAATGGTTGATGTTTTTCTGCTGTTTTATATGTGTTGCAAGCCTCCCAGAGTGGGCGGGGTGAGTGAGTGAATGAATGAATGAATATATATACCTGCAGGTCTCAGGGCAGTTACAACAGAAAACCACAATGTGAAAACAGAGAATAAATAATAAAAACAAAAACAATCCAATAATCCCCTCCTCCCCAACACATTTTAAAAAGACAGTGGATGTCAGTCAGCCAAAGGTTTGGGTTAAAGAAGAATGTTTTTGCCTGGTGCCTAAAGGTGTATAATGAAGGCACCAGATGAACCTCCCTGGGGAGAGCATTCCACACATAGGGGGCCGCTGCCAAAAAGGCCTGTTCTCGTGTTGCCATCTTCCGGATCTCTCGTGGAGAAGGCACACAAAAAAGGGCCTCAGAAGATGATCTCAGGGTCCAAGTTGCTTCATATGGAAAGAAGCAATTCCTTGAGGTATTTTGCCTTCATCCAGCTCATTTCAACCACTCAAGGAGTGTGCAAAGCAGGCTGTGAGGGTTGTGGCCTGGGAAGATTTTCCAGGGATCCGAATTAGAAGATGGCCCAACTCTAGGATTCTGCAAAATTAAACAAGTGGATTTTGCAGAGATGATTAGGCCTAAGAATTTTAATCTGGGGAGCGATCTGCAAATCCATCAGATTAGTCAACGGGTGCTAATTTTAACCAGTAGGGCAGAGAGATAAATACATCCACTGGGTGCTGCTGCTTTGGCTCCAGTGTGTCGCTCTAGCTGAGGAGGCTGTGTTAAAAGTGGCCTTCCTGTCTGACAATGTGGGAGTTTTTTGTTGATTAAACCATAATGTCACATGTTTCCCTTTTTTCTCTTAACATCGCCTACACTGAGGCTTTAACAATATGCAAATATACTTAAATTTAGTTGATGGGTGGGTTTAAGAGGCATGTCAGCTCTGCCTATTTTCCACAACCTATCCCAGCCCCCCTAGCCTGTAATCTTCATTCTAGTGAGAGTAATTGTTCAGGTGTCATTACTGACTCCAAAGACAAACATAACTTTAATGAACAGACTATACAACCCACTAGACTTGCTTGTGATGCTTCCTTCCTGGGCAAAATACTCATAGTTCTATATAGGACACTCTGTTCACGCTGAGAGCTGGAAGGGACCACTGGCAGAGGAAGAGGGGGGCAGGGGGAGCGTACCACCCCCGGCAGCATGATCCTGGTGGGGCACCATCACAGCTGCCCCTCTGCTAGCGCTGGGCACCACGACCCCGCAGGCGGTGTGCCATGCCTCCAGGATGCGCGCCAGCCACGCCCACACCTGATCTCTGCCACTGGAAGGGACCACAAGGGTCATCTAGTCCAACCCCCTGCAATGTAGCTAAAGAATCCCCAACTGATGGCCACCTGGCATTTGTTCAGAAATCTCCAATGAAGGAGAGTCCATCACCTTCTGAGAGAGTCCATTCCACTGTTCTCAAACAGCTCTTACTGTCAGAAATGTCTTCCTTATGTTTAGTCGGAATCTTCTTTTTAATCATTTGAATTTATTGGTTCAGATCCTGCCCTCTGGAGCAACAGAAAACAAGAGGCTCCATCTTCCATGTGACAGCACTTCGGCCATTATATTAGGGTTGCCATATTTCGGATGCAATTCAAACACAAAAGTTGTTGAGGTGTTTTTTCCCCAAAATCTCAGACAACCAATACCGTCATATTCTGTTTGCCAGGTGTATGGCAGCCCTACCTTATATTAGCTCCCAGAATGCTCTTCTCCATGCTATACATACCCAGCTCCCTCAAGTCTTTCCTTCATCATGGAAAATTTATTTCCCCCCCAGGCCAGATTTCTCAGGGTGCTGAATTCAAAGCCTACTAGTTGCACTCCTATTTCTATGGTTTCAGGCCACCATCATGATCATATTTGTTTCCTAACATATTGCCCCTGTTTCTTTGTGTGTCTGGCAGTCTGTGTTCACCCTTGGAGTCGCAGCAGGTGGTTTGGGCACCATGTATTTCAACGACTACCTGGGCCGCAAGCTGAGCATCATGTTCTCTGCTGTTCCATCTGTCATCGGATATCTCTTTATGACCAGTGCCCAAGGGACCTGGATGCTGCTAGTGGGCAGGCTGTTAACAGGATTTGCTGGGGGAGTGACTTCTGCTTCCATCCCAGTAAGTCAACAGTGTTCTTTTCCTTGAGGTTCAATCTCATTCCAGCAAACTCAAATTGAGTACCATACGTTGAAAGCACTTTGAGGCCACTTTAAACAGTCATGGCTCCCTCCCAAAGAATCCTGGGAAGTGTAGTTTGTTCAGGGTGCCAAGAGTCATTAGGAGACTCCTGTTCACCTCCCAAAACCACCATTCTGAGAGTGGTGTAATAACCAGTCCCTCTTCCCAGAAAACAGCCAGGAATTGCAAAGCCCACACTGGAACTTGGACGGGTCATAGAGATTTTCTTGCCTCTGCAGCTACTTTTGGGCATGTGCCCAAGAGCCTGGATGGTAAAGTGATAATTGTCTCTGCCACACACTTCCTTCCTCTTCCATTTACTGGCTGAGCAATATTTAAAATAGTGAAGTTGGAGGTAGTGGTGTCCTGAGTTGTAGTTCCCCCTTTCTGTCTCCTGAAAGGACCACAGGAATATTAGGGGAAGGACCATAGTACAATGGGAAAGCTTCTGCCTTGCGTACAGAAGGCCCCAGATTTAACCCCTGGCATCTTCAGGTAGGGCTGGGAATATCCCCAGTCTGAAACCTTGGAGAGCCACTAACAGAGTCAACAATAGTGGAGCAGTGCGCCTGACTCAGTAGAAGGCAGCTTCCCAAGTTTTTCCATTTAAACCAGACCATTATTCGGAACCATAAGGGCTGGAAAGCTTAATTTAATTTTAGGGGAACAGTCGTAGCTCAGTGGTAGAGCATCTGCTTTTTATGTGGAAGGTCCCTGTCATCTCCAGATGGGGCTGGGAAAATTTCCCCGCCTAAAATCTTGGAAAGTCACTGCCAATCAGTGTTGACAATCATGAGCTGTTTGATTTTCATACTAACCTACCTTTGTAGGGCCCTGAGTGCAACAGAGTTCTCTACACCTATGAATCCCAGCAACTGGAATTCAGAGGCATATTGCATCCGACAGTATGTGGCAAGGAACAGGGGAGAAATTAAGTTCTCATTCAAATGTAAACTTTTAAAAAATGCAATCCCCCACACAATATTTGAACCAAAACACAGCCATTCTACAAAATACCCACTCATCTGGATTTTGCACTACAGTTTTCCAGCCACGCAATGTCTCAAAAAACGTATGTGCTAAGGTAAAGTGCATCAATGCATATATCAGTGAAAATAATCTACAGAAGTGCAAAACTGCTCAGAAATAACACGTAGAGTAGGAGACATTTGCACAAAAAATGTTGATGAATTTTTTTCGAGGACATGTTATTTATAAAAAAAAATCACAGGCTGATGTACAAACATGGATGACTGATGTTATGCTTGTTAAAACAAGAAACTGAGAGAAGCTGAAACTGATAGATTCATCCATCCCTAATTGTGGCTACATCCATTAACTTAGGTCCATTAATTTCACTGGGTCTACTCTGTGCAAAGCCTACTTGGACACACACACCCCTGTTCTGCTGATTAAATTCTGGCAACTTACCTTCCTTTTCTGTCCCTCCAGGTGTACATCTCTGAGATCTCTCACCCTGGAGTCCGGGGAGCTTTGGGCTCCTGCCCTCAGATCATGGCTGTCTTGGGTGCCCTTTTCCTCTATGCTTTAGGCAAGTAATTGGATGTGAACTGTGGAGGAACGGATCAGCATCAGACTATTTGGCTTAAACGTAGGGCGGCTGGTGGTCCTTAGATCAGTGGTGTCTTCAGACAGGAGAACTGGGCTTCAGAGATGATTGGAATGCTTTGTTTGTTCTGGAAGGATTAAGGTATCCTTCTCCTCCCCCTGCCAGAGTCTTGCATCCCCTCTTCCAATACATGGGCCTAGTCTTCTGGTTGGACAAGTAAGACCAGCTCAGGACCTCCCCAAATTGCAGGGTTTCCAACCCAGTGACTCCTTGTTTATTTGTTTGGAGAAACACTGGAAATTTCACAAGCTATTTATCTGATCTTTTGAAGTCATTCTGCGTTTAACCCTTTCTCAGACCTTTGACACTGAGGTCCAGCTCCGAGGGTCTTCTGGTGGTTCCCTCACTGCGAGAAGCCAAGTTACAGGGAACCAGGCAGAGGGCCTTCTCGGTAGTGGCACCCGCCCTGTGGAACGCCCTCCCACCAGATGTCAAAGAGAAGAACAACTACCAGACTTTTAGAAGACATCTGAAGGCAGCCCTGTTTAGGGAAGCTTTTAATGTTTAACAGACCACTGTATTTTAATACTTTGTTGGAAGCCGCCCAGAGTGGCTGGGGAAACCCAGCCAGATGGGCGGGGTATAAATAAATTATGATATGATGATGATGGCAGAAATACACATTGGTTATCAGAGCTTAGCCAATGTCTGGGGTGTGGGCTTCAGATCAGTGGTAGAGCTTCTGCTTTGCATGTAGAAATGTCCTAGGTTTAATAGCCAGCAGCTCCAGGTAGGGCTGTGAAAGACTCCAGAGGAGAGGAGAGTGCCCTGGATCTTGGGTGCTGCTGGTGGGCTATCCATTGAGGCATCAGGTTGGCAACTGTGAGAACAGTATGCTGGACTAGAAGGGCCATTGGCTTGATCCAGCAGGCTCTTATTCCTTGTCTGAAACTCTTGGAGAACTGCTGCCAGTCAGTACAGACAGTAATGAGCTAGATCAGCCTTTCTCAACCTGTGGGTCCCCAAATGTTGTTGAACTACAACTCCCATCACCCCTAGCTAGCAAGGCCAGAGCTCAGGGATGATGGGAGTTGTAGTCCAACAACATCTGGGGACCCACAGGTTGAGAACCGCTGAGCTAGATGGACCAATGGGCTGACTCAACATAAGGTGGTTTCTTATATTCCTGGAAAGGGCCATAGCACCATAACAGAGCATCTGCTTTGCGTGCCATGTTCATTCCCCAGCTTCTCCAGTTAAGGCTGGGAGAGACCCGCATCTGAAACCTTTCGAGGTCTGTTGTCATCCAGTGCAGGCATTACTGAGCTAGATGAACCAATGATTGGAGTCACGAAAGCTACTTCCTGTTGGAATCAGATAGATTTGAACCCTGGCCTCCCAGGTCGTAGTCCAACTCTCCAACCATTGCACCACACTGGCTCTTCAGGTTACTCTTTCAGGGGCCAGGCAACCTTTTCTGTAAATGTTCAGGTTGACATTCAAGAGGCAAGGACTGTGTAACGCAAGAGCCAGGAAGTGCCCACGGAAGACCAAACACACTGGACAGGATTGGGGAGCCGATAATGTCGCAGTCAGGCTCTTGGTTGCAAAACCTGAGATCGAAACAACAGATTGGGTAGAGATAATGCAGTCGCTCAGGGCGCCTGCCAATTAACTCAGAACATGTAAGGTTTTTGAAACAGCCTGGCTGGTAAAGGAATGGAGAGAGAAAGGGGATCCAGCAGTAATGTTGTAGGCCTTCTCAAGATGACAAAAAGGACTGGAATTACTGTACATTTAAGCTGTTGTGCCCAAAGCTGGGGCAGTCACCATGGTATCTTCCAGCTGATATTGGACTACAACAGGTATGGGTAATCTTTGGCCCTCCAGATACTCATGAACTATATCAGCCCCAGTCAGCATGGCCAACAGCCAGGGATGATGGGAGCAGTAATTCAGCAACATCTGGAGGCCCAAAGGTTCCCCAAGTGTGGACTACACCAGCTCTGAACTTGGGGAGTAGAGGGGTATGGTTGTTTATTACTGTTGCAGCTTGTTGGAGACAGTCCTTCACTCACCTCTTGCTCTGTCCTCTTCCCACTGCAGGCCTCGTTGTTCCCTGGCGCTGGATGGCAGTGGCTGGACAGGTGCCCGTCCTTCTCATGATCGTATTGCTGTCTTTCATGCCTGACTCACCTCGTTTTCTGGTCTCCAAGGGGAGGGAGGATAAGGCCCTGGATGCCCTGGTATGGCTGAGAGGAGCAAATGCAGAGTACTGGTGGGAATACGAGCGAATCAAGGAAAGCTTCAGTGAGCAGGTGTGCTATGGAAGGATGGGCGAACATGTCAATTTCAGTTCCTTTGTTCCAGTCGTAAATTCAGTTCTCCACATTTTCACATCCTTTTGCAACTTACAGAAAAAAAAGCTCCTGTGAAAATTTGTCAGCATTTTTGTGTGAATTTCTCTTACTGTACACATTTTTTAATGAGATGTTGCCTAATGTCCCCCCCCCCCATTTTTTTTTGGAAAAGGCCACTTTTCTCTAATTCAATGCATTTTTGAACCAATTTTCACCCATATATGCATTTTTATGGATGCTTTGCCTAGCATTTTCATTTTTGTACACCTTACTTGGCTGAAGTGCAGCACTACAAAATTTGGCAAAGTGTGAATTTTGAAGGAGGGCTGTGTTTTAGTTTGTACAGTGGTACCTCAGTTTAAGAACAGTCCTGTTTACGAACTACTCCGCAAAACCGGAAGTAGTGTCCTGGTTTGCGAAATTTACCTCGGTCTAAAAATGGAAGCCAAACGGTGGAAGGGCACCAGCTGCAGGAGGCCACATTAGGGAGAGAGCACCTCGGTTTAAGAACAGTTTCGGTTTAAGAACAGACTTCCATATATATATAATATATGTAATATAAAAACTGCCTCGCAGTTTGCAGTTAACTAGGAGAAGTCTAAAGTGGCATCACCCCAATTTTCTGATCTCCTTCTGTACCCTCTGCTCCCAAATTACACTCTTGTGTCTCAAAAGTAGGGCTGGAGGAGGAATCTGCCTTTACTCAGATTCTAAATCTCACTTACCATACTTTTCCGTGTATAACACGCACCCATGTATAAGATGCCCCCTATTTTGGGGGACTAAAAATTAAGAAAATCCCATGTCCCCACTAGGCACTACCCATGTGTAAGACAACCCCCTATTTTAAAACATAATTTTTCAGTAAAAAAACATAGTCTTATACATGGAAAAGTACAGTACTTAATCTAACCCAAGAGGATTATGACCAGGGGCAGGTCAGTGGCCCATTTCAGAATCTGCAGTCTGGCAGATTCCTTTGCAAAGTGCCCTGGAGTTTTAAAGCTACAGTTACTTAACACTGTAGTCTGAGTATTGCACACACACCCCAGGGGCGTCTTAGCCATAGAGGCTAGTGGCACGGGGCGCCATGGCACCAAGTTCTGGAGGGCGCCAGGGAAGAGGCGGAGGCTGGATGCGGCGCCTCCAGGCATCAGCTCGCCGCCCTCGCCCACCTCCGCCATGCCGCGCCGCACCAGGAGCCTCCGCCCCGCCGGAGGAGCTGCCCTCCAGCCACTGCCTGCCCAGAAGGAAACGTGAGGGTGGGGGGCGGCAGAGGGATCCTTGCACCATGATGCCAGATATGCTTAAGACGACCCTGGCTCCCCCGCACTGTCTTCCCCGCCTTTGAAGCTTTTGAAATAGCCTGCCTAGCTGCCTATTCTTGCTGGTGCTGGTGGGAATTATAGTTCAAAACATCTAGAGGGCACCAGGTTGGCCAAGTCTAAAATATACCCCTGAATGGAAATAGTTTCCCACAGGAATTCCTCCTCCGTTGATCTGGAAGGCAACAAATCCTGAAGTGCGATGTGAATCTGTCTTCTTCTTTATGTGGAACAGGTGTGAGGAGCCATTGACCCTTCAGGTGCTGCTGAACTACAACTCCCAGGGGAGAATGGTACTTCAGCACTTTCTGGAAGGCCAAAGGCTCCCCACACATACAGCAATTGTCTATCGAAAGGGAGAGCCAAGCAAAAGAGGAGGCATCATTCCATTCCTTGGAGGCCATTCCACGAAATCTTGATCTTGTTCCTGGGTGTGTGTGAAATGGATCTGTCTGAGCCGTTTGTATCCATATTTCCTTAGAACAGACCAATTTCTTGGAAAGAGATCAAGCAGCCCTACATCTGGAAACCGCTGGCTATCACCTTGTTGATGAGGTTCCTGCAGCAGCTCTCAGGGGTTACCCCCATTCTTGTATACTTGCAGGTGATATTTAACAGCACAGAGGTCATATTGGTAAGCTAGCCACTTATCCGAAATTCTCCTCAGGACCTGTCCCCACCCCCATTCCACCCACTGCCTTCCTTTTTTGGCTTCCATTGAAATATCCTGCGAACTCTCATTTGTGAAGGGGCCTTCTAACAACAGTTCCCAGGATGCTTTGGGGGAAGCCATGACTGCTTAAAGTGGTAAGAGAGTGATTTAAATGTATGGAGCAGATGTAATTTAGTCTTTAAAGCATGCCTTCCAACGTTCCTCAGATGAAAGGAGAGACATTCTGTTCTACATCAGTATCACTGCCCAAGGGGAGGGTGTTTCCCCATGTTTTTATTAAAGTTTTCCATTATAAAGACAGCCCCTGCCCCGCAACTCCCCTGACGATTGCCTATGCTGATGGGCTGATGGGAGTTCTAATTTAACAGCATCGAGGGAATCAAATACCAAATCAGCCCAGAGAAGTGAGGGCGCTGCTTGTTCACTGTGTGTTTCGTTTCTACCATTGTGGCACAATGGTTAGGGTGTTGGACCAGGACCTGGGAGACCAGGGTTTGAATCCTGACTCAGCCATGAAGCTGCTTGAGTGACCTTGCGCCAGTCACCATCTCTCTGCCTAATTTACCTCACAGGATTTTTGTAAGGATGAATTGGGGAGGAGGGAAACGATGTACACCACCTTGAGAAAAGGTGGCATATAGAGGTGATAAATAAAATAAAATACCTTTACAACCTGTACGTTCCCCACACCCCAGCACCAAACTAGACATGAAGCTAAATGTGGCATTTGGAATCACCATAAAAAATTGCTCCTCATCCACATCCACACATGATTAAGAAAAAATATTATATCATTCTTAGTTTATTAAATTTGTTCTCGTAACAGAAAAAAATAAAACACTCATTTTCCTCAGGCTTACAACCTAAAGAGACACGAGAAAAAGGGGAAATGGGTTGGGGGCGGGGGAGGATTTATTATCATGTCCAGTTTGGCCAGTTATCTCCTGTTCGCTGTGTGCGTCTGTTTTAAGTAAATGCTGACTCAGGGAAGAAGGAGCCTCAGACATGCTAAATGGTTTCTCCTTTTACCTTTGCAGGAGCCGCAATATGATGCTGTTATCGTGGGGGCCGTACGCTTAGCATCGGTGGCAGTTGCCACCTTCTCAATGGATAAAGTCGGAAGGAAGGTTCTTCTATATATCTCAGGTGCAGGTTTTGTCCACTCTTATCACACCCCACCTGGTGCATCTATAGATCTATTTTGCAGAGTCAAAACCAGCTTTGGGGAATTGTTTGGTTCAATCTTTGGGGTGTGGGGGAGAGAGAGGGGGAGAGAGAAAGTATTGAATTGAAAGCACTGAACATGTGGGGTGTGGGTGGGCATTCTCTCCCCATCACCCCCCATACCGGATACCCAATACAGTAAAATGTGCCGCTGGTGCTTTGCAACATTTGCCTTTCCAACCTAGGCCACATTCACACCACACATTTAAACTACTATGATACCACTTTAAACAGTCATGTTTTCCACACAAGAATTCTGGGAGCTGTAGTTAAGGTAGTGAAAGCTTTTAAGGAAACCCCTTATGGCCTTCACAGAGCTACAATTCTGGAGTTCCTTCTGAAGAGAGATTGGTCATTAAACTACACTAGGGATGGTAGTTGTAGTTCAGCAACATCCATGGGGTAGGCCAAAGTTCTCCTACCCCAAGCACTTTACGGGGGGGGGGGGGGACCCAGTAGGTTCTTAGCCACAGGGCTATCTCCCTAGAATGTCAGGATCCAGAGACTGGGTGTGAAATAATGAGCAGGTTGAGGAAATTCCCAGACATAAATAACCCTCACATCTCACACTGCTGTTCTTCTTTTTTGACAGCCATCATTATGCTTGCCTCAAACTTGACTTTGGGCTTCTACATCCACTTCATACCTCAATATTCCCATAATTCAGCAATTATGGTTAACAGTAGTAGCCACGAGGGCCTGGCTACCAGCTGGATAAGTGGCCTCACCGTCATCCCTCTGATCGCCACCATGGTCTTCATTGTAGGTATGTTATTGTCAAGAACAGAAAGCCACCCAGATACTCTCTGAATGTTTTAAGCAGTAGCTTGATGTGGCTTATTATTATTGCAAATTAAATTTATATACCATCCTTCAACTGAGGATCACAGGGCATTTATAGTATAAAATTATGCAAGGTGTGGAGAATGTGGAAAGAGAGGGACTTTTCTCTTGTCTGTCATAATGCTGGAATTCATTGACATCCAGTGAAGCCGAATGTTGGAAGATGCAGGACAGATCAGAGAAAGTCCTTCTTCACACAGCACATAGTTTAACTATGGAATTCACAAGAGGCAATGATGACCACCGGCTTGGATGACTTTAAAAGAGTACTGTACAAATTCATGGAGGAAGAGGAGCCTGTCAATGACTACCAGTCATGATGGAAGTGTATTACCTCCAGTACCTGTCACTGGGGAACATGAGTTGGGAGAATGCTGTTGTGCTCAGAACCTGTTTATTGGCTTCCCTTTGGCGTATGTGGTTGGCCACTATAACAACAGGATACTGGATTAGATGGGCCTTTGCTCTGAGCCAGCAGGGCTCTCCTTATGCCAAAGCTTCCCTACACCTGCTGTTCTAGAACAGAACTAAATCAAAATTGACATTTATAGCTGTTTTGGTTTGCCACACTAACATGTTTGAGGAAGGACTAGTCATTCAGCTTTGCCTGAGGTTTTTCAGAGGGGCTCCTCTTTCCTGTCTCTAGGTTATGCCATCGGTTGGGGCCCCATCACCTGGCTGCTGATGGCTGAGATTCTCCCACTGAAGGCCCGAGGGACAGTGTCTGGGCTCTGTGTGCTTGTGAGCTGGTTGACTGCCTTTGTCTTGACAAAAGTCTTTCTGTTGGTTAAGGTAAGTAGAGGAAGAAGAGCAGGGTCGTCTTAGCCTTAGGTGCAAGGGGTGCGGGGCACTCAGGCGCCGGGCTCTCAGGGGCACCAGGCCAAGAGTCTGGGGCCGAGATTTGGAGTCCGGGGATTGGGAAGAGCCGACAGCTGCTGCCGAGCAGAGCAGAGCCCGTCAGAGCGCAGCAGCAGTTCTGCTGCGGGCAAGCGAGGTGCTGAGGCAGCCGGCTGACTCCACACTCCTGCGTGCCTGGGATTGGCGGGCCGTCGAGAGGCCCGCCCAGAGCACGCTGATCACACAAGGCGCCTGGCTTCACTCAGTCACTGCCACCTCGGGCTCTACTGTTGTGCTGGGCTCTGCTTGCCCTCCCCTCCCCCCCCCCCCGGCGCCTGGCCCCAGCCTTGCTCTGTCGCTGCCGCCACCACTGCCTCAGGCTCCTCTGTTGCTGCTGAGGTGGCCAGCCCAACCAGCTTTGCTGTGTGCACCTCGCTGGCCCGCCCTAAAAAAATGTCAACAACTTTGGGGTCCCCCCCTAAAAAAGGTTGACTTGGGGGGGCGCGCCAGGCGGATCTTTGCACCCCAGCGCCGCATATGATTAAGACGGCCCTGAATAAGAGACTTCATACGTGTTGCGAGATATGCCACAGAAAGCGGCTGTGTACACACCCCCATTCACCTTCAGTGCAGCCCCACCACAATCTGTATCTATCGTGTCATTTCTTATGGAATATTATGTTTTGATGTGTTTTCCCCACAAACCCAGCTTCAGGTGAAACTGAGAAAAAGGACCTAGCAGCGTTTTAAGCTGGTAACATTTACACAGCCCTAACCTGCTTTAACAGTCTGACCCCTGATCCTGGGAACCTTCAGCACTCTTAACAAACTACAGTGGTACTTCAGGTTAAGTACTTAATTCGTTCCGGAGGTCCGTTCTTAACCTGAAACTATTCTTAACCTGAAGCACCACTTTAGCTAATGGGGCCTCCTGCTGCTGCCGCGCCACCGGAGCACAATTTCTGTTCTTACCCTGAAGCAAAGTTCTTAACCTGAAGCACTATTTCTGGGTTAGCGGAGTCTGTAACCTGAAGCGTATGTAATCCGAGGTACCACTGTACAACCCACAGAATCCTTTGGAGGAAACCATGGCTGTTTAAAGTGGCATCATAGTGCCACCATAGCGCATAGTGGTGTGAATGAAGCCAAAGTCTCAGTACCCTCACCAGGGTCTAGAGCAGGGTTGGGGAAATTTTTTTTTTTTACCACAGGGGTCACATATGACTAGTGGGCAAGGCCACAGTCAAAAGTGGGAGGAGCATCTAGGAAATAGATTTAATGCATAAATAAGTACTTTTCACTCTGCCCCATGTCCTCTTTCTCTGCTTGTCCAAAGGATAATTTCTTTTCCTTTTCCAGGCACAGTATGGTCTGGAGGTTCCTTTCTTCTTCTTTGGGGCCATCTGCATAGTGAACCTTATCTTCACGTTTTTCATTCCCGAAACCAAAGGAAGGTCCTTGGAGCAGATTGAATCATACTTCCGGACTGAGCAGAAATAATTTATGGAATCTTTCCACCGCCTTAAATGAACTTTCAACATCAATTCAAGTCCTTACAATATAAGCAAATGAGAGACTTTTGAGGCCATGACAAGTTGACCACTGTGATAACTTATTATCCAAGTTTCCCCAGTCCTTAAACTGGGATGGGAGGTGGGGCAGATATAGTGAGATATTATTGCTCATATGCATTTATTAATTTCCTTAAAACTGACAGGTGCCATGGCAGCTAAGAGGTTGCAATACACACCAGAAAGTTCTCAGCTGGAACCTTGCCTCAGTCACAAACTAATTAAATGGTTGAAGGCAAGCCACTCTCTCTTTATTAGCTCCCTCCATCTGCAATATGAAAACAACGATACTAACCTACCTTGCAAGGTTATTGTAAGGGCTGCTATTAGGATGTGTGTGAAGCATTTTGAACATTGTGAACCAGGGGCCGGCAACATCTGTGAGCCAGTGAGCATATCTGGAATTTTGAGAAAGTGCCATGGGTGCAATTAATCATTTGTTCATCCCAGGCTTTTCAATGGACTTCTCCATTGCTATCCAAACCACACAGTCCATCTCCCCCCCCCCCATTTAAAATGGATTTATTTGAACTAGAGCAACTGAGTGCTTTATTTAAGCAAATCTGACATTTCAGTATGTGTTTGAAATCCCTCCTACAAAATATTGGCTAGAGGCACCATTTGTCATTTCCCCATGTGCTCAGCTTGGGTCTAGCAGATTACCTGGCAACCACCACACCTATTTTCCTGGTTCACGAGAGACAATGGAAATGGAAAAGAACACTAGATTGCTATGGGCCCCAGTCTACAAGACGTTTAGCCAATAGCATTCAGTAAGTCTGTCAAGGACCCAAATCCCACTGGCAGCTCTGATCACATTCAGTACAACTGTTACTGCCATTACCAAGTGACCCAACCAATATCATGATCATGATCATCTAACCCCTGGGCTTGACAAACAGAAATAAACAGGGGTTTCTTTTCATATCATGGAGAGCAAAGTCAGCAAAGTCATCTGCTCAGAAAACTGCAGTGAGAGGCACAGCTGCAGGAACCAGTTGAAAAAGTTGGCAGCCCCAATGGCCACACCATGGATTCCAATGCCAAGCATCAGAATGCATTATGTGCATTAACCATAGACAGCTTTAGCTTTTAAAACTGCATATTGGTTTCATACTACTTCTAAGGAGAAGAGGAAGCCCCAACTATTCATTGAACTAGATGGAGAATGTTTATGTATTTAAAATGCCAGCAAATGGCATTGCATTCTGTTCTTGTATTTGCAGCCCAAGCACACATATTTGCTTTAATAGTGGCATTTTTCAAATAATGAATAATTGTTTGGCAAAGAAGAGAGCACAAGAGGGGAATGGAGAAAAGGGAGAGGGCTTTATGGACTAGGTCAGTGGTGTCCAAACTTTTTTCAAAGAGGGCCAGATTTGACGAAGTGAAGGGCCTTTTTTTAGGTTTGAAGTTGTTGAGGGTTTTTTGCCTCAGGGGCAGGATTAAACCGACCGGCGGGCTGGATTAGGCACCCAAAACGGACTTTGGACATGCCTGGACTAGGTTAAGCTCAACAACTACAGAAGTAGAAGCTTTTCAGTAGTACCAAGACTCCCCGCAACCCTCAATCGCTGGATATCTCCCCCTCACTTTTGGTCTTTTGAACATTCATCATCCATGTCAGCATACTTTCAAGCTGTACTGGGGAACTTTCAGAAAAAGTTAAAGCACGTGCAATTTTCATAAGATAGGAAGTAGCTCCTCTTAAGTCTGAAATAGCTCTGAAAAGATCAAAAGGGTCAGAAGCTCTTTAATCCACAGGAATCAGCTCTATATCATGTATCCTGCTTTTTCTGCTTCCAGAGCACATTCTTTAGCAGCAGGAAGCACATACATATACAAACACACACACATTCCACTGTAGTAAGTAGCTTTTGAAACTGAAGAACTTATTACCAGAGGTAGAATGTTCTTTTTATTCACTGCATACACAAAAAGAGGATCAGTGACAGGCAGGTTCAGTAAACTGGTGGTTGTCAAGGGATTATACACAGAATAAAAACTGGTTTACTCAGATCAACCTTTTCCCCGTGGAACAGTGATGCAAGCCAGCGGTATCATCTTCACAGAAGTGGCCCATCCCATTTTGCCAACTGAGGAGAGACAGGAACGTGCGCCCTTGTAGCAGCGTCCCCTCAAAGCCCCACTTACTGGAGCTGTATGGTGACTTCTAGCGAAACCTCCCTGGAAGCCACAGCCGCACAACCCCAGCACTAACCCATGGGATTCCACTGCCTAAGCTGGGCTGCTTCATCTGCATCATGGGCCCTAAAGCTTCACATCCTTGAAAAGGAGGAGGCCACCTGCTTATGGCTGCTTATCCTGTAGGCCAGAGATGACCAGCCAGTTGCCTTCCAGAATCTTACTTCCATAATCCCTGGCCATTGGCCATGTTGGCTGGGGCTGATGGGAATTGTAGTCCATGAACATCTAGGGGACATACTCTACACCAGTGTTTCCCAACTTTGGGCCTCCAGCTGTTTTTGGACTACAACTCCCATCATCCCTAGTTAGCAAGACCAGTGGTCAGGGATGATGGGAATTGTAGTTCAAAAACAGCTGGAGGCCCAAGGTTGGGAAACACTGCTCTACACAATATCCCTCCACTAGTGCATCGTATAATTCACGAGACAGGCCTAAGGATTTCTTCACACAGCACGTGGTTGAGCTATGGATTTTACTCCAGAGAGCTGTTCCATGAGGGGCACCAAGCAAAGATGGCTTTAAAATGGGTTAGGACAAATTTGTGAAGGGTAATAAGGCTATTGGCCACAGCTGCTATGTTGTTGTTGTTGTTGTTGTTGTTGTTAATTGAATTTATATACCACCCTATACCTGCAGCTCTCTAGGTGGTTTACATCTTGCCTCTATGTGCCAGTTGCTGGAAATCACAAGTGAGGAGAGTGCTGTTGTGCTTGGGTCTGTCATGTGAGCTTTCCACAGGCATCTGGTTGTCCACTATAAGACCAGGATGCTGAAGTAGATGGGCCTTTGGTCTGATCCAGCACAGCTCTTGCTGAGGCCCTTAAGAGGCCCCTTAATAGCAGGGGTGGGGAACCTCAGGTTCAGGGGCCAGCTGTGGCCCTCCAGGCCCTCTAACCGGCCTTCAGAAAGCTCCCCAAGCCACACCCTTCAGCAGCCCTGCATCACATCCTCAAGTGGTTTTGCCAGGCTGAAATGTGTCCTAGGACCCTGAAGGTGCCTCTTGCTTGCTTGCCAGGATGGAGGAAAGCAAGGCGTGTGTGAATGTGTACTGAAACTCATCTACTGTACAAATGTTACACCTGTCGTTTGGCCCACTTTTGCCTCTGGTATGTGGCAAAAGGTTGAAGGTTGTCAAAAAGGAAATGTGGCCCTCAGACTGACAAGGGTTCTGTGCCCCTGCACTAGGGTGCATGAACGGTCTTTCAAACAATAGCTTTTCATTCCGCCATTAATTACAAGATAAATAAATTTGAGAAGGGATCCTAGAATTAAATCATTGCATTTCCATCTGCTTGAAAGATGGTGTTGGTGAATACAAGTGGTACAGTATGTTTGTTGCATGCTAAAAAACAACAACACCTGAAGGGAAAAATCAGACAATACTGTGCAATATGCATCCTAGAAACAAGAAAATATTATCCGTTATACAGTACAGTAAAAGAAAAAGAAATTCTTACAATGTAGAATCCAGAGTCTCCAATAATTATTCACAAAAATTAACTACGCCTGAGAAGAGACTGCCTTATTCTTTTATGCTCTTTCAAAATGGCAGTGATCCAGCTTTGTTCAATCTTCAGAGACAGGGGTGAGCTTTTTGACAAAGGTCCCTTCCTCTGAAACCTTATCTTTCAACAAGAAACGGGAATCTCTAGCAAAGCATTTCCTCCTAAAGGAAGCCTATAATACAGTACCATCACTTCTTGTTGATAATGCATTTGAAAATACTGACCCTTAGCGGTGGGACGCAACATTGCATCCGGCAGGTAAGATTCTCACATGCCCTTGTATCAACTACATCTATAGACTTAATTAATTATTCACACTATTTCTGTGCCCTACTCAGTTCCCAACTAGCCCCATCTTACTCTTCCTAAAAAGACAGTGACCTAACACTACTAGACAGAAATTGTTTCCCAACAAATGAAAGCACCTGTCTCATGTTCTATACCCCAAGAGAACAGATCCCCCACCGGAACAGTTCGAGGAACTCCAAATAAATAATAATAATAATAATAATAATAATAATAATAATAATAATACATTTTTTATGCTTTCCAAAGCAAATTACAAGGAAAAGGAATAATAAATTAAATTTATAGCTACAGGGTATAAATATGGAAAGTGGAATTATCAAGTAGTAAAACAGGTTAAACAGTAGCAAAGAAGATTGCGACTGCGTAGCATTTCAGGGCAAGGAAGTTTTTTCCCAGTTATAAAAAGCAGTGACCAGAAACAAAACTGGCCAACTGCTTGAACCATTTTACAGTATTGCATTATGGAACCTAAGATTTGTGCTTTTTACATGTACAAAAAATGCCTATAATTGCAGCTCAAGTGTTTTTTATGGGGGACGGGGACGGGGCTTATTGAGGCCCTTAACTTGAAATGCTTTGAGGTATTGTAAACCAGTTCTCTCATGTCACCTCTGGCCATCTTTGCTGCAAAGTGAGAGTGACAGTTCTCTCAAGGAAGCAGGGGGTCCTTTGCTAGACTTTGGGATGCAACAATGGCTGCCCTTCCCATCCTTGGAAGCCAGGATCACTCCAAAAAGTTATCCTTTTCCCCCCACAGGAAAAGCTATCCCCCTTGCCCGCTGAAGAATCCTAAAAGGAAAAATACCAAATGCAAACAAACTAAGAGTTTTCAAGTAATTTATCTCCTTAAGAAAATGCATCTCACAAATCAACACACAGTTTGCTCAGTTCTTAAATTACTAAAGAAACATCAGTTCTAAAATTACCAAAAAAAAAAGGTCTAAAAATTCATCAGGGGAATAATTTTCTGCAATGCAGAGGGGGGAAAACAAGACTCTAAAGTAGGAAGACAGCAAGGTCCATCAAGCCTCCAAAGTTTGTAACTCTAAGAGAGAACACCAAATCAGAGACTGGGTTGGTGGCTCAAATATTCAACACTGAGGTCCTAGAATTCATTTGGTACCACATTTTCCAGCTCCCAAAATAGCTTCCCCATCACCCCAAATGTCAAAATAAAATCAAGGCTCAGAATGTAGCTTCTGATGATCTCAGAAGTACCGTATTGAGCTGCTAAAACTGTATCAAAAGGCTGTTGCAACACAGGCGACTAAGAGTCCACCACAGTGATGTGACAAATGGGGCTTGTTCACCCTATATGGTTCCACACCAACCTGAGAAAGGAGCAGGGTGGGAGAAGGGAGAACCCCCACATTAAATCCTGCCCCCTTAAAGCTGCAGCATATAAGATTCACAGTGTTGCATAAATGTGTTTTTGTTTTTTTAAAATGTTCTGGGGACAAAGGAGAAGGTATGTTTTCATTCTGCACTCTCCGCCTTGAAATTAGAAGTTTTGAAAGAGTTTCACAGCACAGGGTTCCAAGGCCAGTTTCTAAGGCTGGAGTGAATTCCCAAGCTTTGCTTTTCAATGAGATGGGAATGACTGGCCTCAAAAGAATGGCGATGTCACACGGCCTGCGGTTCAACACTTCCTGTCACCCCTTCTTCGTTTGTTTGCTTCCGTTGCAACTGCTGCATCCTTGCGTACGTGATGGCGTCTCCCCTACAAAAGGCAAAAGACAGCATAGGAGCTTGGAGTGAGTGGCGGTTTTGACAGGCACAGCACCCAAGACAGACCAGCAATCCACTGGCTGAAACAGGGAGGGAGGGAAAACTCTTCTCTCTTACTTTTTGCCTAATGCTGAAAGTCCATAGAGCACTCCCGTCGCAAAGGCAATGGCATTGCCTAATAAAGTTGTCAGAGTCAGGCTCAGTATAACTGGGAATATAGCCATCCTGGGGGAAAAGAGAGGAAACTTGTGAAGTTAAGGCAGTGTCATGCTGCAATCCATTTCAACGCAGGATGCCTAGCAAAAAAAAGGACCCAAATGTGGACCAAGCATTTGCTGGTACAGGATTTTGTGACCTCAGATTTTTCGCTTCCAAATGGTCACTGAAATGACCTACTGGAATGAATGAACCCAAGTTAGGCAGGCATGCCCATGAATTACAATGTGTTTTAATCACACAATCAGATTTAGGGTACATACAAACCAGATATTGGAAAGGGATCTGTGGAGAGGGAAAACATACCCAGCTTCAAGAACTAAAGTCATTCAAGGGGGGAAAGTTTAGAACAATTTGTATTTTAAACATACTGGGTGATATCCAACAGGTCAGTGTCAGAGTAGATTCACTGAAAGTTACCGGACAAATGACTGAACAGGTCTACTCCAAATATGAGATATTGCCCATTAACAACTTTTCTAGGAAGCGTACGCCAGGCAACACTCATGAACTTTTTTTTTAATAAAAAAAAGATTTAAAAGATTTTGGCCACATCTGCACCATGCATTTAAAGCTTAATTAGATAAGTTTTAAACAGTCATGGTATCCCCTCAAAAAAAGAATCCTGAGAATTGTAGTTAGCTGAGAATTTTTAGGAAACCCCCATTCCCCTCACAGAACTACAATTCCCAGAGTTGTTTAATTATCAACCCCTCTTCCTAGGGAGTAGGCCAGCCTCCACCAGGCCTCTTCTTCCTTAACTGTTACTTGAGGGCAGCCATTCCACCCCAGGAAGCCAGGCTCATTTCATCAGCTTTACTTGAGGCCCAGCTTCATTGGGCACCTCCTGACCCTATACAGGACCAGATGGTCAATACAGGAACAACTGTCTAGAAATCTGTGCCTGTGTTTTTTGTTTTCCTCTACCCTCCTTGTCCTTTCCCCCTTGCGTGTCATGTGGGTTCTTGTTAGATTGTAAGCTTGTGAGTAGGAACTGTCTTGTTTTGTTTGTATTGCAAGCTGCTCTAGGAACCTTTTTGGCTGAAGAGTAGGGTACAAATGCTATATATATATATATATATATATATATATATATATATATATATGAACTCTGGGATAGCTCAGTTGGTAGAGCATGAGACTTTTAATTTCAGGGTTATGGGTTTGAGCCCCATGTTGGGTAAAAGATCCCTGCATTGCAGGGGTTTGGACTAGATGGTCCTCATGGTCCCTTTCAACTCTACAATTCTATGATTTCAGAAAGACTGGAAAGAGAAGTTGCTGAATTGCAACTTATTACCAAAATTAAAACCATGGAGAGACCTGGTCTGAATAGAGACATTGGATTCTTATCTCATTATACATGATAAAGCTATTTTTAGCCATCTCACCCCTTGCTTTTTCCTGTAAGACCAATTGCAGTCGTTAACAGTTGTCAACAGGTTTACCACACCTATCAGCCAATCACCCACTCCCACCACCCTTCTGAGTAATACCCCTCCCCACCCTCTCACTATATATAAGGGTCTGGTGACTCCTGTTTCAGTGTATCTGAAGAAGTGAGCATGCACACGAAAGCTCATACCAATAACAAACTTAGTTGGTCTCTAAGGTGCTACTGAAAGGAATTTTTTTATTTTGTTTCGACTACGGCAGACCAACACAGCCACCTACCTGTAACTATTCTATGATTCTGTGATTCTTCTCACTAGTCATCGTCCCCTTCCAAACCACAAAGAGTATGCTTTGTTGTGTTTACTGTGGATTTGTTATGCTAGAGCACTTTAACTGTGCAAATTTAGAGCTCTGGTATGCACTTGAATCCCTCTGGCACAATACTGGCAATCCAGAGTCACTCCCAACCCCAGGACACACTTACCCGCAGTAGAAGGCACCTTTCTGCCATGGACGCAGTTTGTCTGCCCTTGCTGACACAGCGTTTGCAAACTCGATGAACTGGCAGCAGAAGGGGGCCTCGCACAGGAAAAGGATGAAGGCATTCAACCTTTGGGGCAAGAAGTCACACTCAAAACCAGAGAGAACCCACCCCATCCATAATGAAAGGGCCCATTCGGTGAACGCATGAATTTTTTGCTGGATCAGGCCAATGGCCCATCTAGTCCAGCATCCTGTTCTCACAGTGGCCAACCAGTTGCCCCAATAGGAAACCCACAAGCAGAAGCCAAGGACAAGAGCTCTGTCTTCTCCTGTGGTTTCAAGCATTCAGAAGCATTGCTGCTTTGAACTGTGGAGACAGGGTAGAGCCATCATAGCTTAGAAATCATGGAGAGCCTTCTGCTCCATGAATTTACCTAATCTTCTCTTAAAGGCATCTTAAAGTTGGTGGCCATCACTACCTCCTGTGGGAGCAAGTTCTTCTCTACACTAAGAGAAGAAGACCACCCTTTTGTCTGTCCTAAATTATTTGACTTTCAGCCATGTTGGATGCCCATGAGTTCTAGCATTATAAGAGAGGGATTTAAACTTTTTTCTACCCACTTTCTTCATGCCATGCATAATTTTATGAACTTCTACCATGTCAACTCTTGCTTGCCTTTTCTCAAAAGTCCTAGACACCACAGCCAATGAAACTCTTGGGCTGCTTTAGGTTCTAAGCTTTTATAACCTTACTGGGGCCAGAGGGCTATTTTTCTAGTACAGTCGTACCTTGGTTCTCAAACAGAATGCGTTCCGGAAGTCCGTTCAACTCACAGAACTGTTTGAAAACCAAAGCATGGCTTCCGATTGTCTGTAGGAGTGTCCTGCAGCCAATCAGAAGCTGCAGAAGCTGTGCCGGACTTTCAGCTTCCGAAAATTGTTCGAAAACCGGAACACTCACTTTTGGGTTTCCATCGTTCAGGAATCGATTTGTTTGGGAGCCAAGGCATTTGAGATCCACTGTAATTGGAACGGGCAAATCTGCCAGTTTTGATTTCTCATTTTTCTGATTTTAAGTTCAGTTCTCTATGTTTCTACAAATGTGCAATATTTTCTTTTGTAAAAAAAAAAAAAAGTCCACATGAAAAACCACCCCCAGACTTTTTCCTATGTGCACATTTTGTTATGAATTTTTGCCTATTATTATTCATTTCTCTACTGCTTTATATTCTTAATTAAAAAATCTCAAAGCAGCTTAGATCCGACATTGAAACATTAAATAAAACAATCCAGAATAAAACATTAGTAAAGAAATTCAAGTATACATTCAAACAAAGATATTTAACAGGAAACTAAAATATTATCTTAAAGATTTCAAAACAGAACATTGCAAAAGAGGCCAACTACAGAATGCACATTTAATGCAGCAATGTTAACAAATAAATTATCTTAAACATTTCAAAAGAAAACATTAATAATGTCAAATATAAAATGCACATTTAAAACAGCACAACTAGCAAGAGAATAAAATATTACCTTAAGCATAGAACATATCTGCTGCTGTTGCTGCCAGTCCTGCCATTGGTGGTTCATGGCATAGCTGTCAACTTTCCCCTTTTCTTTCTAGGAATCCTATTCGGAATAAGGGAATTTCCCTTAAAAAAAGGGGAAGCGTTGACAGCTATGGTTCATGGCAGGCAGTGGTTGTGGAAGCTCAGGCTCAGTAACCTGGGTCTGCACTAAGAGACAGCCAAGACGGCAATTTCCCCATATATAAAGCATTTTTATATGTTACTTTCACTGATCTATGTACTGATAGGCACACTTTAACTTCGTCTATGCAAATTTGGACACATGAGCTGGCTGGAGAACTGCACTGCAAAATCCAGAGAAGCACAAATTTCAATATCTGGCTGTGTTTCAGTTCTCGTTGTTTCAGAAAGTGTGGGTGTGGTTGGTGTGCCTTTAAATGCAGCCGACCCTCCAGGTACGGTGATTGTTAGCTTGGTCTGACTCAATTATTTTCTGTGTTTTATTTTACTTCAAGTTTTAAGTGTTTTAAATTTTGTAGTGTTTTAAAAGCTTTCCAGTTTGTACTGTATTGTTATTTTAAATCTTCCACCTTGCTTGCCCTGGGGCATTTACTCAGGAAAGTGGCTTTAGAATATTTTCAATTAAAATTGCATAAAATAAACTGGCAGCAGCTCTCTGGGATTTAAGAGCAAGAGACTTCCCAGCCACATCTAGATATGTTGGGAATTGGACCTGGGACCTTCTGCATGCAAAGCAGATGCTCTAGCACTGAGCTATGGCTCCTTCCCTAGAAATAAGGTAAGATTCTAGTCCCCGTGGTTCTGAACAAACAGCCAGTTGACACATGGAATTGCCTAGTACTCCGTAAGACCCCATGTCCGTCTAGCTCAGAACTGTCTGCACTGATTGACAGTGGCTCTCCTGGAGATGCCAGGGATTAAGCCTTGCTCTACCAGTAAACTGTGGCCCTCTCCCAAAGCCACTCTGAACTGTTTTCTATTTTCGGAGCCACAGGGACTCAGCTGCAAATACAGTCATACCTCATGTTACGTTTGCTTCAGGTTGAGCGTTTTCAGGTTGCGTCCTGTGGCGACCCGGAAGTACTGGAAAGGGTTACTTCCAGGTTTCGCCACTCGCGCATGCACAGACGTGCAAAATGACATCACACGCATGCGCAGAAGCAGTGAATCGCGACCCGCACACGCGCAGACACGCAGATGTGGGTTGCGTTCTGCTCATGTTGCAAACGGGCCTCTGGAATGGATCCCGTTCGCAACCAGAGGTACCACTGTATAACGTTTTAAGTGTATTAAACAAATGTGACACTAGGTGGCACTGGTGAGCTAATGGCAAATTCCATATATACTTTACTACTTTTTAATTTTTTTAAAAAAGCACTTTCACAGTGTTTTTTTATATCTGTGTAGATTCAGCCTGAGGGGTTGGAACTGGCAGGAAGGCCAGAGACTGTGCTAAGTGGGCAGTGCAAAGGCCACACATCCCACCAGGACAAATCATTCATTGCCTGCCTCTGCATTTGCAACAGACTTTTTCATCTCAGTTGCCGTTGACTTGCAGCACCCCGGTACTCGAAACAAATAGTCACCGCAAAGGAAGTCAAGTTTACTTACATCATCCAAACGCCAGCTGCGATGTTGAGAGGGTGGATGGTCACACAGTTAAAGAGGCCAGCAAAGGCACATGCTGAAAGGACAAAGCAGGTAGAAAATGTTAAGATCAGCCCTGGTGGGTCAAGGCATTCTGTTCTCACAGTGACTGACCTGATTCCTCTTGGAGGCTCCCAAGAAGATCTTGAGTGCAACAGCACACTCTGTCTACTTGCATTTCCCAGCAACTGGTTTGTTTACACTGGTATATACTGGGGTGTATAAGGTGTTAGGGGAGGGGCAGTACCTCTGGCAGGGGACATAACATGCTACTTCTGGGGTAGATTGTCCACCTCCTCCCCGCCCCCCAGCTCTCACCTGTGGCTCCTAGAAGTTGCCAGCATGTGAAAGTGGCCACAACCCAGGAGCAGCTTCAACTGGCCAGCTAACCAGGTGAAGGTAGCTGATGGTGAGTCAGGGACTTCTCCTGCATGTGAAGACAGGCTCTGGTGGATTGAGTGGATGAGACCAATACTGGGTCCAATAGTCAAGAAGGCGTTTTGCATTCATGTTGTAGAGGGAAGTGAGGGGCAGATGGAGTTCATCAACCTAGGAAGGTAGCCCATCTAGCTGAAGGAAAACTCTGATCCTAAACCTCCACTGCCTTGTGGGACATCTTCAGGGGGGCTGGGAAGGCCAAGGTGTAAATCCTACACAAATTTGGAGTGGAGTCCCTAAGATGGATAGTTGGCGCCTCGCAGTCCTCCTTCCAGCAAATCCTATAGCCAAGCTGGTGCCAAACATATTGCTCTGCTTTCTTCTGGACCACATCGGCGAGGCTGAGAGGCTTGTAGTCTGGGCAACCCAGGACCCCCAAATACTGCCCAGGCTTGCACACCACAGAAGGTCACAGCAGTTTGACTTCACTCCAAGAGGCACACTAACAATGGTATTCACTGCTTCCAACAGTGGAGGCAGAACACTGGGATCTGTACCCTCGTCCTCCACGATTTTGTCTATGAATCTTCTTTTAAAGCCATCCAGGTTGGTTGTCATCACTACATCTTGTGGGAGTGAGTTCCACAGTTCAACCATGGACTGTGAGAAATGAAGCTGCAACATGACATCACATGATGAAGATGACAAAATTTTGTGGCCGTTCTGAGGACAGGTTCTGACGCTGAGGGCTAGTCACCTGCCTAAGGTCACGCTCCGCTTTCATAGCAGAGGAAAAACTTCGATGTGATTCTCCTGGACGTAACCAGACTGGGTTCCGAGAGCTTTGAGAACTGGACGTTTGTTCTCTACAAACTCTGACAATGTTTCTAAAACTATTTTTTGTAGGGTTTTTTGGGGGTGGGGTGGGAGAATTGAGTGCATCTGTGTGCATCTGTTTTCTTTGTGCCATTATTTCTTGTCAACTCAGCTCTGCTGGCCCTTGTTTTTTCATGAGCAGTGTCGCATAATACTGGGATTAAGTTACCTGCTGACGACCGCGAAAGGGGTCTGATGCTGTATCGGATGCAGAGAACCTTGCTGCAAGTTTAATGAGGACCAAATCCCAGGTGGTTCCAAGGCTTATTTTCGGACTGTTCAGGGCATAGTTGCTTTTTTGTGGGTGGGGAGGGGCAGGGGGAAGTGCTGCCTTTAAAAGCAGCCAAAGGTCTGAGAATTTTAGCAGGTGAAACTTCCCCTAACAAGTGGGTAGGAGAAGCAGAGAGTGGAACCCAGCCAAATTCTACTATAGCCAGAGCCAGCTCGCCCGTGAAGCAAGGAGAATAGCGGCTGGGACAATGAATGTGAATTTTTGTACAGTAGGCCAGATTCTACAGCCTCACACACCCCTCTCTAACCTCCATGTAGACATGCAGGAAGCATTATCAGAGTTCAAGGGGGAAAAAAATCTTCTCGATATTTGTTTGAAGGGAACCCTGTGTGTGCCGCAGTTTCAGCACCCAGCCTCCGCCAGAGTGCTCAGCCTCCTTCTGAGGACATGAAGTTGCACATGCATCATGCCTGTGATGTCATGCGCCACATCTGCCGGGCCCCCTCAATCTTGGGGGCAACCTGGTGCCTCTGCTCAAGGAGGGGTCAACACTTGGCTGGCGAGGGGTGTTGCATGAAGAGGGATTCAAGGAACAGAAAGAGTGGCCTGGGGCTGAGGAATAGCAGACTGACAAAAGATTACTCAACAAGTTTAAACATAGGGAGCAAAGTACAGCAGGAGCAAAGTTCAACCTGGTTATCAGGTGTGCCCTAAACCATGAGTAAGAAATCACATTACAGAGAAGCAACTGGGAACAGGTATCCACGGCTGGGTGCAACAAGGGAGAAGTTCTTTCAAGTCGTAAGCAAGTGTCTCAGGCACTGTCCCCAACTTAATCAGCCTTTGCAAAACACTTTTTAAAAACACTGACTTCTACAAAAGTAAACTCTGCATAGATATGCAAACATACCAGAGAACGAGCAAATCAACTATACAAATGGGCTCTGCAACAAAATGGTACAGCACGGAGTGCCCCTTTACCCAGTCGGCTGGGCAGCCATGCTTCCTGGGCAGCCATGCCCTCCATTCCATTCCTGAATGAGAGAGGATGCACTTTTTGAAAACAGCTTCATTCTATCTGTCTGCTTTTATTTATTTGAACGTTTCCATGCCACCTTTTAGAGCAACATCCTTGCAAGGCAGCTTACGCCAAACACAAAATGCAGTATTATATTTTGATTAAAAACAAAAACAAATCAAGAACCAGTCAAACCAGGTCCCTTAACTAATCCACAGGCTAGCAAAGGGCCATTGTAGTGAATGAAAACAAACTTAATATTATAAAAAAGCCAGCAACAACACAAAACTAAAACAAAAGTTTCAGGCTAGCTGCCCTATTAAATCATTCAAGGAAAACGACCCTGGAAACGTGTGGTTTTTATATAAAAAGTCCAGCTGTGCTGATGGCAGACATATGCAAATAACTTGAAAGGGTGTGTCACAAGCATGGAGTCACCACCAATAAGGTCCCAGTTCTCATGCCCCTGCCTCACAGAGCTACAATTCCAGTGTGATTTAATAGCTGATCCCTCTTCACAGGGAACTCGGGGAACTGTAGCTATGTGAAGGGAATAGGAGGTCATCTAACAACTCTCAGCACCCTTAGCAAACTACAGTTCCCAAGATTCTTCGTGGGAAGGCATGGTTGTTTAAAGTGGTATGTTATTGCTTTAAATGTGTAGTGCATATGTGGCCTGAGTCAACATCGACTGGCCCTGATAAGATAGTAGAGCCTCCATGGTCGGAAGCAGAGTACCCACTGAATATCAGATCCTGGAGGTGAAGAACATGGAATGGCTAATATCATGGTACCCTTCTTACTGGTTTCCTGGTGGCATCTGGCTGGCTGTACCTTTGATCTGATTCAGCCATGGAGTTCTTATGAATCAGGATGGTGGGGGGCATTTAGGCACAAGCAGAGACAGGGTGGGTGTTTCCCTCATGACACCACTGTAGACTGAGACATGAGAGAGACCACTGGCTGAGCTTGGACTAGTTGTTGCCTCCCAGCCTCACCTACCTCACAGGGTTGTTGCGAGGATAAAATGGGGAGGGGGAGAGCCTTGAGCTCATTTGAGAAAAGGTGGGATATTATTATTATTTTTTTAAAAATGAAGTGACTCTGAGTAACTCAGTCAAACACCAAAATGCAGTGCAGAAATACAAACATTTGCTAATGCAAAATAGGCACTACCCTGTTGCACTTTTGATCTGTTTTGCATATCACACACACTGATGTAGGTATTTATTTACCTACTAACTATATTTAAATGAAGGCAGTCAAGAGCTTAGTCCTCTTGACAACTCACAACAGAAGAGTGACAAAACATGTTGTTGTTTTTTTAAAAAAACAACCCACCCCAAAAACATGTGTACAAAAAGTTTGTAGTGCTATTCCCCGCCCCCTACAGGAGAGAAAATTAAAGCAAAAATCCCCAAAGACACAAAATCAGCCAGTCGGTGCAAAGAAAGCCCCCAGCTTAGGAGGCAAATTGGGTCTTGGGACTTTGCTCTGGAGATAGGGGAATCACTGGAGGAAAAAACTGTGGGGTGGGAGGAGTAAAGGAAATACTCACAGATGCCCCCAATGATGCCAGCCAGTCTGCATAACCACTTGTACCACCAGGTCATCCCATCATCATCATCGGTGGAAGACGGGGTAGCAGCAGCAGTAGCTGTATCTGACTGAGGCTGCTCTTCATGGGAATTCATCCTGCCTTTGGGTATGTGTGTTAAACGACAGGTAATTCCACCTTTCTCCTTTGCTGCTTGCCACTGTAATTTCTCCCCCGCCCCTAGCACTGGGCAGGATCCTAGTCCTCAGCGCATCGCTGTACACCCACTGCCCACCCACTGTCCCTTTAAAAGCAGCTCCAGCTGACAATGGAGACAGCCCCGCCCACCCCAACCAGCTGTCCCCCCCCCAAGCGTCTCCCTTTGTATTGCATTCTGGGTCCCCTCCCCCTTTGCAAGAGGATGAAATGGGAGGGGCTGTCTGCATCTCTCATCCGTAGACTTAAGGAGGGAAAAGTAGACTGACCTTTGTTTGTTAATGGCTGCAACTCCCTTGTTAATTTTGAAGCCACGTAATAAAACTGCCACCAAGTGTCCCTATTTTCCAGGGGTGTCCCTGATTTAAAGTAGCTGCCCCGGTTTCTGACTTGATCCCAGATGTCCCGCTTTTGCTTAGGATGTCTGCATTTTCATTGGAGAAATGTTGGAGGGTATGGAGTTATGAGACCTCCGAGCCGTCTGAAGGCAATCCTGTATAGGGGTGGTTTTTGTTTAATGTTTTATTATGTGTGTGTGTGTGTGTGTGTATACACACACCCACACACACCCCGGTGTATATATCTATACAGTGGTACCTCGCAAGACGAATGCCTCGCAAGACGGAAAACTCGCAAAACGAAAGGGTTTTTGGTTTTTTTAGGTGCTTCGCAAGACGATTTTCGCTATGGGCTTGCCGCAAGACGGAAACGTCTTGCAAGTTTGTTCCTTTTTCTTAAAACCGCTAATACAGTTGCGACTTGACTTCGAGGAGCAACTCATAGCATGCGGTGTGGTAGCCTTTTTTGAGGTTTTTGAAGACTTTGGTGATTTTTGAAGCTTTTCCAAAACTTTTCCGACACCGTGCTTCGCAAGACGAAAAAAACCGCAAGACGAAAAAACTCGCGAAACGAATTAATTTCGTCTTGCGAGGCACCACTGTATATCTATATATATATATGAAGCTGCCCAGAGTGGCTGGGGCAACCCAGTCAGATGTGTGGAGTATGTGTCTATATCATTATGGAATGGGATGTCCCTATTTTCATCGCAGAAATGTTGGAGGGTATGCTATAGGAAACTGGTAGCTGAGAGATCTCACACCCCCTTAAAAAAAGGAAAAAGAAAGGGGAGGAATAGCAGCAAATGCATAACGACTTTATGCTCTTTCTAAGATGTGATGCTGAATTTTCACGTGAAGTTGAATTTTGAAACATGTTAAAATCTTGCTTGCCAGTGCAAGTGGAAGGAGATGCTAGTGCGGTGCGATGGTTAGAGCAGAGCTTTCCAAACTGTGTGTCGCGACACTTTAGTGTGTCGGCTGCAGTGTGTAAGTGTGTCACGCGAACGCTCCCCCCACGCTCCTCTAGGGGATGGAAAAGGGTTAGTTTAACCTCTGGTTTGCTAGTGAAACAGAATTACTGTGTCACGAAATGATGCATTTCTAAAAAGTGTGTCACCAACATGAAAAGCTTGGAAAGCTTTGGGTTAGAGTGCTGAACTAGGATATGGAAGAGTTTTCAAATACCTATTCAGCCATGAAGCTCACTGGGTGACCTTTGGGGCAGTTAATTCTCTTAACCTAACCTCTACCTCACAGGGTGGTTGTGAGCAATGTTTTTTCCAGGGGGTACTCAATGATACTCTTTATCTGCACTTCTTTTTCTAGATAAAAAGGACTGGTTGTGAGGATAACAGAAAAAAGAGAACTATGTACACCACCTCACATGGGTACAGCCAGGCTTTATATGGGGGGGGGGGCAGAACCAAGTTGTCTGCAATGCAATTGGTCAGTTAGTTAAGCATTTTTATTTCTTTACTTGGTTTAAGGGGTCAGCTCCCCCCACCCCCTGCTACACCCATGCCACCTCAGTCTAAAGAATATTTTTCAGACAGTCTCACTAAGCCACTTCCCAGGGACTACCGGACTTGCGGACTTGAACACACTTTGTTCAGAAGGGGTGTTGGGAGTAAAGCAAACTTGCAATAAGTTGCAGCATTATAAAACTATTTGTTCCTGCACTCTGCTGTGTACACACATACACTCAAGGCTGTCGCCACTGCTAGTGTTGCTTGCTAATCCCTCCTACTGCCTGCCTGCCCCTCCACCCTCTCACAGCTCCTGTCTCTCTCCATCCCTGCTTCATTCAATTCCTACTGTTTAAAACCACCATTTTAAAACTTCCTTTCTCTTCTGCTCCCTTCCCCCACCCTGACCAGGCAAATCCAGAAGTGTGATGCGGCACTACAAATCCTCCTATAGGAGCTGTACGATGACAGCTTTTGATTTTTAGGTATACAGTAGAGGAAGATATATACCAAACTCCAACACTATTTGCCTCACATTCAAGAGTTGGAACACCTGCATTTGCCACTCACACTCCGATTATAATCCACCAATCCAAAGCGTAGGGCAAAAGGAGAAGTGCATCACAAAAAATAGGAGATTCAAATAGTATGTAAAAAAGAAGATGAATGAGACAAGGAAAAAGAAGAATTCCAGGATAAATTTCAGTCGTTCCACCCCAACAATCTGCAAAAAAAGAGGAGGGGGGGAAGTAACTCAATGTCCTATTTTCCGCTCCGCTCCTCTTTAAATTGATCACAAAAGAAAAAATAATAAAAAAGATGTACAAACTTCTGTAGTGAGTGTAGATGCATAACACACAACTGCAAACATATTTGAACACACTGCATTTTTCAATATACTGTATATATTAAAACACCTCACCTAAAAATCTGAGGCATTTGGAATAATAATTTCCAGGTAGAGGACAGCAGAGATTGGCCAACTCAGGCTTACATTATACAGTACACAGGTGCAGGGATTTTTAATTTCAGGCTAATAACTTTTCAGGTTCACACCGATATAAAGACTTTATTGGCAGATCTCCGAGAACTATGTGTATGTTGACTTTAGCACACGAGAGCAGGACTAACCCTGCTCAAAAACAACAGCAGCAGCATTTGAAGGAAAAATAATTGAATCGGTGGAGATCCCCACCTGAGAAGGTGGCAGAGCCAGGGTGAGTTCAGGCATGAGAAGCCCCTCCCTTCCACAGGAATGGGAACAGGTGCAAAAAAAGAGAAGGGCTAATGCAAACTCTAAGAGTTTTTCAGTGGATCTCACTTTTCATCCCTCTTACAAGACAAACTGTGTTTACTAACTCCCCCTGGCTATATAACCCTTGGATGAACAGCTGCCCTTGAAACAACTTGAGGCTGTGTTTATTTGGGCAAAATTACCCAGTATTCTGCTTGGAAACCGACGCTGGCAAAATTTTTGCTGAATTCAATTTCGGCCCTGCTCCCAACTGACTCCCAGTAGAATGGCTGGTTTCCATGGAAAACTGCGGTCTTCATGGCATTGACATCTCGGATCTAAAGAATGGAAGGTCAGGTCAGCCAAAGACCCAGAAACGTGACATCCACAACAGTTAAACTATACTTTGTAGTGCAGAGTTAAACCATGGAACTCACTCCCACAGTAGGCAGTAGGCAGTGATGGCCATCAACTTGAGCGGCTTTAGAAGAGGAATAGACAAATTCAAGGAGTGTGGTGGAGTCTCCTTCTTTGGAGGTCTTTAAGCAGAGGCTTGACAACCATATGTCAGGAGTGCTCTGATGGTGTTTCCTGCTTGGCAGGGGGTTGGACTCGATGGCCCTTGTGGTCTTTTCCAACTCTATGATTCTATGATTCATGGAAGAGAGGGCTATCAATGGCTACTAGCCATGTTGCCTATGCTCTGCCTCCACAGTTGGAAACCATCATTTGCTGGAAACCACAGGAGGGAAGAGTGCTTTTGTGCTCGGGTTCTGTTTTTGGGTTTCCACAGACACCTGGTTGGTCACTGTGAGAACAGGATGCTGGACTAGGTGGGCCATTGGCTTGATACAGCAGGCTTTCTTTATGTTCTTATGTTCACAATGGCTACATTCATTTTGATTTGTGCTTATGATGGTATCGGGAGGGTTATACACAACCACACTTTTGCACCTGCAGATGTTTCGAGGTGGACTTACTGCTCCATTTCCAGTCAGCACATGTCCCATAAAATTCCTGCTGAAATCATGTAACTTTTCACACCACAAACGTTCTGGTTTATTTATTTATTTTGTCCTACATTTGTTGCATTGGTGGTGGGTTTATCCTGGACTGTTCACACATTCTTCTGCTTTATTGGTTGTTCTGCAATGCTTCCCCAAAATGGAACCACACTATTACTACCTGGAAGGGTAACTCTTCTGCTACAGGGCAACAAATGTGGGATAAAAAATAAACCAGAATATTTGTGGTGAGGAAAGTTACATGATTTCAGAAAGAAAAAACAACAACAACCCAAGCCTAGTATGGACTCTGGACTCCCAAGAGTGGCTATTCCACCATAAATGTCCAGGGTAGAAGCAGCATTTTGATGGAAAAGGAGCAGAGATGGGGGGAGAAAGAAAAAGCAGAAGGCAACAACAAAATCTGATTGCATGTTAGAAAATAGCCTCCTGTACAAAGATAACATTTGCATTCATTGCTCCACACACTTTTACCTCTGGCTCTGCTCACCATGGGTAAATGGCTCCCAGAAAGTTGTCCAGGAAGGAATGCAGCCAATAGGTCAGTGGCGGACTTTGGTAATATGTCGCCCTGAGTGAGAACAAAATCTGGCTTGCCCTTCCCACCTCCCATATTTTTTATTTTCACAATAATTCCTTTTGGTACAGTGGATCTTCTCAGTAGATACCCATATGAATATAGGTGGTGGTTGTTTTGCATCCCCTTGACTCAGCGCCCTGTGCAGAAGGAACCACCCACACCGCTGTAAATTGAGTGCTGATCAGGTTCCCCACCCTTGCATCTGATTAATGTTTTGCTTTTATTCTCCTAGCGTGTGGCACCTGGACCCTTACTCTGTGCAGTTTTCTCACCGAGATGTAACTGGAGTGTGTTTGGTTGGAGTCAGCTGTTGGGTCCACATACGCAGCGTGAATGGCAATGCGATGCCTTGGAGCCACATCAACAAATGTCCTGCAAGCCCCTTGTTGTTCCCAGCCTGCCAAAGGCATAGGGGTCACTATTCTCCCACTGGGACCGAACAACTGCACATCGCAATCTGTGGTTAAGGAAATCAATGCAGAAGAGAGCAATGAGTCAAGGGATTTGTGGTAGAGTTTTACTTGTGTTTTAAAACTTTTAAAATGTTTTTGAAAGAGAATGCCTAGCTGCCCTGGAAAAATGAAAGCAATCCAGGAACTCTCCTAGACCAGGGGTCAGCAGACTTTTTCAGCAGGGGGCCGGCCCACTGTCCCTCAGACCTTGTGGGGGGCCGGACTATATTTTGGGTGGGGGGGGGGAATAAATGAATGAATTCCTATGCCCCACAAATAACCCAGAGATGCATTTTAAATAAAAGGACACATTTTACTCATGTAAAAACACACTGATTCCTAGACCGTCCGTGGGCCAGATTTAGAAGGCGATTGGGCCAGATCCGGCCCCCGGGCTTTAGTTTGCCTACCCATGTCCTAGACTAAAGGTAAAGGTAAAGGTACCCCTACCCGTACGGGTCAGTCGTGTCCGACTCAAGGGTTGTGTGCCCATCTCACTTAAGAGGCCGGGGGCCGGCGCTGTCCGGAGACACTTCCAGGTCACGTGGCCAGCGTGACGAAGCTGCTCTGGCGAGCCAGCACCAGCACAGCACACGGAAACACCGTTTACCTTCCCGCTATAAAGCAGTACCAATTTATCCACTTGCACTTAGGGGTGCTTTCGAACTGCTAGGTGGGCAGGAGCTGGGACCAAAAGACGGGAGCTCACCCCGCCGTGGGGATTTGAACCGCCGACCATACGATCGGCAAGTCCTAGGCACTGAGGTTTTACCCACAGCGCCACCTGCGTCCCTGTTGTCCTAGACTATCCCTCCCCAAATGCCTCACTCTGTGAAAGGACCCGCTTTCCCTTCCTCAGAGCAAGGCAGAGACAAAGTAGCAGTGAAAACAGACTGTAGTTGCATTTAAAGAACAAACCGTTAAAAGCAAAGGAAGTGGTAGGCTCCCATGGGTGAGTGCACCGCCCAGTGGTGCACCCGACCCCTAACACAAGTGCCTGGCCTGGGTGGCCCGTGCACCAACCTATTTTTACACTCTGAAAAAGACACCAGAGGATCCAGCCACAGACCTCATGTCTCTCATGGAACCCTAAGCCCTTCTTAAAAAGGTAAAGGGATCCCTGACTATTGGATCCAGTCGTAACTGACTCTGGGGTTGCGGCACTCATCTTGCTTTATTGGCCGAGGGAGGCAGTGTTTGTCCACAGACAGCTTCCGGGTCATGTGGCCAGCATGATTAAGCCGCTTCTGGCGAACCAGAGCAGCGCATGTAAACCCCGTTTACCTTCCTGCTGGAGCGGTACCTATTTATCTATTTGCACTTTGATGTGCTTTCAAACTGCTAGGTTGGCAGGAGCTGGGACCGAGCAACGAGAGCTCACTCCGTCGCGGGGATTCGAACCGCCGACCTTCTAATTGGCACGCCCTAGGCTCTGTGGTTTAACCCACAGTGCCACCCTTAAGCCCTTCTTAGATCTCTCTTTTTCACTTCCAGTGGAGCCAGCTCAGTATGGCAGCAACCAAACCTACCTTGATGGTATTTCTTAGCTGCCACTTTGCTGCTGTACCAAAGGGAAACTCCATTCCCAGGACCCAGGCGGCGCTGTCTCACCACCAGCGTGTTGGTCCTGGTGTTTATGGTGGAATGCACCAGCTTCTTACAGCCTGTCCGCCACATCATCCGTGTAGAAAACAACATCACGTCACCTGGAGCAAAAGACAAGGGATGCTGGGGAACATGTCAGACTGATCATCCACAACCATTTTATAAAAAAAATGAAATTGCCTGCTGATAGTAGGGAAGGGCAATTAATTCTGTCCATTTTGGTTCCTCTCAGTTCCTAATTTTTCCAGTTTTGTGTTCACTGCGTTTCTGCATCAGTGTGTAATTTTTAAAAAGGTCACCATGAACATTTAGCTGCTATTTCTCATAATCTGCTATTTTATCTTTATATGCACATGCTTGTTTGGAATCTTAATTGAAAAAATATTTATAAACCACTCTTCATTTTTAAAAATAAACTATTATACATGAAACAATACAATAGAAACCTTGAATAAAGTTAACATCAGAATCAGCTATTCTGGAAATATGTTTTCTTAATCGTCTGGATAAGTCTGACAGAATAGAAATTTTTCCAGCAGGTGCTGAAGCACAAGGCGCCTGCTGAATCTCTATTGGCAGAGTATTCCACAATTTGCTTAATACATGTATATTTTGGCACAGCACCTTTCCCTAATGTAATGCATTTTTGTATGCTATTTTCACTAATATATATACCTATATTTATTTATATGTGCACTTCACCCAAAAGCATGTTTTCCTGCACACATTACTTGAGGCTGGAGAACTGCAAAACAGATTTTGAAGGAGGGCTGTGCTTCGGGTCATGCATTGTTTCAGAAAATGTGAATTATGATAGGTTTGTCTTTCAATGCAAATTCAGTTGGATTTCTCTCCCATCCTGAGCTGTCGGGGACATACATAACTATGCAGGCACCTGTAATCTCAATTCAGGCCACAGAATAGGGTGAGGAAGTTATTATAGCCTAGCATCTCCTGGTTGAGTTAAGATTTGAACTGGTGGCTTCCCAGCTCTCAAGTCCTCCAAGGCTATGAACCAAACACTCACCTGCACTGCAGTTCAGGGAGCTCTCCAGCACTTGGACCCTTAGGACCTCTCCTAAGGGGCGGCCAATGGCAACAATGCAGTCGCTGGCTTGCACACCAGTCATGTTGATGAACCCAGTGGAATTTAGGAACAGCTGCCCACAGGGACCTGCAAAGGAAGAAAGGCAGCAATGCTTCTGAATGCCATTCCCATTAGTGCATCTGATCAGCAATTGTGAGAAGAGGACTAGCTGGGCCCTTGGACTGATCTGGTAGGCTCTTCTTATGTTCTTAAGAGGGCATAGCTCAGTACCAGAGGACCAGCTTCTCTTACGTTGAAGTCATTATGCCATGCACTGCAACAGCCATTTTATGAATTTATTATTATTGAATTATTACCTGCCTTTCTCCTGCAGATCCTAAGGTGGGTTACAACAATTTGGAATTTATTACTAAGAACACTTAAAACAAATAGCAATCATAGGTACACTGTGGGTCCAAAACTACACACAACTCAGGTGTCAACGGCCAGGGTAAAAAAGTACATCTGTACAGCTTTCTCTGGAAGCTGTATAGTTAAGAAGCCAGATGGACCTCTGTGGAGAGGGAATTCCACAACTTAGGGGCTGCCACAGAGAATGTTCTCTTCCAGGCAACCACCACCCCTGAACTTTTGAAAGTTCTTTTGATATTAACACCCAAGACAGTCTGTAGGGAAAGAGGTGGTCTCTCAAATATGCCCCACCAATTGCACTTCCTCACAAATGTACTTCCTGGCCTAAAAAGGGTTGGCAGCCCCTGTTAAAAGGCGAAGTCTAGTGATAATCACACGTAAGTAAATACAAGCTGCGCAACTGTACTCATCAGCGTCCCACAGTATATCCTCAAATCGTTTCATGGAAGGAGCTGGTCGATCAGGCTGTGGAAGGTCCAAAGCTTTATGGTGTGGCTTTTCAGGGCCAATGGTCACCGCAGCCATCAGTTGCTCCGTAGGAGGCGGCAAAGTCCTGAGCTCTGACCTGGAGACCGGACCTGCTGTGGCCTGTTCAAGGCAGGGAGCGATGGAGCAACTTTGCAGCATCACAGGCTTAGGGGAGTGCATGCAAAAGGTGGGGTTCACCTGTGCCCCATTTTCGGGATTGATGCAGAAATCCTGTCGTGTCTGAATACCATTCCCACAAGAGGCAGAACACTGGAGGGAGAAACCCAGAAGCTATTTTTAAATTCACAGTAAGCATTCTCAGATGAGAGGAGCCCTGGAATAATATGGGCAGGAAACACTTTTATACATCACCTCCAACTGCCCCATCATTGGCTTATGACACTTCTAAGCTGCCTTTTCCTCAGAGACCACAAGGCAGTACAGATGGCTTTCCCCTGTTTTGTGTGAGAAGGGTGGGCTGGGAAAGAATGACTCCCACAAGGGTGGCATTTGGGATTTGAAGCTAGGCTGATCTAGCTCTAGTCGAAGAGTCTAACCCAGGGCTCCCCACAACCAGTTTGGGCTGGAGGTCACATCTGCAAATCTAAGAAAACTGTGGTGGGCACCACAAAATGCCCATTTCACAGAAGAAAAGCTGGTGATACTGAATCCGCCTCTCTAAACAAAAAAACAAAAACTGACAAAAAAGCAGGCAATGCCCCTAGAACAAATCCTCAAAGTAAAAAATAATGAGAGGGGCAGGGGGCCTTGGCAAGTGCCAAGGGGGGTTCTTGAGAGCAACCCAGCTCTGTCCTAATTCCAATACATCTCTGAATGGTATTGAAGCCTGAACCAGGGGTGGGAAACCATTTTTAGCCTGAGAGCCACATTCCCTTCTAGGCAGCCTTCTGAAGGCCACATTCCATGTTGGGGCCAGAGGCATAAGTAGGAAGAGCAACGGATGGAAATTTTGCAGATTCACCCCACCCTGTCTCCATCTTCCATCCAAGCAAGAGGCATTATCAGACTTCAGGGACACATTCTTGCCAGGCTAAAGCACTTGAGATATGAAGCAAGGCCGATGGGGTGTGTGGCCTGGGAAGAGTTTTGTTGGCCAGATAGAGAGGCCAGGTGACCCCAAGGCTTTAGTTCCCCACCCCTGACTGAAAGGTTTACCTGTGTCCATTTGGTGACCCTCCATTCATAAGGGCAGACCCGGATCACACAAGGCACACTGAAGGGGGGCTTCTCTGCTTCTCGGCACTGGCTCTTAGCCAGCTCAATCTCTTGTCCCCCAGAAAGCTGCATGCAGGTCACCAACTGGGTGGCTACCCCAAGTCCACAGGAGGAGGAACACGGACCCATTCTAGTCACTTTCCACCTTCTCAGAGAGAGAGAGAGAAGAGAGCTAATCAGTGAGTCAAGTGAACACACACAACTGCCCTCTGCACCATCCCCAGATTTTAACAGGGCCTTCCTATCATTCCACTTTGCACAAAACATTTGGGAATATCAGATTATCTATATCTATCTATACTGCTCTTCATAAATACAGCCCAGAGCAATTTACACACCACACTCAAATTCAATCTAAAACATCAAGGTAATAAGAAAAATTATATGTAGCAATTTTTAAAGTTATCTGTTTATGTGTAAAGAGCTATTGCATGTTTTAGAGCCCTTGACATTTTGTTGTTGTTGTTGTTCTAGTGTCTTCGTCTCAGTCTGAACCATTTGAATATAATTTATGCATAACTAGCAGCCTCGTAGCTGGCATGCCTTGGGAATTCTAAGAAACAAAAGAAAATCATTGAAGATTTGAAAGGTTCAGTCTACCATCTTAATTCAAAATTGCTTTCAACTGTATTCCAATATAGACAAAAACTTGCGCCTTCACCTCAGGAACTGTCATGGTTGCAATATTCAAATACACACTGAAAAAAAACAACTTTCCTAGATATATAGTACACATAGATAATATTTGTGGTGATGAGGAAAAGACTCCAGTTAAATGAATGCACAACTAATGAATGACCTTGGGGGACATGGTTCCAGGTTGCACACTTCCTGCTCTTCAGGGCGAGGCAAACTCTCACAGACCGTGTCTGGTAGAATCTCTTCCTCTGCCTTCTCCCCCGTTGCCCGTGCACAGTACAGGACCTTGCGCATCATGCCTCTACCACAACTGGTGCTACACGTGCCCATTTTGTAGGACCACCTGGCAGGTGGAAACAACAGAATGCAGTTGTTGAATCAAAAGCACCCGGGGGGCAGCATGTGACTCCCACCCTCAGTTCCACCCACTGTTAACAGGCCAATCCCAGACCTGGCTCTAGAGATTGTGAATTCATCATAAAAGACAAAGAAGGCTCTCCTTGGCCACTGCCCTCAAAACGACCGGCACTTACCTGGCTGGGCATGGCTCCATAGCACATTCTCTGCTGCTGGCTGGCCTGTGCATCCGGCTACATTTCGAGTGAGGAAGAGTCCGGGTTGTGTTCTTGTCTCGCCGGACACAGCGGACTGAGAGGGGTATCTTTCCTCCACCACAGGTCACAGGGCATGGAGCGAGTTCCTTCACTTCCCAGCTGGAGAGAGAGCAGGAAAGGAGGAGACAGACACAGATCAACTTATTCCATCAACTTCCTTGGGCTTGTGACAAAACCACGGATCCAGTCACTGGTGGCAAGCAGGAATAATCTCCAGGTGACCATCAGGCAAGGAATCGTTTATAAATGCATGAGTGAGTGGATTCTTTTTTCTTTCTTCCAGGCTGCAAATGTGCCTCAAGGGCCTGTGAAAGGAATACAAGGCTAGATCTGCAAGATTTATTCATACTTATGCTCATGCTATGCACTTTTACCTTGCTGGACATGGCGTGGGGTTACACAGTTCCAGCTGACTCGCTGGCTTTGGTTCCTGGTTACAACGTTCCTCCTCTGCTTCCTCTCTGGTGTCAAAGACCAGGCAGACATAGCTCAGCCACATCAAGCCTGGAAAGAGAAGTGGCCAGAGTGGATTATGTAAAACTCCCTTGTTTTCCCCCAGGAGCCCACTTGATGAGCTCCAATTTCTTTTAATTCCTTCTCGCAGGGATGCTGGATCTTCCCTCTTTCCAGCTCTCAGCCTGGCAGCAGCCATTCCATCTGGCTGTGAAGCCAGGAGCACAGAAGGGAAGCAGTGCTATTCCACTGGCTCTGCTGAAAGACCAATTGATTTTGGTTCTCTCTCAACTGTCACCTAGCAGCCACCATCCAGTCAGGCTGCAGAGGAGAATAGCTATCAACGTTTCCCTTTTTTTAAGGGAAATTCCCTTTTCCCGAATAGGATTCCAGCTGGGCAGCAGCCATCCCATCAGGCTGCAGCAGAGTGAGGGTTGGGACTACATCAGCTCTGCTGAGAGACCAATTCCATTGGGCTTCTCCAGCCTTCAACTGCCATCTAGCCATGGCCTTTGCATTCCATCAGGCATTCCATCTAACATTAAGAACCAGTCCCTGAGCTTGCTTTTTCCTCTTCCCTCCTCATCCCTATTTTCTTTCATGTCACATCACTCAGGATAGACAGTTAGCCTATGGACAGGGATTGTCTTGCTTTATTGATCATATTTAAGCCACTCTGGAAGCTGTTTTGGTTGAAGAGCAGAATGAAAATGCTTTGAAGTCAAACAAAAAATTAGTGTAGGATAAGAGTGTTGTCAAGACAAAGCTCCCTTCTGGAAAATGATAATACACAAAATAGTCTTTGATGAGCTCATTAATGCACAAGAAGCACCTAGGAAACCACCTTACCTCCCCCGCAGGTGACAGGGCATGCTCCAGCCAAAGGGCTCCAGACATACACTGAGCGATTTCCAGTCTTATGAGGCCAAAACGGGACCAAGAGCTCTGAGCGGGGCATCTCTTCCTGCTGCAGAAGAGCACAATATCTCATGGCAGGGAAACAAGTTAGGATGTGGAATGTAACATATCTGTCAAGGCTCCCATTTAGGGAACCCAGGGGACTCCAGTTCTGGCACAGGGATCTTCTCAGCAGCTTCATCATACTACAGCTCCCAGGGTGGTGAAGTATGTAGCCCTGATGTGTCCAGTTTGAGGATGCATCTATGCTACATACTTGACCAGAGGTCAGCAAACCTTTCCAGCAGGGGGCCAGTCCACTGTCCTTCAGACTTTGTGGGGGGGCCGGACTATTTTTTTGGGGGGTGGGAAATGAACAAATTCCTATGCCCCCAAAATAACCCCGAGATCCATTTGAAATAAAAGGACATATTCTACTCATGTAAAAACACGCCGATTCCCGGACCATCCGTGGGCCAGATTTAGAAGGCAACTGGGCCAGATCCAGCCCCCAGGCCTTAGTTTGCCTACCCATGTACTGGACCAACTTATTTTAATAGGCTACATTGTCAACGCAGTCTCCTCTAGAAAACCATTTCATGTTACAAATATGCTGGGGTTTCTTTCAGTTGAAAAGCTATTATTACGCAGGAGTCGATGGAGAGAAAAGCTGAATAAGTGTATCAGACATGGCTTGAGCTGTTAGCATACAGTGGCTACATTCAACTGCAATTGTATCTCCCCCAATATTTCTATTTTCCCTTCTATAATGCACTTTGTATGTTCTTTTCACTAATATATGCATTTTTATACACACTTTAGTACATGCATATTTTGGTATACGTGGAGAACTGCATTGTCAAACTCGGAGAAGTGCAAATTTTGAACCATGGCTGTGTTTTAGTTTGTATATTGTTTTGAAATGGCAAATTAGGTAGATTTCTCTTCAGACGCGAACTAAACTGGGCTTTCCCTGCAACCCTAATTAGACTGGCCTTTAGTCCAGTCCAACAGAGCTCCTCCTATGCTCTACGTACCGTGTTCCATCCCAAAGGGCAGATGTTCACCATGCAAGACACAAAGGCCAGGGGCTTCTCATCCGCTGGGCACAGGCTGGCATCCACGGTACTTTCCACCCCATCCCAGAGTTGAACGCAAGTCAAATTCACTGGGGCAACCCCCAAGCCACAAATCGCAGAGCACTGGCCTGGCTCTGATTCCTTCCACCTGGATAGAAAGTAACAGCCATTACAGAATGGCATTGGCCACTTCTGGATTTCTCTGCAACAGATTCTATATTCACTGTGTGTTCGTGGGTGGAGAGATGGATAAGCTTTCCAAATCTTTTATGGAATATAATGCTATCAATGGCTTCTAACCACAATGGTTCTGTTTTCCCTTCATTGTCTGAGGCAGTCTGCATCTGCAAGAGGGGAGAGTTGATGTTGAACCCAGGTCCTGCTTGCGGACTTGCCATTGGAGGAATCAGGTTGGCCACTATGAAAACAGGATGCTGGACTAAATTTTTTGGTCTGACCCAGCAGCCAGGCTCTTCCTATGTTCTCCTTGGATTAACTTAGAAATGATCAAAGTTTTCCTGGTGTAGTTGGGCGAGATCAAGGAAACCCCTCAATGCAATTTTGTGAGCCAAGTAAAGACTCATGGTTCCAGGTGTATGTGTGTGCCACCACCCATCTTCACCAATCACTGCACATTTCTGCAGTTCTTCCTTGCTCTTCCGCAGAATCACAGGAGGCCAAGACATTGGACAACCCATTGTCCCTTATGGGTGACTTACATGTTTACTTACCTTGGAAGACACATCTCAGTGTTGCAGGACTCGACAGCTGATGGTTTGGGAGCATCCACACATTCTGAATCAGGCAGGGTCACATTCAATCCTCTTTCTTCCTTTGCACAGTAAACCAGTCGCTCCATCACACCACTGCCACAGGGGACGCTGCAGGGCCCAAAGTACTCTGCTACCCATCTTGGAGAAAACAGGAAGGGCCTGTCACACCCACCCACAGTCATGCAGGAAGTGGCATCAGGAGCACAGGAAGCTGCCTTATAACAGAGTAAGAGCTAGGGGTGGGCGATATACCCAGAACTGGTTTGAAGTCCGTATCATATCGGTTTCATAATTCTTTACCTGGCAATATATCACGAATCATGATGTGTGCGTGTTTATGCGCTATACAAAAATCACAATGTGGGGAAAGCCAACCAATGCCTCTACAAAGCTTCATCCTTATTTCAGTCATTGGGATGTATTGGTATATCACCAATGTTTAACTGGCGATATATCACAAGGTTGAAAACCAGATATCGCCCAGCCCTGTTCAGAACATTGATTTGAATAGCACAGTAATGTCTTCAGTGACTGGCAGTGGCTCTCCAGGGTTTCAGAAGGGTCTCTTCCAGCCCCACCTGGAGATGTCATTGGGGACTGAACCGGGAACCTTCTGCAAGCAAAGCAGATGCTGAGCTGCTGCAGTTTACTTGAAAATAAATCAATATTCTAGTCCTTGTGGTTCTGAGTACAGGGGATGAAATAAAAAGGAATGTTGGAAGCTGCCTTGTATGAGTCAGACCACTGGTTTATCTAGCTCAGTAGTGACTCTCCAGCATTTCAGGCAGAGAGTCTCTCCCAGTCCAAGCTGAAGATGCTGGGGGTTGAACCTGGGACCTTCTGCATACAAGGAAGATGCTCTTCCTGGGACTCTGTGCCACCTAGTAAAACCACTGCACCACACTTGCCTAGCCAATTCTAGCAACCAAACTGGAATATTAGGACTAGTGGATTCATGCAGAGTTGGTCTTCTGAGATAGCTTCAATATGTACACATCTCCTAAATTAAACTATATTTACTGTTAGGACATAAGCTAACATAGGAAGCTGTCTTATATTGACCCAGACTGTTGGTTACCCAGCTCACTGTCTACACTGACAGTTCTTTGGAGTTTCAGAGGATTCTTTTCAGCTCTACCTGAAGATGCTGGAAACTAAATCTGGGACCGTCTGCATGGAAACCATGATCTACAACCCTTTCATAGAAAGTTGCTTTGTACCTAGTCAATCCATTGTTCCACCTAGCTCAATATTCTCTGCGCACGCTGGCAGTGGTTCTCTTGGGATTTCAGGCAGGGAACATCCCCAGCCCTAACAGGATTGAACTTGGAACCTTCTGTATGCAAAGCAGATGTTCTACCACTGATACCCTACTTTAGCCTTTTCAGTGATGGCAGCGATGGGCTATGCTGAGGCTTTTGAAGATGAACATGGGTCACCTGGGCTCTTCCTTTCCCACAAAGAGAACTAGCAGAACCTTTACTCACTGGGGCTGGCAGGGGGCCACAGCACAAGGCTCTTGCCTGGCAGGGGGCCTTGGGGTCTTCAGACAATGTAGGTCAACCGTCATTTCATTCCTTGCCTTGTCAAAGCAGGAGTAACTGACCTTCAGAGCACCTGCAAAATATGAAGTGTAAAGGAGATCGAGATTTGCCAGAAGGAAAGAGGGGAGTCAGTGCTGATTGGACAGAACAGCTATGGGTGACAAGACAGATAATATTAAAATAGATGGCCACAACTAACAGGTTAGTTATTTGCTATGGGTCTACTCTAAGTAGAACTTAGCTGGATACAACTAATTGCTTTTCAGTACATACTTTGCCACGTGAAATATGCATCTTTGTACAAATTTAATCCAAAAAAGCTCATTTTTGTGCACATCTCAACCCCAAGCACACATATTGCCACTTTTTCTTTTTTCTTTTTTTTTTTTTTTGGATTCAAGGAATTTGAGAGTGGCAAAACTGGAAAGTTAATGCCTTTTAGCCCTGAGTAGGGTGGATCAGGTTAGTCCACTTAGAACTGTGTACCAAATGAAATTCTCAACCATCCTCATCCAACCCCTTGCAGGAAACCTGAGGCTATAACATCCAGTGGTGTCAATTGGGAGTGGTGGGGTGTGCAAGAAGACCAATAGGAGGTGGAGCCATAGCCAATGACAATAACCCTTGCAACTAAGGAGGAGGCTGACAAGTGGGGCCTGTGGACTATATTTAAGTAAGAAGGTAGACAGAGGTTGGTGAGACAGTGTTCCACTTGCTCCAGTGCACCTTTATTAAGTCAGCACCCTGGAGAGCAATCCCACCTCTGCGCTCAAATAACTTCATCACAGAAATGTCCCATTCACAATTGAGTGTGGAGCCAGAAAACAATGTGCCTCACCTTCCCCACAGCTCACGGAGCAGGGGCCAAGCTGGGGTACCCATGAATGTACCTCTTTCTCACTTGGTCTGAAGTAGCTGAAGGCAATGTCTGGGCTAGTGGCAGCCCCATACTCCTTCCCATATTTCCTATAAACCTAGAAGGGAAAAGCAACCAGGGTTTGAATGGCATCCAGGGATCAATCAACGGCTTGGCTGATTTCAATGGGTTTAAGAGGGAGTGGGAAAACTCAGGCCCACAGGCCAAATGACCTGCCAGCCCTCCATCAGGCTGTACCGTGTTACCTGTATTTCTATGTCCTCCTGCGTTGGCCCATTCACATGAATCTCCTCCAAGCTTGGCAGGTTCTCCACAGTGAGAAAGACCTTGTATTCTATCTGATTGTCTTCCAGGGCCGAGGGGTATGTGATGTTGAAAGAGATTCTGCCTTTCCCTGCCACTACATACTGCCCTTGTACCTTCACACCTAGAAGGAGGCAACAGCAATGTGTCTCCACAAGGGATGGGAGATACCCGCTTTTCAACACTGCGATGCTATCACCAGCAAAACATCGCAGTAGAATAATATATCATGATGCCTGAAAATGAAGAGGAAGGAGGACTTCAAAGCAGATTGAACTGGCTCAGTACAGTAGCCAGCCAGCCCTCCGTAGTCAATCTTCCTTTGCGGCACTGATGGCATAGCATATACCGACAGCATTGCCTCGCCTCAGCGCCTCTCACCGCCCTGAAGCAGGTGCACCAGCTCCCTCCTAGCCTACCCCATGGACCTTGCCACACTTCACGGAGCACCTGACATTGCCGATGCCCCAGCCAACCCCGCTACCTCCATCTTGCGGGCAGCAGATTGAGGGGAAACGGGTGCCACTGCCAAGCCACCATGAAGGCCTAGAGGTGAGGAAGAGGACCCAGCGCTGCTCCCCACGTGCTCCCACCACAGGGATTCAAAGGACACGGCCCTGCCTTCGCTTCCCAGCACCCAGTGTGAGGCAGAAGGAAGCAGGCAGCTTCCTTGCTTGGCTGGAGAAGCGATGGCACTGTCAGGCGAAAGAACCTCCCCCTCCCTCCCTCCCCAGTCTGAGGAGAGCTGAAGACTGAGGAGGCCATGCGTGAAACACTGGCGACACCTGCTGGGCTTCATTGTATATTGCCTACCTTAAAACTGTGAAATTGTCACCGCTATGACCCGTTTCAAACCCAGTTTCGGGCGATGTTTGCCCAGCCCTATTCTCCACATCTAATTGGTACAGCTTTTGCTGTGAATATAAGCATATTAAAAATGGAGCTTTGCGAAAGCATGGCTTAGTAGGTACAATCCCAAGACATTCGTTTTTGGATTGGCTTTTGGTTAAAGGAAACTGTGGTGGTTGCTACATTTCAATATTGGGGTTCCCACAAAATGAGGCGTTTGTTGAGCATTCATCCTGATTTCCTTGGGCAAAGTTTATGCAGAGGCCAGACAACGTACCCTATTAACTGAGCTGTTGTTCAGAATTGTCTGCGGAGAGATTATACATCAAATGAGAGCATTCATCCTGATTTTCTTGTGTGGTGTTTATTCATTTATTCCACTTTTTAATGCATTTCCCCGTCACTTTCATTACCACAAAAAGTCATATTTTTCTTTTAAAAAGTGAATTTGTTGTGCTAGAGCGACAGAGTACTTTAATCTACTTTAATTAAGCAAATGTATATTTCTGGTTTGTGACTGATTTCCCCCTGCAAAATGTTTGCATTCTCGAGGCAATCTCGTATGGGTTTGCGTTAGAAATTATTGAGGTTGGTTGTGGCAGTCTTAAAGCAGCTTTACTATCTGCAGCTTTGTCTTATATGTTTAAAGGATTTCAGTTTGTTTGTTAAAAAGCTGCATTACTAAACTCACCCAAATGTGTGAACAGTGGGTTCCGGTTGACCACATGGACCATGGTGGTGTTAGGAGGGAGCCTCAAAAATGTAACGTACTCTGGAAGGGGGACAAAAGAGAAGGGAGAAACGGGGCACATTAATACCAAAGAAGATCCAAGAAAGGAAAAATGAGAGGCAGGAGAAGATGTCTGGAGCTAAAAATGTGTGGGATTGAGGCACAACCAGGCAAAGTGGAAAATTCCATTTAAAATAGAAGCAGAAATTGCTGGTGCTTATTTGCTTGGCCTGTGTTTGGAATGTAAATCAATCCAGCAAATACCGATTGGTAATTGGTGGTGTTTTCAGTCCTCAAAGGATGTGTAATTGATTACTTCCTCTCATGCGCCCTCAGTTTAAATTGTGCTTTCTTTGTATTCAAATGAATGATAAGGAAATTATTATGTCGTTCATTGCATTAAATTTGTAACTTACATGTGATATGATAATAATATAATAATTTATTATTTATACCCCTCCCATCTGGCTGAGTTTCCCCAGCCACTCTGGGCAGTTATATGGAAATTATTATTTAACTTATATGAAATAGCAGAAAGCAAGGCAAATAATATATTATCTGGTGGAAACCGAACTGCAGGGGCAAGGAAACAGTGATGGTTGGGATAAGAACAGCTCAGGATGGAAGTTGCTGACTTTTCACAGCCCCAGCCATGTGACATTCAAAGCTATGCCAAAGCTATGCCAAAAGATTTCAGTGTCCCAGTGCAAAGAATGGTTTTAAATTTTTTACTTTTAATCACTGAACTAAACTTAGATCCAAGCAAAATTTCAGTTTGCAAATTGTTTTGAGATAACCCGATTTCTTCCCCATCCCTACCAGGAGCCACTCACTATATTTCGGCTTAACCTACCTTCCAGGCTTGTTCTGAATGTAATGAAGAAAACAGTGTGCTCCATTCTTGGAGGAAAAAGAATAATAAAAATGTAAAATTAGAAAAGAAAAAGAGAAGGAGCAGTGCTATACCTCTGGATTTTCCTTCCGCGTAAGAGTCCTGCACACCAAAACAGGTAGTGTTGTCTCCACCACATACGCGGCACATATCCATCCTCTTCACAGAATCCATCCTACCGTCACAACCAAACATCTGGGCAAAAAAGAAAGCAAGCTGCTTCAGTTGCGCCCAGGGAATGATGGAGCCACAACTGGCCTAATGCAGTGATAGGATATGATTAAGGTCCCCAACATGGTGCCCATGGACACCATGGGGCCCTCAGTCCATCACCCCTTAGTTTCTGCCCCTCCCTCCCCCTCCCCCAAAATGAGTTGTTTGGACTTTGGGGAGTGTTGTCTATTGCGGGGGAGTTGCCTGCCTGTTTTTTTTTAAATATATTTTTATTTATTGGGGGAGTTGCAGGTTTTGGGGAGTCTTTTTGGGGGGTGTTCTAAGCATTGCCACCACCCCCCAAGAAATGAATATTCTGGGCAGCCCATTGCAGTTTACTAGATAAGAAGAGTTCTACTGGATCAGGTGAAAGGCCTATCTAGTCCAACGTCCTGTTCTCACAGTGGCCAGTGGAAGACCCACTACAGTGGCAGAGCTTCTGCTTTGCAAGCTGAAGGTCTTAGGTTCAATCTCTGGCATTTCCAGGTAAAGCTGGGGGAGAACTTGGTCTGAAATCCTAGAGAGCGCTACCAGTCAGTGTAGACAATACTAAGCTGGATGGACAAAGGGGTTGACATGGAATAAGGCAGCTTCCTGTGTTCCTAAGGTCCCTTTCTCTTCTGTGCAACTGGATGATGGGGAAAACAGGGAGGCATATTTTTTTAAAAAATGTATTTTTATTAAAGATTTTCTTGATTTACAGGAATATGTGTAATGTCTCTCTCTCGTATTTTTTCCATGTAACATTTTTACAAATCAGTTTCATTTGTTGAGACATTAGAAAGAAAAGGGGGAGGGGGAGGGGGAAGATGGGTGGGGGTGGGGTCGGGTGGCCATGTTCCTATTTCACTTACTATATGTGGGGTTTGGTGTCAGCATTGCTTGTGCAGGTTCTCTGCTGTTCACTTGTGTTCCTTTGGTGGTGAGAGAGGTTGGGGTTGGCTTAGGATGTGGTTGTTCATTTGTGGTTGGCTGTGGTGGTCTTTGTTTTCATGTGTGAGTGGGGTGTGTGTGTGTTTTGGATCAGGCTAGCCATATTGATTTGTGGGCTGTTGGTGGATTTTTGTCATTGTCTTGTTGGGCTGTGTATGTGATAAAGGGGAGCCATACTGGGGTAAAGGTGTCTTCTTCTGTTTTTCCCCGTGTCAGTTTCAGTTTATTGGTTAATTTTTCTAGTAAGGCTGTTTACAGGGAGGCATAATTAAGGGTTGCCACCTTTTCCTTTCAACCTTGCTCCTGTGCCTTTAACAGCAGCCAAGAAAACTAAACTGAGTGTGTTTAACAGGTTGCTTCTTTTAACGGGTTATTGCTCAGTTCCTCCTCGTGGGATTCCCACTGGGGCATCTGAAAGAACAAGATGCTGGACTGGATGAGTCACTGGGACAATCCAGCAGGGCTATTCTTAAATTCTTATATTCAATAACAAAGCCTTGTTTTCTGATTTTATGTTATGCCTTCAGCTCTTAATCTTTTGAAAGCATATTTTTATGCAGGGAGCAACTAATGTCAAATGAATCATAATAATTACATAAATGCACAAGCAAGGCTTTTCCTGTCCTGGAGATACAGTATAGGGAAAGCTTCACTGGGCTGAGTCACTGAGGAGACAAACTAAGAATGGGTGCAAGACAGAAAAAGGCACAGGATAAAAAACAACAACCCCAGGACCTGCCTGCCTTAATGAAGTGCCAGATGTTCTCTGGCACACCTCTGCATGGCTATTGTCCTTACCCTGCAGCTGCCCATCACACACAGGCCAACCGCTGTCTCTCCTGCAGGGCTGCTCAGCTCACACCTTGTTCCATCTGTGAATCGATCCCCTCGGCTCACCATGAAATTCTTCCCAGATGCCCTACACATGTGTTTGCACATGGCGTCTCCTGTGATGGGTAGAAAGTACATAAGAGTTTTAGTGTGACAATGAATTTGCCATAAATGGTTTTTGAGAAAATGTTAGAACTCCCTTTCCCACCACCTTTTCATAAAACTCCCAAATTTGGATTACCTTTGGTGTAGCCAACAGCCGACACCCACTTATAGAAGGATGGAAACTCAAGGCTGAGGTAAAGTGGCTTCATATCCGTCAAAGCACATTGTTCATCCATGAAACCCACCTGGGTTGTCGTTGGGCAGGGCTGTGGAAGAGGAGACAGATCAAATGGCTGAGATCAAACATGCCATTTCCTATCACCATAACAGCTGGGCTGCCCTTTGCTTTGGGGGAACAAGTACCATATTTTTTGCACCATAACACTCACTTTTTTCCTCCTAAAAAGTAAGGGGAAATGTCTGTGCGTGTTATGGAGGGAATGCCTACGGGTGGCATGCCTACAGATTTTCCTCCTCTAAAAACTACGTGCGTGTTATGGTCGAGTGCGTGTTATAGAGCGAAAAATACGGTAAATGGCTCATTCTTCTAACCACAAGTTGGAGTTGGAGGCAAGTCCTGCTCATTTAAATGGAGCTTAATTCCGAGCAAGGGCTTTTAAGGGATGAATATCATGTCCCAAACCCGAATCTGTGGAGATAGCATCAAAGGAGAGGCAGTGCTTTTAGAGATGGATTGTCAGGTGGGAAGATGGGGTATTTAACCCTTCCTGTGTCCACCAACTATTCCCTCAGTTTAAGCAAGTACACACATATTCTAATTCTAGTTGCTAATACTCTTATGCAAGGGACCCTGATAGTTAAGTCCAGTCGCGAACAACTCTGGGGTTGCGGTGCTCATCTCGCTTTACTGGCCAAGGGAGCCGACATTTGTCCGCAGACAGTTTTTCCGGGTCATGTGGCCAGCATGACTAAGCCACTTCTGGTGAAACCAGAGCAGCACACGGAAACGCCATTTACCTTCCCGCTGGAGCGGTACCTATTTATCTACTTGCACTTTGACATGCTTTCAAACTGCTAGGTTGGCAGGAGCTGGGACAGAGCAACAGGAGCTCACCCTGTCGCGGGGAATCGAACCGCTGACCTTCCGATCGGCAAGCTCAGTGGTTTACACCGGAGTGCCACCCACGTCCCGTATGCAAGGGACCACATCCATGCAATTCCCTTATGCAGCCTTGTTCCACCCTAAGACCCTACATAACTAGCTGGAGCTTGTTCTTTCTCTGTTTAGGGAAGCATTTAATGTTTAATAGAATATTTTATTTTAATATTTTGTTGGAAGCAACCCAGAGTGGCTGGGGAAACCCAGCTGGATGGGCAGGGTATATATAATTATTTATTTATTTATTTATTTATTTAATAATAATAATAATAATAATAATAATATTCTTGCAACCTCTATACATGCTCCATTGGGAAGAGCTCAGGGGTGGACAGTCATGTAGAGCTGGGGAAGGCTTTTGCCTAAAACCCTGGAGAGTTGCTACCAAACAACTCTCCAAACAGTGTATGGACAATAATGAGTTAGCTGGACCAATGGTCTGACTTGGTATCAGGCAGCTTTCTGTGCGCCTGAGATTTTCTCTACAGCTTGAGGACTAGAAACTTGACACAAGGCTAGGAATTAGAGGTCCATGTCTGTGGATGCTGAACTAGACTCCTCACCAATGTAAGAAGAGCCTGCTGGATCAGGCCAGTTGCTTATTTAGTCCAGCATCCTGTTCTCCACAGCGGCCAACCAGATGCCTATGGGAAGCACGTTAGTGGGATCTAAATGCAACAGCCTTTGACTGTGTCGACCATAGCAAACTATGGCAAGTTCTTAAAGAAATGGGAGTGCCTGATCACCTCATCTGTCTCCTGACACCAGTCACGAAATTAAAAGACGCCTGCTTCTTGGGAGAAAAGCAATGACAAACCTAGACAGCATCTTAAAAAGCAGAGACATCACCTTGCCAACAAAGGTCCGTATAGTTAAAGCCATGGTTTTCCCAGTTGTGATGTATGGAAGTGAGAGCTGGACCATAAAGAAGGCTGACCGCTGAAGAATTCATGCTTTTGAATTATGGTGCTGGAGGAGACTCTTGAGAGTCCCATGGACTGCAATAAGATCAAACCTATCCATTCTTAAGAAAATCAGCCCTGAGTGCTCACTGGAAGGACAGATCCTGAAGCTGAGGCTCCAATACTTTGGCCACCTCATGAGAAGAGAAGACTCCCTGGAAAAGACCCTGATGTTGGGAAAGATGGAGGGCACAAGGAGAAGGGGACGACAGAGGACGAGACAGTTGAACAGTGTTCTCGAAGTTACCAGCGTGAGTTTGACCAAACTGCGGGAGGCAGTGCAAGACAGGAGTGCCTGGCATGCTCTGGTCCATGGGGTCACGAAGAGTCGGACACGACTAAACAACAACAAAGTGCAACAGCACTCTCCCCTCCTGTGATTTTCCAGAAACTGGCATTCCACATCTAAGGAATCATGGAAGACAACACAGAGCCTATGCATATGAAGAGTGTCTTGCTATTTACAAAAGGAAAAGCTGCCAGGGCTTTCTAAACAGAGGGCAGAAGCAAAAATGGCTGCCTCCCTACCTGTTCATTACACATCTCTGCTTGCAAGTCTTCTCCCTCACACTGACGTCCACCAAAAGCAGGCCTGGAAGGAAAGGACACCTTTGTATGTGTGGCAGGAGGAGAGAGGATCTTAATCACACCCACGCTGTACATTTAAAGCAAGTCTTGACCCCAATCCTGGGAACTGTAGTTTCTTAAGGGTGCTGGGAATTGTAGCTCCATGGGGATTCTTTGCATTGGGTGAGTGAAATATGCTTTAAATGCATGGTGTGTGACCCATCAGATCCCAGTTTCTGAAACGAAGCTGCTCTCTGAGCATAGACAAGATGCTGGTCAGCACAGACCCGGGACACACCTGGCCATCAAGCAGCTTTGCCCAGGAGTCACGGAAGGACCTATGAATATGCACTGCACTACTAAGCAGACATTTACACATCTCGTTTCAATTAAGTGCCGCAGAGGCTGTCCCACTGGGGTGAATGGAGCTTTGCCCCACCATCCCCAGTCCCCTTGCATCCAACTCTCTCCCAGGTTCTATGGCTCCCTTTGAACACAGTCCCCCCCAAAAAACACTGCTCTAACAAGGACTTACTCACCTGGGGTTGTTGCACCGTCGCCGCCTGGCCACGACTCCCCCACCACAGCTCCGGGAGCAGGCAGTAAAGGCAGTCCAAGTAGACCACTTCCCATGGACTGCTGCAATAGGAATCAGTTCTTCCAAAGATCTACAGTGGCCTTTGGAGCACCACTGGAAGTGAGAACAGCATGGCCATCAAGCACCAGGACAGCAGCACAACTAAGGCCATGGAGGTGTGAACCCAGAAGGGCCACAGAGAAGCTAAGCAAAATGCATGTAGCTGGACTCTCAACTCCCATCACCCATGACCACAACATCTGAAGGACTACAGGTTCCTTACACTGATGGGACTCCCATCAGTTCAAGGCAGCCTGGCCGACATTCAGGGAGCTAGACATCTAGAGGGCCACAATGTCCTCATCCCCATTCTACTGCTGTTTCATATCAGAAGACCCATTTACCTTGTTGATTCCACATTCAGTGCCATCCAGGAGGGGAATGAGGATCCGAGTGCAGCTGGATTGGTCAGATGGATTAGTGTGGCAAGAAAGAACTTTGCACATATCCTAGAAATAGGAGAAGCGGGGAGGATGATAGGTGACCTGCTGCTTTACTGGTTATTATTTATTTGACTTAGGGAAAACATGGGAGTGGGGAGTGTAAGGGAAACCACTCCCACAGCCTCAGCACACTGCCATAACACTGGCCTACCTTACTGGGGTGTTGTCCAATATGACAAAGATAACGTACATGATATGCTTTGAACATGCTAAAACGCTAAGTGAATCTGAGAGCCAGTGTGGTGGTGTGTCAGATTAGGATCTGGAAGACCAGAGTTCGAATCCCCTTCTCAGCCACAAAGCTCACTGGCTGATCTTGGGCCACTTACCATCTCTCAGTCTGTCCTACACCACAGAACTGTTGCAAGGATAAAATAAGGGTGGGGGGGCGACAGGTGCGAATGGAGGAGTGAAATGTATGACACCTTGAGCTTTTTGAAGAAAATATGAGATAAAAATGTAATACGTAACTGATTTGGAAATGCTATGATTATGACTATTTGCATGTAAAAGCAGCGTGACCCAGCAGATAAATGTAATACATACAATGTCGTGCCTGGAGAAAGTGCAAGCTGTAGCTCCGCCCCCAAAGGCCGTTTTGCACTGCTCATCCACCCCATAATAAAGGCCTGGCTTCCCTCCTGGGATATTGTCCTTGAGGTCTGGCAAGTCATTTGTGCAGCTTGCTTGGTCTGTACTGGGGAAAAACCAAGACAGAAAAACTGCTTGTGGATTAGCTTCAATGAGTGCCAACTCTTATTAAATGCATAGCCCACCAGTGATCTCTTTAAAAAACCAATGGTATCCATCATAGTCCAGATGCTAGGGCAGGGCTATGCAGAAGGAAGAGGTGGAGTCAGGAGTGGTGTGGCCCGTTTTGCTGCTTGAAGCAGAATGGAAAGTGTTGCCTGGTTGCTGCTGTACCTGCTTCTCTGCCCGCCCTGCTACCTCCACCACTGGCGGAAAAGCGGTCCCTGCATCTGCACAAATTTGCATGAATCTTGCTGAAATCAAACTGGGATATTGCCTTTGGGGGCTTCAACTACCTCAGTCTGCTTAATGGTCGAGCCCACTCTGAGCGGAGTCATGTAGCTAGGAGATGGCTCAACTCTCAGATGAAGGAGATGGGGCTATGCAGATAAGTCTTACCTCAGCTCTCACTGGCTGTCATTGAGTTCTATGGGGCTGAGCAAAGTCACCCTGGTGAGGCTGTTTATAATATGCAGATGAAGTGGGATGGGCTATTCAGATAGGAGCTGGCTGAGCTCTCAGGGATCGCTGTTTAGTATTTGCAGATGAAGGAAGTTGGGCTATGAAGTTGAAGGCTGACTCAGCTCTCAGTGGCTTCCACTGACTTCTATACACTGGCGGAAGAAGAGGAGTGCGGAGGAAGAGGAATGCGGAGGGAGTGCACTGCCCCCGGCAGCGCGATCCTGGCAGGGTGCCATCGCGGCTGCCCCCCCCCCCGCCCACGCTGGGCGCCTTACGCCTCCAGGCGGTGTGCCCCACCCCCAGGACGCGTGCCAGCCCTGCCCTCGCCTGCTCTCCGCCCCGCCCCCCCCCCCCGGCCGGAGCATGAAGCTCTGCCGCTGCTTCTATATGAATCATTAACTTGCCCTGGGGCTTTGCTATTGATGAGTTAATAAGATTATATTAATATTATATTAATAATAATAAAAAGAGGATGGAAAAGGAATATTCCCTTATAGCAGGAGGTATTTACCCAGTTTTATTTCCCCACACCCTGTGGAGAACAGATCCTGAAATACAGTGGTACCTTGGGTTACATACACTTCAGGTTACATACGCTTCAGGTTACAGACTCCGCTAACCTAGAAATAGTACCTCAGGTTAAGAACTTTGCTTCAGGGTAAGAACAGAAATCGCGTGGCCGCGCGGCAGCAGCGGGAGGCCCCATTAGCTAAAGTGGTGCTTCAGGTTAAGAACAGTTTCAGGTTAAAAACGGACCTCCGGAACGAATTAAGTACGTAACCAGAGGTACCACTGTAACTTCTCCATGTCTATAGGTAAAGGACCCCTGGACAGTTAAGTCCAGTCAAAGACGACTATGGGGTTGCAGCACTCATTTCGCTTCAGGCCGAGGGACCCAGTGTTTGTACACTGACAGCTTTCCGGGTCACGTGGCCAGCATGACTAAACCGCTTCTGGCATAACAGGACACCATGACAAGTGCCAGAGCACACAGAAACGCCATTTGCCTTCCACAGTGGTACCTATTTATCTGCTCGCGCTGGTATGCTTTTGAACTGCTAGGTTGGCAGAAGCTGGGGCAAAGCAACGGGAGCTCACCCCGTAACACAGATTCAAACCGCCAACCTTCTGATCGACAAGCCCAAGAGGCTCAGTGGTTTAGACCACAGCGCTACTGGTGGTCTCCCTGTATATAGACTGATATGATCCCAGAATCCCATTGTTAAAATGAGCTATAAAAAGTGTATGTGTTTTGTTCCCATTAACTGTGTGCCCAAGAGCAAGTGAAGGATGGTCTAGTAGGAGGTGAGCCCTGCCAATCTCAGCCTTCCCCCCGGCATATCCCGCCTGCCTGCCTTCTTACTTACAACCATTCCAGGGGGTGGGAGAACTCAGCAGGGCGGATGGTGGGGGAAAACCAAAAATTAGTTGGCTGTGCCTGATGTTGGCTGGCTCACCCTACTGTTGTGCTCCTTACCTTCTGTCCTACCAGTATCAAGGAACACTGATCCACCACTGCCCAGGAGGTTGCAAAAGACATGGTCCGAAGGGCCCCTTGGCCCTTTTACCTGACAAAGGCTAAGAACTGCTCTCTGCTACAGGCGGACCAGGTCAAATCCACACTGTTGTGGCCACCTTCAGAGCCCATGATGTGCCCATCGCCTGCACATCGGTTCCCTTCTCCGTCATGCTGGATCCCAAAGCTGCAATGAAAATAAAAAGGGAAGGAAAGGAAGGAAGGAAGGAAGGAAGGAAGGAAGGAAGGAAGGAAGGAAGGAAGGAAGTGTGAATAGGTATGGGGGGGGAGAGGATGAATCTGAACTTAAATTCTGTGATTTATTACTGCAAATCATGGCATGAACCTTGGTTGACCCTGGTACCAGCCTTATCACAAACATATTCTGAAAGCCAAGGTCAGCACAAGAGAATCAAGTTGCCACTAAAGTCTGTTCAACACCTGAATGAATGGCATCAAGTTAATGGTGAGATAATTTTAAGGCAGCAGGTAGAAAAAACGGATGGCCAGGTTTAGTTAATTGCTCACTTGGAACATATTCTTTCAACCTTTTGTTTTAAGCAAAACACAGAGAGTGAGAAGCAGGCAAGAAACTGAGATAAAATCAATAGCACAATAACTGGAATTTTAGGAATTGTTCATCTCAAGCCCCACCCCCCTTCTCCACTGGAGGGCATTGGATGAATTTAAAATTCCCTAGATTTTCAAGTTAGATAGCTCTCATAGCTCCAACAGCAAGGAACTTACTCAGCGCTCCCATGCCTGCTTTGTACTCTCCCCTTGCTCTCTGCTTTACTTTCAGTGTGAGTTCTATAGGAAAATTGTCATTCTTACTTTTCTAGGTTTTTTAAAACAGTTGGGGAATCTTTCACTCGTCAGATCAAAGTGTGATAGAATTTGCTGGCAGCTTGAACAGTAATTTTGCTGTCTGAAGTAGCATTTATATATTCTGTCACTTTCGTTTCATATAATAAACCAAGCTTTATTCCTTTGTGCAAGAACTTCTATGGGTATAGGTTTAAGGGTAAAACACATATTCGTAAATGGACACACGTTATAACTCCAGCAAAAGATCCCAAACCTCTCTGTAATGTGTGTATGCATACATGTGAGTGCTGGATATGTATGTGGGTACAGACAGATGCTTGTAACTCCCCCCCCCAACCCCCAGTTTTTCCAGGTTGAAGACAGATCATGCACTCTGGCTGTATTCACACCATATATTAAAATAAATTGTTCATTCTTTGCTGTTTGAATTGTATAGCATGGTTTTAAATTAGAAAAGTGCAATAAAACCACCCAGAAGTCACACAGAAAAAATATTAGAGGCTGTATACAAAGCACAAAGCAGACCTTGCAGAGCTACATTTCCCAGCACCCTCAGCAAACTACAGTTCCCAGGATTCTTTGAGCAAAGTTGTGTGTTGTAGATGCACTTTAAATGTATGCTGTGGATCTGCCCTTAGCTTTGTATGTTCCCTCAAAACACAAGAGGCCTTCCAGCCTTCATTACATATTTTTAGGCGCCAGGCAAAAACATTTCTCTAAAACCAGGCCTTTGGCTGATTAAACATTCTATAACCTTTTCAATGCATTTATGAAGGGGGGGGTTATTGATTTGTTTTTGATCATGGATTTTGTGTTTTCATTTGGTATTTTTAATTTTGTGAACTGCCCTGTGATCTTCGGATGAAGGGTTGTATACAAATTCAATAAATAACAATGATGAGATTAATTCCTTGCCCACTGACCTGTGACCGATCTCGTGGGCAATGGTAACTCCCAGACCAAATCCAGTGTCTTCGGTGATGATGCAGCTCCAGGAACTGGAACAGGCCCCGCCCAGCTGAGTGACACCACGCACTTGCTTGTTTCCATCAGGCAATTCCAGGTCAAATCTAAAGCAAAACAGGTAAAGAGGAAGAACACTAGAACAATGGGGGGGGGGGGAGCTCCTCCAGAATGTATTTTGTGGGAGTGCAAGTGCATACTGGAAAAATTAGGTGTGCACAATTAAAGTGGGATTAAAGAAATCTGTTGCCCTAGCACAACAAATCTACTTTTAAACAAAGTTTGACTTTTTTGAAGTTAGGAAAGTGGGGGGGGGGGGGAATACATTGAAAAGTGCAGCGTTAAGAAATGACTAATGGAAAGACATATAAACTTCCTGCAAGCAAATCAAGATGGATGTTCAATAAAGACAAGCATTGTCTAACCTCTGTGTAAGTTTTGTGCAAGCAGATCAGGGCAATCGCTCAGTAAATATGTCTCGAGGAGCCCAGGCAGATGGAGAGATAGGAAACTAGTGGCTCTCCCCATGCTATTGGACTACGATTCCCATTATCCCCTTTCCACTAGCTGTATTGGCTGGGGCTGATGGGACTTAAGAGTCTGGAGGGCCACAGTTTTTCCTGTCCCTGGACAAGGCTATCAAGAGCTGCTTTGCAGTTCCATGGGCATTGCAAGACCTACTGAACTGCTAAGTTCCAGCACTGGGTGCTCTCACACCATCCATGTAGGGACCATGTGCTCACAGGAGAGGTTCAGGCAAGCAAAATTTGGAACACACTGGGCCTATGGTCCACCTTCCATTACACATCACTCAAAGAAAGGAGAGAGAGCTTAATTTACCTGGTCACGTACAGAACTAGATCTGCATGGTGAGGATCCGAATCATTCTCAGGGTTGACTTTCCCAGCCCATTTGCAAATGCTGATGATTGAGGAAGTGATGTTGGTAGAGATGTTGATGCCTTCCTAGAGAGAGGGTGTTCACTGAAGCCACTTTAGTCTCAGGGGTGCCTTTGTAAAACTCAGCAGGGAGGAGGATGGGCACAAACGAGAATTAGCTGTCTCTGGTTCTCAATGGCTATGGCTCTGTTTGCCATGGACTGGGGCTCCATCTACTGTTTGGGCTCCTTGCCTCCCCCTACCCATCCCAATGACCAACAACCACCCAATTAGGGACGTCATTCATGAGTTAGATTCATTTCATTTACCGTTCACGAGTTATTGATCCTAGCTTGGCCCATGAGGAGGGTTCTGGAACCGAGTGCACACAGATCCATATGAGCTTACTAGGCCAGGAGGTTCCCAGTAGGGCACTCTACTGACAAAAGTCCCTAGAATCTGAGGGTGTCATGCGCCAGGGCCAACTAAAACCTGGAGCTGACATGGGCTGGGTGATATCTGCTTTTCAACACTGTGATGTATCACCAGCCAAACATTGTGATATAGTGATATATAATGATGTCTGAAAATGAAGAGGAAGGAGGACTTCAAAGCGGTTTGAACTACAGTGGTACCTCAGGTTAAGTAGCTGCGCCGCTGCTGCACAATTTCTGTTCTCATCCTGAAGCAAAGTTCTTAACCCGAGGTACTATTTCTGGGTTAGTGGAGTCTGTAACCTGAAGCATATGTAACCCGAGGTATCACTGTATCTCAGTAGAGCAGCCAGCCCGCCCTCCACAGCCATTCCTCCTTTGTACCACATTGTAGCTTCTATCTGCACTGATGGGACAGCATATACCAACAGTATCACCTCGCCTCAACACCTCTCACTGCCCCCAAGCAGACACACCGGTTCCCTTCTAGTCTACCCCACAGACCTCACTGCTTCATGCTGCGCCTCATGGTGCCAGTGCCACAACCAGTCCCACAACCTCCATCTTGCGGGCAGCCGCTTGAGGGGAAACCACAATGAAGGCCTGGGTCTGGAGGCGAGGAAGAGGAGCTAGCACTGCTCTTGCCGCTGCTCCCTGCGTGCTGCCTCCTCAGGGGCTCAAAGAACTCAGCCATGCCTCCGCTTCCCAGCACCAAGTGTGAGGCAGAAGGGAGGAAGCAGCCCACTTGTTTGGCTGGAGGAGGGATGGCGCTGGCAGGCAAGCGGGCAGGTGGGCGAGTGAGTGAGCCAGTGCAGCGCTCAAGAGGTAGGTGCAGGCATGGCTGCTGCCCCCAGGACCACTCCAGTATCATAGGGGATGGCTGGGCAGTGGAGGGAGGGAGGGAGGGAGGAAGGGAGGGAGGGAGTGGGCCTCAGGTGGCCTTGCATGGCTCTCTGAGGAGAGCTGAGGACTGAGGAGGCCATGCGTGAAACACTGGTGACACCTGCTGGCTTTCACAGTATATTGCCTTGCCTAAAATCGTGAATTTGTCACTGTGGTGCACGTTTCAAAACCATTTTCGGGTGATTAATCGATACATCGCCCATGCCTAGAGCCCACACGGTCTTTATTTATTTATACCTCAGGTTCAGTGAGGACAATCATTTGGACTAGGTGAACCCTGAACTGTGCTCCCAGTGACGCATCTCGAAGAAGCTCTGCTCCCTGTTGAGAAAAAGAAAGCTTAAGGCAAGGGTGGGGAACATGTGGCTCTCTTAGATGTTGTAGGACTACAGCTCCCATCAGCCCCAGCCAGCATAGCCAACCGTCATAGATGGAAGGAGTTTTAATCTAACTTTACATGGAGGGATACAAGTCCCTGGTTTAAGACAAAGCTATGAGTTTCATATCAACAGCAGTAGATGAATTACAGTGCAGAACATGCCATTTCAACTTGTTCTGTGAAGCTTTGGAAGGAAAGGGCCACTTTTTAAACACTGGTTTTTTGCATTCTCTGTTGCAATAAATGTGAGAGCTGAAACAGTCTCAGAAACGCTGTTAAATGTTCGGAAAAAGTCAGAAGCCCTAGACAGTATAAGTTCCTCAACTAAGTTTATTCAACATTTGTCAGTGACAACAGCTCGCTCATAGGAACACAAGAACCAAACTGACTGGACGATAATAATGCCAAGCATGAACTGACCGTTGACAGTTGACAGTTGACAGTTGACAGTTGACAGTTGAAAGTGAATGTGCTTACTTGCCATTAGAACGTTTGTCTACCAACGCTTATATGATTGGTTAGAACACGCCTTGTAACATAAAATGTGTTAAACCCAATACACAACAAACGCTTAACTGAATGGAACCTCCAGATCCAGGGGCAGACTATCTCTGGATTCCAGTTGCTGGGGGGAAAGGAGGAAGAGCAAAGGAGGAGGCTTGGCTTTTTGGAAGCCCATGGCTGGCCACCATGGAAGTGAAACAGAGTGCTAAAATAAAACAAACATTTGGTCTGATGAAGCAGGGGTTTTACTGGGGGTGGAGGAGAGGAAGCAAACTTCCAGTGCTATCAGGATGTTGGCAGAGTTTGCTAGATGTTACTGATGCATAGATATCATTGCGTCACACCTATTTTTTGTGCTCTAGCTACTAGTGCGTTCATGCTCTGCTTGCAAACTTCTTGTTAGGGCATCAGGCTGGCCCATGGGATGTGAGAATCCTGTTCTTAGATAGGCTTTTTGCCTTATCCAGCAGGACCTTAAAAATTTTTTTAGTGTACCATCACATAAAAGATACAAACTGCCACAGGATCAGGAAAAGAAGGGAGAGAGAGAGAGAGAGGGGAAAAAAAACTGCATACAGCCAGAGAGCAACTCACAATGTTCACGTTGGTGAGGATGTACCTCTCGGTATCTTCTTTGTGGAATTGAAAGACATCTGGGCCCACCACAACCAAAAGCTCCAAGTGTTTCACGTCCCCTTCAGCCCCTCTGCGGTATCGGGACGGGAACTTCCGCCCTGCAATAGCACACAGACTGAATCCCTCGAGAGCTTCTGCCAAGCCAGTAAATAGGTAAAGGTACCCCTGCCCGTACGGGCCAGTCGTGTCCGACTCTAGGGTTGTGCGCCCATCTCACTTAAGAGGCCGGGGGCCAGCGCTGTCCAGAGACACTTCCGGGTCACGTGGCCAGCGTGACGAAGCTGCTCTGGCGAGCCAGCACCAGCGCAGCACACGGAAACGCCGTTTACCTTCCCGCTAGAAAGCGGTACCTATTTATCTACTTGCACTTAGGGGTGCTTTCGAACTGCTAGGTGGGCAGGAGCTGGGACCGAAGGACGGGAGCTCACCCCGCCGTGGGGATTCGAACCGCCGACCATGCGATCGGCAAGCCCTAGGCGCTGAGGTTTTACCCACAGCGCCACCCGCGTCCAAGCCAGTAAATAGCACTGAGCTATTTGGACCAGTGCTCAGAGCCGATATGAGGCTGCTTCCTTTGTTCTCCTAATATACACATTGTTTACACAGTTTTCTCTGATATAATCAATATTATTATTATTATTATTATTATTATTATTATTTATACCCCCACCCATCTGGCTGGGTTTCCCCAGCCACCCTGGGAGGCTTCCAGCAAAATATTAAAATACAATAATTCATCAAATATTAAAAGCTTCCCTAAACAGGGCTGCCTTCAGATCTATGGATGTCATTATCGCTAACGTATTTCATACATACTATATGCGATTTTTAAAGTATTACTTGACTGGAGACCTGCATTGCGAATTTCAGGGGGTGTCTGCATTTTGATTTGCATATTGTTTCAGAGGACAGGTAGGTTCAACTTTACTTTACTGAATTTCTTCCCCATTCCTACTCTGAACAACATAGACTGACACGTAGACCAGACCCCCTGGTTCTTGACAAGGTTCTGACAAAAATGCCTACCTGTCTGTGTTGTTTTGTTGTTCTGTTGAGTCCTTAAGATGACGTGAGGTTTGGGAAGGAGTGGGCCCATTAGCAGCCCTTGGTCTTGTCTTCTAACTGGCTTAATGTGAATTTTAGCACCATGGACAATGACAAATCCTTGCTAGGAGGAGGTAAAAACATAAGAAAGAAGAATCTCTTGGATCAGGCCAAAGGCCCACCTAGTCCAGCACCCGCCTCTGACAGTGGCCTGCAGGAAACTCACAAGCAGGCCTGAGCACAAAAACACTCTCCCTTGGTGCAGTCTCTAGCAACTGGTATTCAGAAGTATTGTTGCCTCGGCTGTGGAAGCAGAGCCTAGCCATCATGGCTAGTAGCCACTGAAAGCCTTATCCTCTGTGAGTTTCTCCACTCCTCTTTTAAACCATCCAAATTGGTAGCCATCACTGCCTACTCTGGGAATGAGTTCCATAGTTTAATTATGTGATATGATTATGATTATTAAATTAGAATTATATTCTTCCCTTGCTGTCAAAGAAGCCCAGGCTGGCAAACCAAAAACCCACCCACATCCACCCCAAAAAGTAATACTTCTCAATTAATGACATTATTTTTTTTTGTAAAAGATATAGAAACAATCACATATCCTCACAGCTAATAATTTCAAAGTTGTCAGAAACAGTATCTATCAACCAGATGCTTTTCACAAATGGAGAACCACCACTGAGAAGGCCCTGTGCCAGGTCAGCACCAACTTGGTAACCCCCAAAGGCAACATCACCAACAGGGCCTCAAGCTGATGTATTTAGATACTTGCAGAAATGTGATATTTGCCTGCCTCATGAGGGATCTTTGCTTCTTAAAACACGCTGAGACTAAACTCACCAGCTGCCCTTCACAATATGTCATTCGGCCTTCTGCACCTGGAGGACTGAGGACCTGTCCCCCAGCAAAACAGTTGCCCCAGAAACGGCGTAGCAAACTGTTGGATGAGCTCAGCCTTCGGTTGCTCACGAAGGAAGTGGGAAAGAGGGCTTGGTCCTCTGGGAATTTGAAGGCAAAGACTTCCCCTGAGGCTCTGAATGAGCAAAGTTGGGTTTTGCAAGATGTCCATCCAGCATGGCCCTCTTCACAGGAGCAAGTCAGGTACACCACTTTGAACTCTGGCACTGTGGAAACTGGGAGTGGAAACACCTGGCGTTAATAAAAACTATAGATATTGATGAAGAATTCAAACAAGTGCAATGATTCTTTAACCAGGTCTTTGGCTGATTGACATTCAAATGCTCTTTTAGAATGTGTACATGTGAGAGGGGAGTGCTATTTGGTTGTTTTTGTTTCATTTTGATTGTGTATTTTGTTGTGATTTTATCGTGTAAACTGCCCTGAGACCTGTGTGTATAGGGTGGCATACAAATTTTAATAATCATAATCATACGTACACACACACACATACACACACACACACACAGCATCCCCTTCTCCCTCCAATCCCAGGTTACAAAGTTGGTAGCCAATAGAAGGCTTCCCCCCTGCAATTGCAGAGCAGACGACCCATTTGAACCCAGACTGGGCTTGCTAATGCAAAAGCAGGGTAGTAGCTAACTTCTTACCTTCAAATACTGAATTGGTGCCAAAATATGAGGAAGTGTCATGAGTTTCCAAAGAATCCAGAAACGTCTGCAAGGGGCAAGAGGGCAGAGAGAGAGTCAGAAACTATGAATGTGTGGACCTGACTCTTGGCTTGATGGGTTGCCCTCTGAAGAAGTGGGGTAGGATGATAGAGCAGCCCCTCCAATGCAGACAGGGAACCTGGGGACTATGAGGGGTAAACCAGAGAGGACTTCCTCAGATGACAGCCTGCCTGACGAAACTGCAATACAGAGGGTCCCGATCCCTACCCACCCTCCCAAGTTGGGCGTATCTGAGGGCCATTTTTAAAAGCAAGAAAGTGTAGTCATATATTTGGAATGATAGGTGTGTGTGTGTGTGTGTGTGTGTGTGTGTGTGTGCGCTGCTTAAGAGGTGGCTAGTTTGTGTGTGATTGATCATGATTTTAAAGCAGGACTCTGGAACCCATAGTTGTCAAGAGGATAGGGACTGGTTTGGCATGTCCCTATATTATCTGACAGTTGTCTCCTTAGCGGCTACCTTTGTGAACAGGCCTTTGTGTAACTAAAGAGGTCAATACAGATACCGTGTTGACATAGAAACTAAATAGCCATGACCCTTAACAAAAAAATAGCCCAGCTCTAAAAGGAGCCAAGTGGAACCCTTACCCCAAAAGGCACCCCTAGCATTCTAAGTAAGTTTGTGTCGCTTGTAAAAGGTTTGTTTTCCCCCCTCATAATCCCTTGCAAAACTTTGATATTTTTTTAAAAATAATATTTATTGCTTTTATACCTTACAAAAAGAAAAAAGAGAAAAGAAGAAAGAAAAGAAGAGAGAAAAAAGAAAAAAAGAAAAAAAGAAAACAATACAATACAATATATAAACAATACAGAATGCAACATTAACATTAACACATTAACCAAACAAAAACAAAAACAATTCAAAAAGAAACACACATCGTACCATCTCAATATCCTCTCTTTCATTCCCTTGTTTCATCAACCTCCTCTCACCTCCCTTTTTGTATTCCATTTCTACTAATTGTTTCAGCAAATCCTTTCCATCTTACTCTATTTTCTGTCATGCAATTATCTTAACATATTTTAACCTTATTTTCCATTAATACTATAGTACTTATTTATACTTAATTCCTTAAGATATTTCTACTAAAGCCATATAATTCCCTTCCAACATTTTTCTAACACTCATTAATTTTACATTATTTCCATATATAGGTTTTAAACTTTTTCCAATATTCTTCCACCTTCTCTTCTCCCTGGTCTCGGGTTCTGCCAGTCATTTCCGTCAATTCCAAATAGCCCATCAACCTGGTGATCTTCTGTCCGAGGCTCTTAACTCTTTTCCAGGTCCCTTCTGCAGGTCTTTTTCATATTTATACGTGCTCTTTACTTTGTCTTCTCCTGATCTTGTTCTTATTTTCCTTCCTTTGATGCTGAAAAGTAAATCTCCAGGGAATTCCCATCTAGCAATGTTTTTATTCCTTCTCGACAAGTCAACCAAATCTCCATAATTAAAACTGAAATTCAAAAGATATTTCCAATCGTGTTCCAAAGTTCCTCCAAGTCTGGCAGTCCCCACAACTCCAGTCTCCTTCTGACCCAAGTCCAGGTCCCAAAGGTCAATCTCCAGTCCAAGCGGGGCTCCAATCCTAGAAGTCTGACTTTCTCTAAATTCAGTCTTGGAAGGCATCAACTTATAGTCATCAAATTGCAACTGTAAGGCTGGAACTCTCTGCCTCACTACTTGTGACACTTTAAGTTCCACAGCGAAAACTTTCTCCTCCGCCTTCCCCTCGATTTGCCATGTCAAAATAGATCCCTGTGTCGTTTCCTGAATAATTTCTGTATTAATATTGACTTTTTGTGCCAAATTAGTCACTTTTTGTTCCAAGTTATCAATTTTTATAGTCCTCGCATCCGTCTTCTTGAAAAGCTGTTCCAGTGAGTCGTTAATCTTGCAAAATGCAACCACTAAGGCTTCTTCTGTCAACATTCTTAACGTATCAAGGTCAATCCCAGATTCTCACAACTTTATCTTGCAGGTGGAAAATTCCCCCAGCTCAGCTCTTGTAACAATTTCAAAGGTTTCCTCTAGGGGGAAACAATTTCTATTTGTATCAATCCTTTTAGGCACAGTTCAAACAATAAAGTTTGTTTCAATTTTCAGTTACTTTTACTCCTTTTTAAACGCAGAAGGAGACAATGGAAACAAAATATTTCCCTTCTTTAACTTACTGTCAGCAGACAATCTGTTCACAGTCATTGAGCATATCCAAAACTTCAATGCTTGCTAGCAGCCCGTTTCCAGGTTCAGTGCGGTGGTAATTTGACTTTCTTCACTCTGTCCTGCAGGCTTACACGATCTTAAATCTCCCCCCTCTTCTCCTTCTTCCAAGGGGGGTTTGGTAATTTAACCGATGGAAGTTTAATCCTTTATGAGAGACTTTCCAAGGCTTTAGCTTGCAGCCTCTTTGCTTCAATCTGTTTACAAAAGGGGGAGGCGGACTTCCTGTTTGAAACCTCCCCATTTTGGTGCCAAATTAAGACGTTTAAAAATCCAATTTTCCGTTCTACTCACGGGTTGTTGTTTTAAGATCAAATTGTCCACAGGAAAAAAGTCAGCGCTCTCCTGCAACAGCAATACGGCTTCACTCCGTGAAAAAAGCAGTCGATTCAAAGCACCACGCCACTCACCCCACCTCGCTCCGGATCCCCGAAACCGGGTTTCCCCGCGAGTAGGGGAGGCGCAAAAGGTGCCAGCCGAATCCCACGTCCACAAGCCTCTCCCGCCTGTGGTTTTTGATGGGTCTCCGCCTTCACCGTGGCGGCCAGACCCTAATTTCCACGGAGCGGATTCCTCCCGATCAGAGGAATCCAGCCATTGCCGGAGGCGCCTCCCCGGAAGTAAAAAAAAAAATACTTTGATATTTTTGGTGTATTTTTATTTTTGTAAATCTACCAAATAATAAAATCAAATCAAGATCAATGTATTCTTTCCAGGAAGGCGGAAGGTGTGTGTGCTGTGTCCCATTGGTGAAGTGGTGGTGGCACCCACCCTTCTTCTGATAGGAAATGCTGGGGGTGGTGGAATGGGGATTTGAGGAGGGTCACTTGGGAGGTGGGGAGAAATGTCCCTATTTTCATCTGAGGAGTATTGGAGAGTGTGCCAGAACCTCCGCTGACATTGGCTGTAAATAAAAACTGCAGTTGAAAGGACTTGTGCTTGAACTTTCTACTCCTCCCTCCCTCTTGTTTTTTCCTTGTGTGCTGTGTGTGTTTTTAGATTGTGATACTTGAGGGCTGGGGCCATCTTAGTGTTTATCTTTGTAAGCTGCTCTGACAAGTCTCTGGTTAAAGAAGTCCAAGTGCCATAATAAATAAATTTTAAATGTCTTGTTCAGAGACAACACTACAGCAATACCTTCCCCCTTCACCCACTGCAATGATCTGGGCTTATATATTTTTTCAACCTAGTATCTGACGGAGTGCTTCTTTCCATGCGTGAAACTAGCCACGCAAAAACTGCTGACTAGATGGTGCCATTCATAGAGATGCGGGAGCAGGGAGCAGGCTCAAAGCTGAGGAGGGCAAATTAATGGAGGTTTACCACTGAACTACCCCACAGTTTTATTTAAAGAGCTGGATCAACTCCATCAAGTATTTCTTTAGCAGGAGGAAATGAACTCTTTCCCTTGCAGCCCTGTTTTTCCAGAGGTCAAACTTACCCGTTGGGTTCTTGACAGCCAGCAAACTCCCAAGGGGAACACTGCACAAAATACCACCCAGGTATTTAGGGTCATGATGATACCAGCAGGATCTACAATGTACACCTCGGAGCAAGTGAGAAACTCTGGGCTTCTTTTTGGCCTTTTCGTGTCATGGAGCAGAATCAACAAACGGCAGAGAGTTTAAACAAGTGAGGTGGGGCATTTCAGGGGAAAGGGTATTTTTCTGCTGCAGCTGGGGGCTCTGCCAAAGGAGCTGAAGGGCGGAGGAAGGCTTGTGCAATGTTTGCACAGACTGGCCTCAGCCAAACAATCAGTGATGGAAATAGGAGCTTTGGGATGGGTTATTTTGAAAATGCACACACAGCAAAACAAGACAGAAAAGAGAAGCCCAGGAGTGCAGGGGGATGGAAGAGGCATTTGTTCTACTTTCAAGCAGATTCCCGGTTTGTGTCAACCAAGGATGGAAGGCTCTTGTCAATTTTGGTCATTTCAGTTTCTCATTTTTCCAATCTTTAATCAAGTTCTCCATATTTATGAAGCAGTTTGCAAACTTTTAAAACCCCTCACAAAAACTCTACAGCACTGTGGTGCCAAATTCTTGTATTAAAACACATATTTCTCTGCAGTTTTGACTAGTGTAAACATTTTTGCAAGCATTTTTTCCTAATGTTTCTGTATGTTATTTTCACTAATACATTCATCTTTATGCACATTTCCCATCCACCCTTCTCCAGTGAGAGATGGTGAGGCTGGGGCTCCTCACCTTTGCAGTACATCTGCATAGAACTGAAAACTAATTTGAGGTAGCCTCAGTGAAAATTGAAACAGGGCAGTTTTTTATTCTGGATTAGATAACCCAGGACAATTTTGTCTCTCTGGTTTCATATATCATAGACTCCAGTTCTCCACACTGCTGGTAGAAACTATCAATTTGTTCTCAGACTTTGGGAGGACATTACACCTTACTCCCCCCCATATGCTGTGCAAGCAAGAAATACACACACACACGAAATTTATTTTTATCAAATAAAATGCTGCTCCTTCCAATCATTCTGAAACTATATATTAAGATGGGGAGACATTTAACAAAGCTGGGGTGAATAATGAAAAGAAAAGCTCTGTTAGGATGCAAGAAAAGGGATTAAATTCAGGAGACATGTGGGATGCATAAAATGAGACTCTATGTGGACCCTAGGGCCAATGGTTGTCCACATTTCATTTACAGCTTTCAAGAGAACAGCCTGTACTTTGAGTTGGGCTCATCAATTGAGGCATCAAAAATGTTCTTCTGAGTTGGCCTTTTGAAGGCTTCTAGGCCTAGTTCCTACAACAACTGATGAGGTGGTAAACTCTAGGCTTTACCATTTTGGATGGTAGTTGGGGCTCATGGGACAGAATACACTTCAATATTAAAATCAAAGCCCTAGTGTAGAAAACTGGATGTTGAATGAAGAGTTTTAGCCTAGTTTAAATAGGCTGGGAGGACAGGAATTTTTTTTCTTCCACTTTATCCTTTTCAAAAATATAGGTTTTGCCCCTACAGTTGTAGGGAATATGACCAACTGCTGTGTAAAGGGAGCCAGTGAGAACGGTCAGGTACCACCAGGAAGAGTGAATTTATTTCTCTTTCTACCCCCTCCCTCCCTGAGTAGTTCTTATTCTACACTTCCATCTTACATGATGACATCCTAATAGTCTCCTTCCTCACAAGTTCCATGGTTGTCATAGAGATGGCAATAAATTATTTTGCATCATCATAATCATCCTGTTGAGTCTTCCTGTTTTCAAGGACTCTGAGCAGTTCCTATTCTGCACTGGGATGCTAGGATATTAGATTGTGGGATGTTAAGTTTCCATGCATGGAGCAGTCTGCACAATATTGCTCAAGCGTAATGGGGATTCTGATGAACAGAACTCCCTATTCTAAGTGGGATGAGGAATTAATGAATATTCAACACTCCTGTACCTGTGTCTCCTTGGCTGCCTGGGATACCATGTGCACATATGAGCTGGACTCTAAATAAGAAATGATGTGACTATGTGAGGAAATGACGACGACCATATGTTTGCAACAGGAGTGGGAAACCTGATTTTAAGAAATTGTAGTAAATTAAATTAATTTGGTAAAAAAGTAGGACCTATTTTTATTATAGAGTATATTCCTCCTGAGGTACTTAATGCTTCTTCCAGTCCATTATTCCTGTTCTCCTTTTTACATAATACTATGCTATTTCAGTAATCAAAAAAATCTGAGGGGCTGCAAAATTCAGAAGATCCACTTGGAGGCTCCAAATATTGGCTTCAAAAGATTACCAAAGTCTGCACATTTTATCCTTCTTGGGGAGGATAAACCTTATGTGATCAAGGCTTTAATCAGGTGTATTTGTGTGGCGGCAGTAAATAAAGGGAGAGTAGGTTTCTTCTGCTCTCTATTTATTTACTTCCCCCACACCTCCTGACACCAGAGTTCTGCTTAAGCCCATGTAACAGCAGGAATAATAATAATAATAATAATAATAATAATTTTTATTTATATCCCGCCCTCCCCAGCCGAAGCCGGGCTCAGGGCGGCTAACAACAATAAAACAGTACAAAAGTACAGCATAAACAACAGTCTAAAATCATTCGTTATAAAATTAATTAATTCAAGCCACTGGCAACCATTGGGCCAGAGCTCCGCGAAGATTGCCGAGGGAGGGAGTCAGGCTGTGCCCTGGCCAAAGGCCTGGTGGAACAGCTCTGTCTTGCAGGCCCTGCGGAAAGATGTCAAGTCCCGCAGGGCCCTGGTCTCTTGTGACAGAGTGTTCCACCAGATCGGAGCCACAGCTGAAAAAGCCCTGGCTCTAGTTGAGGCCAGCCTAACTTCTCTGGGGCCTGGGACCTTCAAGATGTTTTTATCCGAAGACCGTAAGTTTCTCTGTGGGGCATACCAGGAGAGGCGGTCCCGTAGGTACGAGGGTCCTAGGCCGTATAGGGCTTTAAAGGTTAAAACCAGCACCTTAAACCTGATCCTGTACTCCACCGGGAGCCAGTGCAGCTGGTATAGCACCGGGTGAATGTGATCTCGCAGCGAAGACCTCGTAAGGAGTCTCGCTGCAGCATTCTGCACCCGCTGGAGTTTCTGGGTCAGTCTCAGGGGCAGCCCCACGTAGAGCGAGTTACAATAATCCAGTCTGGAGGTGACCGTCGCATGGATCACAGTGGCTAGGTCAGGGCGAGAGAGGTAAGGAGCCAACTGCTTAGCTTGGCGGAGATGGAAAAATGCCGCCTTTGTTATAGCTGCAATCTGCGCCTCCATGGAAAGGGAGGTGTCGAAGATTACACCCAAACTCTTAACGGACGGTGCTGGCACTAATTGCGCCCCGCAAGAGATGGGAGTTGCCCCCAATCCCATATCGCCCGTCCCAGCCACAGGACCTCTGTCTTCGAAGGATTTAGCTTCAACCGGCTCCCACGAAACCATCCAGCCACAGCTTCCAAACATCTAGTCAGTGTGTCTGGGGCCGAGTCAGGATGGCCATCCATCAACAGATAGAGTTGGGTGTCATCGGCATACTGATGGCAACCCAGCCCAAAACTCCGAACAAGCTGGGCGAGGGGGCGCATAAAGATGTTGAAAAGCATTGGGGAGAGTATCGCACCCTGAGGTACTCCACACACCAAGGAGTGCGCGATGACAATTCCCCCCCAAGCGCCACCCTCTGTCCCCGACCAGAGAGAAACGAGCGCAGCCATTGAAGGACTGTGCCCTGGATCCCCACGTCGGCAAGGCGGTGGTCTAGAAGTTCGTGATCGACCATGTCGAAAGCTGCTGACAGATCTAGAAGAATCAGCAGCCCCGACCCGCCTCGATCCAGCTGTCTACGAAGATCATCTGTTAGGGCAACCAGAGCCGTCTCGGTCCCATGACCAGTGCGGAAGCCGGACTGGAATGGATCCAGAGCCGATGTTTCATCCAGAAAACCACCAAGCTGTTCAGCAACCGCTCTCTCAATCACCTTACCCAGGAACGGAAGATTCGAAACCGGGCGGTAATTGGATAGATCTAAAGGATCTAATGATGTTTTCTTTAAGAGCGGGCGCACCACTGCCTCCTTCAGTTCCCCTGGGAATGTCCCGTGCCAAGGGACAAATTGATGATATCCCCCAGGAGGGCCCGCACCTCGTCTGGACACGCTCTAATCAGCCAAGACGGGCACGGGTCGAGAGGACAGGTGGTGGGCTTTCCAGCTCGGAGGAGTCTGTCCACATCGGCTGGGGATATCCGGTCGAAGTGGTCCAATACTGGACCCGAGGACAGTCGAGGGGCCTCCAGTTCCTTTATTGTATCCAAATTGGCCGGGAGGTCATGGCGGAGCAACAAGACCTTCTCCGCAAAAGCTCGCAAATGCCTCACAGCTGTGTGTCAAATTGTTATTTAAATTTGGCTGTCCCTCAAGGGACGTTAAAGACCTGATTATACTAAATAATTGCGCCGGGCGAGAGCTTGCGGATGCAATGGAGGCCGAGAAGTATGACTTCTTAGCAGCCTTCACCGCCATCTCGTAGGTTTTCATAAAAGCCCTATAAGATGTTCTTGAGGCTCCGTCACGGGCACCCCGCCATACTCGCTCTAGCCGTCTGAGGTCCCGCTTCATTTTCCGGAGCTCCTCGGTAAACCAGGGAGCCCGGTTTCTGCGGGGTCGCAGAGGGCGCTTAGGTGCGATCTCATCGATGGCTGCCAGGAGCTGGGTATTCCAGCCCTCAACAAGCTCAGTCAATGAGTCGCCAGGGGAGCAAGGTCCCGCAAGGCTTGGCGGAATCTATCAGGGTCCATCAGCCTCTGCGGGCGAGCCCAAATCGGCTCGCCACCTAAGCAGGGTGGGGGTGGAAAGTCAATCCTGGCTTTCAGAGCGTAGTGATCAGACCATGGCACCTTCATCGAAGGAGACATGATCACATCTATACCTACGCCAAAGATCAAATCCAGCGTGTGGCCTGCTTGATGTGTGGGGCCCGAAACAAACTGGGAGAGCCCTAGTGTCGCCATGGAAGACACCAGGTCCAGAGCCTGTGAGGAGGGAGTGGCATCAGCATGGATGTTAAAGTCCCCCAATACCAATAGGTTAGGGAACTCCAAGGCCCAGCCGGCCACCGCCTCCAATAGGCCTGACAGGGTGGCTGCTGGTGCGCTAGGTGGCCGGTACACCAGCCAGACAGCCAAGCTCTCCTCGGAGCCCCACACTAGGCCAACACATTCAATGCCGGGGATCGATGGCGATGGTAGAGCCCTGAAAGGACAATCTTCCCGGATTAATAATGCCACCCCTCCCCCCCCCGGCCCACAGTC